CAAATTATGTACAATTATATACAAATTATATAATACAGAAAATATAATATATAAAATAATATATAAAACAAAATATGTACAATTATATACAAATATAATACAGAAAATATAATATATAAAAATAATACATAAAACAAATTATGTACAATTATATACAAATTATATAATACAGAAAATATAAAAAATAATATATAAAACACATTATTTATATTTATATATATATATATACACACACACACACATATATCTAAATAATAGAAATAATAATATAATGTGTAAAATTAAATATATATCTAAATAATAGGACATATAATAGAAAGAATATAATATAAATATAAAATATATATCTAAATAATAGAAGTAACATAATAGAAAGAATATAATATAAAAATGAAATATATATCTAAATAATAGAAGGAATATAATAGAAGGAATATAATATAAAAATGAAATATATATCTAAATAATAGAACTTTTATAATACAAATAATACAATATAAATATAAAATATATATCTAAATAATAGAAATAATATAAGAAAAAGAATATAATATATAAAATGAAATATATATCTAAATAATAGAAGTAATATAATACAAATAATACAATATAAATATAAGATATATATCTAAATAATAGAAAGAATATAATATAAAACTTAAATACATATCTAAATAATAGAAGTAATATAATATAAAAATGAAATATATATCTAAATAATAGAAGGAATATAATACAAATAATACAATATAAATATAAAATATATATCTAAATAATAGAAAGAATATAATACAAAAATTAAATAGATATATAAATAATAGAAGTAATATACTAGAAAGAATATAATATAAAAATGTAATATATAACTATAGTAGAACTTATATAATACAAATAATACAATATATATAGAGAGAGAAAGAAAATAATATAAAAATGAAATATATATCTAAATAATAGAAGTAATATAATAGAAAGAATATCATATAAAATAAATATATATCTAAATAATAGAATATAATAGAAAACATATAATGTATAAAATGAAATATATATCTAAATAATAGAAATAATATAATATAAAAATATGTACCTAAATAATAGAAGTAATAGAAAGAATATAATATATAAAATGAAATATATATCTAAATAATAGAAGCAATATAATAGAAAGAATATAATATAAAAATGAAATATATATTTAAATAATAGAAGTAATATAATAGAAAGAATATAATATAAAATGAAATATATATCTAAATAATAGAAAGAATATAATACAAATAATACAATATAAATATAATATATATCTAAATAATAGAAAGAATACAATATAAAAATGAAATATATATCTAAATAATAGAACTTACATAATACAAATAATACAATATAAATATAATATATATCTAAATAATAAAAAGAATATAATATAAAAATTAAATAGCTATATAAATAAGTAATATAATAGAAAGAATATAATATAAAAATAAATATATAGCTAAATAATAGAAAGAATATAATATATAAAATGAAACATTTATCTAAATAATAGAAGTAATATAATAGAAAGAATATAATATAAAAATATATAGAGAAGTAATAGAAAGAATATAATATATAAAATGAAACATATATCTAAATAATAGAAGTAATATAACAGAAAGAATATAATATATAAAATGAAATAGAGATCTAAATAATAGAAATAATATAATATATAAATTGAAATATATATCTAAATAGTAGAAGGAATATTGTTAGAGAAAATATTATAATAGATATAATATAATAAACTCCCTTTGTTCAATGCCAAACCTCAGGGTGCTTTGCTGCGGCTGCTTAGAGCGTCATCAGGATTGGAAGGGACCCCCAAAGGCTATCAAGTCCACCCCTGACCAGATGCAGGAAAGCAGAGGACAGCTCCAAACTACCTTTCCCGGCATGCCAGGGGAGGGAGGGAGGCTCTTAAAGGGCCCCGCCTGCCTTCTGGGAGGCTCCCTGGATTCGAATCCAGGCCCCGCCTTGACTCTGCTCGGCCCATCCCGGCTGGAAGCAAGGGACACTCAGGACAACTCCAGCAGCACACGGATCTGGTGAGCCCCCTTCACACAGGAAACAGACACGTGTCTGCCCCTCTTAAGCTGGGTCCCTTTCCTCTGCTTCCCCTCCAGGTTGCCTAAACCCCAGGATCAGTTCCCACGCTCGGCAGCATGTTTGGATTCAGAAGGCTCTTTGATTGTAGGTGAACTATAAATCCCAGCAGCTAAAACTCCCAAATGTCAATGTCTATTTTCCCGCAAACCCCACCAGTGTTTACATTTGGGCATAGAGTACCTGTGCCAAATTTGGCCCAGATCTATCATTGTTTGAGTCCACACTGCTCTCTGAATGTAGGTGAACTACAACTCCCAAATGTCAAGGTCTATTTCCCCCAAACCCTACCAATGTTTACATTTGGATATATTGAGTACCTGTGCCAAGTTTGGTCCAGATCTATCATTGTTTGAGAACACAGGGCTCTCTGGATGTAGGTGAACTACAACTCCCAAATTCAAGGTCAATGCCCACCAAACCCTTCCAGTATTTTTTGTTGGTCATGGGGGTTCTGTGTGGGAAGTTTGGCTCAATTCTTTCATTGGTGGGGTTGAGAATGCCCTTTGATTGTAGGTGAACTATAAATCCCAGCAACTACAACTCCCAAATGTCAGGGTCTGTTTCCCCCAAACTCCACCAGTGTTCACATTTGCACGTATTGAGGATTCGTGCCAAGTTTGGCCCAGGTCTATCATTGTTTGAGTTGGGAAGTTTGGCCCAATTCTATTGTCGGTGGGGTTCAGAATGCTCTTTGATTGTAGCTGAACTATAAATCCCAGCAACTACAATTCTGAAATGTCAAGGTCTATTTCCCCCAAACCCCACCCGTATTTACATTTGGGCATATTGAGTATCTGTGCCAAGTTTGGTCCAGATCCATTGTTATTTAAATCCACAGTGCTCTCTGGATGTAGGTGAACTACAAGTTCCAAACTCAAGGTCAGTGCCCACCAAACCCTTATCTGTTGTTCGTGGAAGTTTTGTGCGCCAAGTATGGTTCAATTCTGTCGTTGGTGGGGTTCAGAATGCCCTTCGATTGTAGGTGAACTATAAATCCCCAGAAACTACAATTCCCAAATGTCAAGATCAATTTCTCCCAAACTCCACCCAAGTTCATATTTGGGCATATTGAGTATCTGTGTCAAGTTTGGTCCAGATCCATCGTTATTTAAATCCACAGTGCTCTCTGGATATAGGTGAACTACAACTTCCAAACTCAAGGTCAATGCCCACCAAACCCTTCCAGTATTATCTGTTGGTTCTGTGTGCCAAGTTTGGTTCAATTCTATCATTGGTGAGGTTTAGAATGCTCTGTTATTGTAGGTGAACTATAAATCCCAGCAACTACAACTCCCAAATGTGAAGGTAATTTTTCCCCAAACTCCACCCATGTTCACATTTGGACATATTGAGTATCTGTGTCAAATTTGGTCCAGGTCCATCATTGTTTGAGTCCATAGTGCCCTCTGGATGTAGGTGAACTACAACTCCCAAACTCAAGGTCAATGCCCACCAAACCCTTCTAGTGTTTTCTGTTAGTCATGGGAGTACTGTGTGCCGAGTTATTGGAGTTCAGAATGCTCTTTGATTATAGGTGAACTATAAATCCCAGGAACTACAACTCCCAATTGACAAAATCTATCCTCCCCCAACCCCACCAGTATTCAAATTTGGGCGTATCGGCCTTTGTTTACCTTGGTCATATGCCTCCTTATCTGATGACCTCCCCAAAGGTTGAAGAGGACACCTTTCGGCACACGTTTGGTTTTGAACAAGGGAAAGCCTCACAGGGTTGCCGAACTTGGATTTCTTGACCCGAAGCACTCCCCTATTGAAGCAAACATAGTCTCCCGAAACGTCAGCTGCCCATGTCTTTGTCTCCCACAGTCTCAAAGATGCTCTGGGATTTGTAGTTTGGTGCTGGGGGGAGAGGTTCACAACTGATGACATATGCAGGAGACAAGATGGAACTGTCCCCTGGCCCCCTCTCTGTTAACTCTGGCCCAGAGTGGCCGTTGCTGCTGGGGGGAGGGGTCCCCAACTGATGACATATGCAGGAGAAAAGATGGAACTGTCCCCAGGCCCTCTCTCTCTTCACTCTGGCCCAGAGCGCAGTTGGTGCTGGGGGGAGGGGTCCCCAACTGATGACATATGCAGGAGACAAGATGGAACTGTCCCCTGGCCCCCTCTCTCTTCACTCTGGCCCAGAGCAGCAGTTGGTGCTGGGGGGAGGGGTCCCCAACTGATGACATATGCAGGAGACAAGATGGAACTGTCCCCTGGCCCCCTCTCTCTTCACTCTGGCCCAGAGGCAGTTGGTGCTGGGGGAGGGGTCCCCAACTGATGACATATGCAGGAGACAAGGTGGAACTGTCCCCTGGCCCCCTCTCTCTTCACTCTGGCCCAGAGCAGCAGTTGGTGCTGGGGGAGGGGTCCCCAACTGATGACATATGCAGGAGACAAGATGGAACTGTCCCCTGGCCCCCTCTCTCTTCACTCTGGCCCAGAGGACCTGTTGGTGCTGGGGGGAGGGGTCCCCAACTGATGACATATGCAGGAGACAAGGTGGAACTGTCCCCTGGCCCCCTCTCTCTTCACTCTGGCCCAGAGCGCAGTTGGTGCTGGGGGGAGGGGTCCCCAACTGATGACATATGCAGGAGACAAGATGGACCTATCCCTTGGCCCCCTCTCTCTTCACTCTGACCCAGAGCGGCCCTTGGTGCTGGGGGGAGAGGTCCCCAATGATGACATATGCAGGAGTCAAGATGGAACTGTTTCCTGGCCCCCTCTCTCTTCACTCTGACCCAGAGCGGCCGTTGGTGCTGGGGGGAGGGGTCCCCAACTGATGACATATGCAGGAGACAAGATGGAACTGTTTCCTGGCCCCCTCTCTCTTCACTCCGACCCAGAGCGGCCCTTGGTGCTGGGGGGAGAGGTCCCCAATGATGACATATGCAGGAGACAAGATGGACCTATCCCCTGGCCCCCTCTCTCTTCACTCTGACCCAGAGCGGGACTTGGTGCTGGGGAAGGGGTCCCCAACCGATGACATATGCAGGAGACAATATGGAACTGTTCCTTGGCCCCCCACTCTCTCCACTCTGGCCCAGACCGGCCGTTGGTGCTGTGGGGAGGGGTCCCTAACTGATGACATATGCAGGAGACAAGATGGAACTGTCCCCTGGCCCCCTCTCTCTTCACTCTGCCCCAGAGCGGCAGTTGGTGCTGGGGGGGAAGGCTCCCCAACTGATGACATATGCAGGAGACAAGATGGAACTGTCCCCTGGCCCCCTCTCTCTTCACTCTGGCCCAGAGCGCAGTTGGTGCTGTGGGGAGGGGTCCCCAACTGATGACATATGCAGGAGACAAGATGGAACTGTCCCCTGGCCCCCTCTCTCTTCACTCTGACCCAGAGCGGCAGTTGGTGCTGGGGGAGGGGTCCCCAACTGATGACATATGCAGGAGACAAGATGGAACTGTCCCCTGGCCCCCTCTCTCTTCACTCTGACCCAGAGCGGCAGTTGGTGCTGGGGGGAGGGGTCCCCAACTGATGACATATGCAGGAGAAGATGGAACTGTCCCCTGGCCCCCTCTCTCTTCACTCTGGCCCAGAGCAGCAGTTGGTGCTGGGGAGGGGTCCCCAACTGATGACATATGCAGGAGACAAGATGGAACTGTCCCTGGCCCCCTCTCTCTTCACTCTGGCCCAGAGCGGCAGTTGGCGCTGTGGGGAGGGGTCCCCAACTGATGACATATGCAGGAGACAAGATGGAACTGTCCCCTGGCCCCTCTCTCTTCACTCTGGCCCAGAGCGGCAGTTGGTGCTGGGGGAGGGGTCCCCAACTGATGACGTATGCAGGAGACAAGATGGAACTGTCCCCTGGCCCCTCTCTCTTCACTCTGGCCCAGAGCAGCAGTTGGTGCTGGGGGAGGGGTCCCCAACTGATGACATATGCAGGAGACAAGATGGAACTGTCCCCTGGCCCCCTCTCTCTTCACTCTGACCCAGAGTGGCCCTTGGTGCTGGGGGGAGGGGTCCCCAACTGATGATATATGCAGGAGACAAGATGGAACTGTCCCCTGGCCCCCTCTCTCTTCACTCTGGCCCAGAGCTGCAGTTGGTGCTGGGGAAGGGGTCCCCAACTGATGACATATGCAGTAGACAAGATGGAACTGTTCTCTGGCCCCCTCTCTCTTCACTCTGGCCCAGAGCAGCAGTTGGTGCTGGGGGAAGGGGTCCCCAACTGATGGCATATGCAGGAGACAAGATGGAACTGTCCCCTGGCCCCCTCTCTCTTCACTCTGGAGGGAAAACTGTATACCCATTACCAGTGAGGACCCCCACACGGATTTGGTCCTACTCCTCACGCGCACTGAGGCAGTACATGTATAGTGTCCCTACTTTGCGGATTTCCATTTATCGCGGTGGTCCTGGAATGTAACACCCGCGATAAGTGAGGGAACACTCTACAGCCCCCATGTTCCTTTGTATTGAACCAAGGCAATTAAAGTGGATTCATTCTGCAGCGTAGATGCACCCCCAAGTTTTCCTTTTCCTTGCATGGAAGCTTTGGTGTCTTAACACTTTTGTTTTCAAAGAAGAAAACATTACAATACTCTTTGCTTTCAGGGTTTTGCGAATTGAGGTGCGCATTAGATTCGAGGGTGCATGATACTCAGTACAGGATTCTAAACGGATTTGGATTCGAAGCCCGAGCCGCTTAGATGCAAATCCCGGAGAGCCACCGAATCTCAGCTGGGTGGAACTCGTTTTCCTTGTAACTTTCCATAGGGCACGCCTGGACAAAAATGCAAACGGTGTAATTTTGTGCCTCGGGCTTTCCTCCTCCCTTTCTCCTTTCAGCTGAGAACTTTCCTTCTTTATGGCTGGAGAGAACTCGTTTTCTAGGAGCCCCAAAGTGACATCAGAGTGATATGCAGGGGGGTTTGAGTCTTTGCCACCAGTGAAGTCAGCCAAGGACAAAGAGGGAAGGCTTGGGGAAGCAAGAGGAACAGAGATAGCTGGAAAAGTGGGAAGAGCGAGGATTGATCCGGACTCTCCCCAACCCAATTGGGACAGTTTGAAGTTAGGCAACGTCCACTACGTGTGCTGGTTAATTGTTGCAAGTGACTTCTTTTCTTTAGGCCACTCGAACGTGTGCAATCTGAAAGCCGTCCTGTTTGGGATCCCGTCTAGTCCACTGAACTTGAATGCATTCCCCAATACGAAGCGTGAAGCGCCCTAAAAGGAGGAAGGAGATGCTCAAGCAGGTATGCCTTTCAGGGAGGAAATGACGATGGAAGATATGAGGGATGAATGAAAAGTAATGCCTCCACCTTTGTAACTCCTCAACAGATAACAGTACGCTCCTCGGATTCGAAACTGCGACCTTTATTTATTATTTATTTATTATTTAAAACTTTTATATCCCGATATGAGGGATGAATGAAAAGTAATGCCTCCACCTTTGTAACTCCTCAACAGATAATAGTTTTTTATATCCCGATATGAGGGATGAATGAAAAGTAATGCCTCCACCTTTGTAACTCCTCAACAGATAACAGTACGCTCCTCAGATTCGAACCTGTGACCTTTATTTATTATTTATTTATTTAAAACTTTTATATCCCGATCTTCTCACCTCGGTAGAGGGACTCAGACCGGTCAACAAGCTTAGCAGCTCAATGGTTTAACCCACTTCGCCACCATTGCACAAGTTTATAGTCCTCATCAAGGAAATAGAAAGGCAGATGAGTCACCTTCCCTCATTGCCCTCTGTATCTGCCTGTCTCTCTATTTTCCCCTGTTGTTTGTCAGCGACATGCCTCTTTTACACAAACCCCTGAGTCTCCCATTGTGGTTTTCTCCTGTGAGCATGGAGAAAGGAAAGATGTCTGCAGAGAGAGTTAGATAGGTAAGCTCTTACTTTGTCATACAGGCCGTCCCCGAGTTACAAACATCCAATTGGCAAATTACTCCTAGTTAAAAACAATGGGGTTCAGACAACAGGAAGTGAGAGAAATCTCCTCCTTGGAAAGGAAATCCACTCCTGGAAGAGTTATTATCATGGGGAAAAGAGGTCTCAATGAAGCTTTCTCCCCAATCCTACACCTTCGTAACTCCTCAACAGATGGCAGTACTGGTATGTGGCAGGTACTGGCTTGTTCAGTAGACTCTCCTCTACAGTTCCATTTTGACGGGAAATATTTGCATTGAACGGTTGTGTTGTTAAAGTTTGACGTATGGAACCCTGCGCAGACAGTCAGTCAATGCGACTTAAGCAACATGCAGTCATTGAATTCTTGACAGCAGAAGGTGTCACCCCAAAGGAGATTCATCAGATAATGCAAGCTGTTTAGGGTGATTGTGTTGATGTGAGTACTCTGCGTCGTTGGGCAAGTAAATTTAAAGGTGTTGAGGTGGGAACATCTGACTTGGGTGACAAACAAAGAGTTGGACATCCTGTGACAGCAACTACCGAGTTTCATAAGCAAAAGGTTGACAGATTGATTCAGGACAATCGTTTTATCACTCAGAGAGAAATTTCAAGCATAATCGGCATTTCACAAGAACATGTGGGTCTCATTATTGCTTTGCTTGGCTATCAGAAGATCTGTGCACGATGGGTACCCAGGATGCTGACGGCTGAAATGAAAGCGCACAGACTTGAAACTTCAGAGACTGGATCTCACCACCGTACGGCATCCATACAGTCCAGACGTAGCACCGTCTGACTTCCATCTGTTCCCGATAATGAAATAAGATTTGCGGGGACATCATTACGCTTCTGATGAAGACGTTGAGAGAACTGTGAGACACTGGTTGCCGAAACAGAGTGTCGACTTCTTCTGTGACGGCTTCAGAAAACTCGTTCATTGTTGGCACAAATGTATCCAATTGTCTGGTGATTATGTGGAAAAGTGAATAGTGGTGGTTAAAGAGCCCATTCTAAGGATTATTTCTGCATTTGCTTTATTAAAATATTTCCATCCAAACCCAAGTAACGAAGGTGGAGGCAATACTTTTCATTCAACCCTCATAGGAGATTCTTTTCTCAGCATCCACAAACCAACGTGGGTCAAAATAATCTCATTTTTTCAAAATGGCCCTAAATGCACGTTAGGGGGCCAAGAAGTTCCCAAAACATGGTGGGCATGCTCATTAAAAGGTGGTTTTGATTTCTATTTGTTCTCCAGAGCTTCCCATGTGTCCCAAGGATTCAAGGGTTGCCAATCTTTGGGAAGTTCAGCTATTTCTTGAGTGGGGGACGATTCAGTCAGAATGGGATTTCCTTACGTCTCTCTTTACAGGTCAATGGCACAAAGAGCAGCCGGGCCCTCCATCCGAGCAAAGATGAGCACCGTCTTGGAGGAGAGGTGGAATCGTTCCTAAGTGACGAGCGACAACTACATCTCATTGATGACCTTACCAAAGTGAATCCTGTCACCACCACAACTGGTACAAAGCAAAAGGGTTTGAGCCCAACCTACTCATTCTCCTCAGGACAGCACTAGCTTTGGCCCACTGACTCTAGCAGGCTTCGGCCTACTCGCTCTCCTCAGGACGGCGCTAGCTTTGGCCCACTGACTCTTAACAGACTTCTGCCTACTCGCTCTCCTCAGGACAACACTAGCTTTGACCCACTGACTCTAGCAGGCTTCAACCTACTCACTCTCCTCAGGACGGCGCTAGCTTTGGCCCACTGACTCTTAACAGACTTCTGCCTACTCACTCTCCTCAGGACAACACTAGCTTTGGCCCACTGACTTTAACAGACTTATGCCTACTCACTCTCCTCAGGACAACACTAGCTTTGGCCCACTGACTTTAACAGACTTCTGCCTACTCATTCTCCTCAGGACAGCACTAGCTTTGGCCCACTGACTCTAGCAGGCTTCGGCCTACTCACTCTCCTCAGGACGGCGCTAGCTTTGGCCCACTGACTCTTAACAGACTTCTGCCTACTCACTCTCCTCAGGACAACACTAGCTTTGGCCCACTGACTCTAGCAGGCTTCAACCTACTCACTCTCCTCAGGACGGCGCTAGCTTTGGCCCACTGACTCTTAACAGACTTCTGCCTACTCACTCTCCTCAGGACAACACTAGCTTTGGCCCACTGACTCTAACAGGCTTCGGCCTACTCACTCTCCTCAGGATGACACTAGCTTTGGCCCACTGACTCTAACAGGCTACCTACTCACTCTCCTCAGGACGGCGCTAGCTTTGGCCCACTGACTCTTAACAGACTTCTGCCTACTCACTCTCCTCAGGACAACACTAGCTTTGGCCCACTGACTTTAACAGACTTCTGCCTACTCACTCTCCTCAGGACAACACTAGCTTTGGCCCACTGACTCTAACAGGCTTCGGCCTACTCACTCTCCTCAGGACAACACTAGCTTTGGCCCACTGACTCTAACAGGCTTCGGCCTACTCTCTCTCCTCAGGACGACACTAGCTTTGGCCCACTGATTCTTACAGGCTTCGGCCTACTCACTCTCCTCAGGACAAAACTAGCTTTGGCCCACTGACTCTAACAGACTTCAGTCTACTCACTCTCCTAAGGACGACACTAGCTTTGGCCCACTGACTCTAACAGGCTTCGACCTACTCACTCCTCAGGACAACACTAGCTTTGGCCCACTGACTCTAGCAGGCTTCAACCTACTCACTCTCCTCAGGACGGCGCTAGCTTTGGCCCACTGACTCTTAACAGACTTCTGCCTACTCACTCTCCTCAGGACAACACTAGCTTTGGCCCACTGACTCTAGCAGGCTTCAACCTACTCACTCTCCTCAGGACGGCGCTAGCTTTGGCCCACTGACTCTTAACAGACTTCTGCCTACTCACTCTCCTCAGGACAACACTAGCTTTGGCCCACTGACTCTAGCAGGCTTCAACCTACTCACTCTCCTCAGGACGGCGCTAGCTTTGGCCCACTGACTCTTAACAGGCTTTGGCGTACTCACTCTCAGCACAACACTAGCTTTGGCCCACTGACTCTAACAGGCTTCGGCCTACTCACTCTCCTCAGGACGACACTAGCTTTGGCCCACTGACTCTAACAGGCTTCGACCTACTCACTCTCCTCAGGACGACACTAGCTTTGGCCCACTGACTCTAACTAGCTTCGGCCTACTCACTCTCCTCAGGACGACACTAGCTTTGGCCCACTGACTCTAACAGGCTTCGGCCTACTCACTCTCCTCAGGACGACACTAGCTTTGGCCCACTGACTCTAACAGGCTTCGGCCTACTCACTCTCCTCAGGACGACACTAGCTTTGGCCCACTGACTCTAACAGGCTTCGGCCTACTCACTCTCCTCAGGACGACACTAGCTTTGGCCCACTGACTCTTAACAGGCTTCGGCCTACTCACTCTCCTCAGGACGACACTAGCTTTGGCCCACTGACTAACAGGCTTCGGCCTACTCACTCTCCTCAGGACGACACTAGCTTTGGCCCACTGATTCTTACAGGCTTCGGCCTACTCACTCTCCTCAGGACAAAACTAGCTTTGGCCCACTGACTCTAACAGACTTCAGTCTACTCACTCTCCTAAGGACGACACTAGCTTTGGCCCACTGACTCTAACAGACTTCTGCCTACTCGCTCTCCTCAGGACAACACTAGCTTTGGCCCACTGACTCTAGCAGGCTTCAACCTACTCACTCTCCTCAGGACGGCGCTAGCTTTGGCCCACTGACTCTTAACAGACTTCTGCCTACTCACTCTCCTCAGGACAACACTAGCTTTGGCCCACTGACTCTAGCAGGCTTCAACCTACTCACTCTCCTCAGGACTGCACTAGCTTTGGCCCACTGACTATTAACAGGCTTCTGCCTACTCGCTCTCCTCAGGACTGCACTAGCTTTGGCCCACTGACTCTAGCAGGCTTCGGCCTACTCATTCTCCTCAGGACAGGACTAGCTTTGGCCCACTGACTATTAACAGACTTCTGCCTACTCGCTCTCCTCAGGATGACACTAGCTTTGGCCCACTGACTCTTAACAGGCTTCGGCCTACTCACTTTCCTCAGGACGACACTAGCTTTAAACTCAGCAGCTTGTATACTGGAGCTTTCTCACATGAGACTTCTCTCACACAAAGGTTTACCTCACATTCTTCATGACAATACTAGTTTTGACCCACTAACTCTAACAGGTTCTGGCCTACTCACTCTTTCAGGTCTTGATTCACACGCTTGTAATCAAAAATACCCAGTTAATTTTTAATATTTCTGACAAGGAGATTCCACCTGAACATTAGGAAGAACTTCCTGACCTTAAGAGAAGCTCTTCAGCAGTGGAACTCTCTGCCTCAGGGTGTGGTGGAAGCACCTTCCTCAGAAACATTTAAACCGAGGCTGGATGGTTATCTGTCGGGGGGGCTTTGATTATGATTTTCCTGCATGAAGGCAGAAGAGGGTTGGACTGAATGGCCTCTAACTCCATGATTCTAGTCCACAAAAGTGAGTGTTCTCCAACACTGCCTCCTGAGAAAATGTCTCACTCTCTTTAGTTCTCAGGTGCCTCCAAGCACGATACGCCGCCCATGTCTTCTATACCAAGGCCGGCTGCAGCCTGGTGGCCGTCAACCCCTTCCGACCAATTCCACCTCTCTACACACAAGAGCTCATGGAAGACTACCACGCTGCCTCCTGCCTCCAGGTGAGAGAGGACAATGTCAGGTAGGAATTAAATGGGAGCAGAGAGAGGAGAGAGTATGGCATTTCACAGGAACGTGTGGGTCACATTATTGCTTTGCTTGGCTATTGGAAGATCTGTGCACGTTGGGTACCCAGGATGAGAGAACTGTGAGATGCTGGAATCAGAGTGTCGACTTCTTCTGCGACGGCTTCATCGTTGGCAGAAACGTATCCAATTGTCTGGTGATTATGTGGAAAAGTGAATAGTGGTAGTCCGGAGGACCTCACCTCCCAACATCCCCTCATCTTTGGTTGCAGGGGCTAAGGCTGGTGGGTCTGGAAGACACATTGCCAAGAGCAAGGTTTCCATAACAGAAATAAACAAATACATAGTAGCTTTACACGCAGTAGCCTTCACACTGGAGCTTTCTCCATGAGGCTTCTCTCGCACAGAGGTTTACCTCACACTCCTCAGGATGACAATAGCTTTGGTCCACTGACTCTTAACAGGCTTCGGCCTACTCACTTTCCTCAGGACGGCACTAGCTTCAAACACAGCAGCTTGCATACTGGAGCTTTCTCACATGAGACTTCTCTCACACAGAGGTTTACCTCACACTCCTCAGGATGACACTAGCTTTGGTCCACTGACTCTTAACAGGCTTCGGCCTACTCACTTTCCTCAGGACGACACTAGCTTCAAACACAGCAGCTTGCATACTGGAGCTTTCTCACATGAGACTTCTCTCACACAGAGGTTTACCTCACATTCTTCATGACAATACTAGCTTTGACCCACTGACTCTAACAGGCTTTGGCCTACTCACTCTTTCAGTGCTTGGCTCGCATTTTTGTAATCATAAATACCCAGTTAATTTTTAATATTTCTAGCAGTAGAGACAACAGAAAGTGAGTGAAATCCCCCCTCAGAAGGAAGAGAAATCCACTCCTGGAAAAGTTAGTATCATGGGGAAAAGGAGTATAAAAACTCTTAAATCAGGACAGTAAATAAATAACATCACTCTGAAAACAGGGGAATTCCAGACAGGAAACAATCAGGATCAACTAACACCTTCCAACAAAGGATTTCTCCTGGCAGGGAGCAGACAGGGTTTGAAGCTGCAAGGCCATTCAATGCTAATCAAGGTGGCAATTGGTAACATTCACACTTGTCTCAAGCACCCTAGACATCAATCCACAGGTATATAGACCCCACTTGCCTAGTTTCCAACAGACCTTCCAACCTCTGAGCATGCCTGTCATAGATGTGGGTGAAACATCAGGAGAGAATGCTTCTGGAACATGGCTAAACAGTCCAGAAAACTCAGAGTAACTCAACATCAATAAGGTTTAAAACTACAGTGTTCCCTCGCTTTTTGCCTTCCTGACACTGGCTTCTTCCTTTCTAAACATTGTGTCCTTCTTTTTTAGGATCTCAAGCCGCACGTTTTTTTGGTGGCGGAGGAAACGTACCGAAACGTTGAGAGCCAGATTCCGCCAGTGAACCAGTCCGTGATTGTTAGTGGGGAAAGCGGGGCTGGAAAGGTAAGGCCAAGGGCTCCTGGGACACCCTTCCTGCCATCATGGCAAACTCCCGGTGACTAGTGCAGTTATGCCATGCCTATACCAGCGTATGACAACAATGGGAAGGTCTTTTTGTATTGACCCAAAACATGAAGGCTTTGCAAAAATTCCTTCCCTGTTTTGGCCTTGTTTTGATCGACAGAAGCAACGAGAATTAGGGGGGGAAGGTCCAAGTGCTATTTTGAGCTGTACACAGATTCAACCCTGCCGTGTGTGCAAACAGTGCCCCAATATGCGTCCTTTTTGTTGTCACACACCCCTTTCTCCTCTGTTTCCAGACATGGACGTCCCGCTGCCTGATGACGTTTTACGCCACCGTCGCCGCCTCCTCTTCGGTCCCTAAAGGCAGCGTGACGGCGGAAAAGATTGAGAAGAGAGTCTTGGACTCCAACCCCGTGATGGAAGCTTTTGGTAAGGATGCAATTTTGGATTTTCCAGAACTAGACCAATGCTTTAGCTACGTTCCAACCTCCAGCCAAATCACGGTGTGTGGGCAACATGGTTGAAAATGAATTATGGTTTACACAAATCCTGCACAAGTTTATAGTCCTCATCAAGGAAACAGAAAGGCAGATGAGTCACTTTCCCTCATCGCCCTCTGTAACTACCTGTCTCTCTATTTTCCCCTGTTGTTTCTTGATATTTCTCAGCAACATGCCTCTTTTTCTCAGCACATGGCAAACCCCTGAGTCTCCCATTGTGTTTTTCTCCTGTGAGCATAGAGAGAGGCAAGATATCTGCAGAGAGAGTTAAATAGTTAAGCTCCTACTTTGTCATACAGGCCATCCCTGACTCCTACTTAACAACAATGGGTTTCAGACAACAGGAAGCGAGGCAAATCTCTTCCTTGGAAAGGAAATCCACTCCTGTAAGTTATTATCATGGGGAAAAGAGGTCTCAATGAAACTTTCTCCCCAATCCTCCACCTTCGTAACTCCTCAAAAGATGGCAGTACTGGTATTTAGCAGGTACTGGCTTGTTCAGTAGACTCTCCTCTAGAGTTCCATTTTGGTGAGAAGCCTTAGCATTGAATGGTTGTGTTGTTAAAGTGCAAAGTATGGAACCCTGCACAGACGGTCGGTCAATGCGAGTTAAGCAATGTGTAATAATTGAATTCTTGACAGCAGAAGGTGTCACCCCAAAGGAGATTCATCAGAGAATGCAAGCTGTTTATGTGATTGTGTTGATATGAGTACTGTGCGTCGTTGGGTGAGTAAGTTTAAAGATGTGGAGGTGGGAACATCTGACTTGCGTGACGAACAAAGAGTTGGACGTCCTGTGACAGCAACCACCAAGTTTCACGAGCACAAGGTTGACAAATTGATTCAGGATGATATCACTCAAAGAGAAATTTCAAGCATAATTGGCATTTCACAAGAACGTGTGTGTCACATTATTGCTTTGCTTGGCTATCGGAAGATCTGTGCACGATGGGTACCCAGGATGCTGACGCCTGAAATGAAAGCGCACAACTTGAAACTTCAGAGACTGAATCTCACCACCGTATGACATCTTCCATAAAGTCCAGATTTAGCACTGTCTGCTTCCATCTGTTCCCGATAATGAAAGAAGATCTGCGGAGACATCATTATGCTTCTGATGAAGACGTTGAGAGAACTGTGAGATTTAGGACGATCGTTGTATCACTCAGAGAGAAATTTCAAGCATAATCGGCATTTCACAAGAACGTGTGGGTCACATTATTGCTTTGCTTGGCTATCGGAAAATCTGTGCACGATGGGTACCCAGTATGAGAGAACTGTGAGACGCTGGAATCAGAGTGTCAACTTCTTCCGCGACGGCTTCATCGTTGGCAGAAACGTATCCAATTGTCTGGTGATTATGTGGAAAAGTGAATAGTGGTGGTTAAAGAGCACATTCTAAGGATCCTTTCTGTGTTTGATTTATTAAAATATTCCCATCCAAACCCAAGTAACAATGGTGGAGGCGTTACTTTTAATTCAACCTTTATTTATTTATTTATTTTGGGCACTTCTACCCTGCCCTTCTCAACCCCCAAGGGGGTACTCAGGGCGGCTTACAACCGGCACAATTCGATGCCAACAATTCAACAGATAAATTACATAACAGTAGTAACCACAATAGTTAAAACAATCAATTAAAACAATAACAATTAAAAACCAATCTAGTAGCCAACGTTCACTGAGTTCTAATATCCATAAGTCCATTCAGCATTACCATAGTCCATTCCAATTTCTGGTTGTCATTACCTTGTCAGTCTGCCAGACTACCCGAAGGCCTGGTCCCATATCCATGTTTTCAGCTTCCTTCTGAAGGAGAGGAGGGATGTTGATGACCTAATTTCCCCGGGGAGTGAATTCCACAGGCGAGGGGCCACCACCGAGAAGGCCCTGTCCCTCGTCCCCACCAGCCTCACTTGTGATAGAGGCGGGGCCGAGAGCAGGGCCTCCCCCGAAGATCTTAAACTCCGAGGTGGGACATAGAAGGAGATACGTTCGGACAGGTACACTGGGCCGGAGCCGTATATATAGGTATATATAGGCTGGAGTTTCACTTACCTGTTTGAATGTATGTATGTTTCAGAATGTAAGCCCTTCCTCTTTCCATTTCCCATTCTGACTTTACTTTCCAGGGAACGCCTGCACCCTGAGGAACAGCAACAGCAGCCGTTTTGGGAAATACATCCAGCTGCAATTGAACAGGTGCCAGTTTCCAAAACCAATAGCCCAGGTGCCCGCCAGTGGCGCATCATAACAATGAGGCTTCAACCTCAGCGTGAAAGGACTTGGGGGGGCATAGTCTTCCTTTCTGTAGGGGTCTTTCAGGGGTACCTTTAGTTGTATATTTCTAAGTTGCATTATTCCATTTCTTGTGTTCTCCAGAGCACAGCTTCTCACCGGTGCGTCCATTCAGACCTTCCTGCTGGAGAAGACGAGAGTGGCCTATCAAGCCCCACAGGAGAGGAATTTCCATATTTTCTACCAGGTTGGTGCGTGTTGTTTCTACAGTGCACCACACAGGGGCGGCTCATCCATTACGCAAAGTAAGCGGTCGCAGAACACTTTTTTTTGCCGGGGCGCAGAGGCGCCTCTGTAAATGCCCCTCGACCGCCCCTCTTGTTCCTGCTCCACCCAGCCACCGGGTGCGCGAGCAGAGCTGGCGCTCAATCGTTCTCTGCGTTCGATCCCTTTTCCATGACCGGCTCCCTTTCCCGATCCCCCAGCACTCCACCCGCCTCCTCTCCTCTCCCCAATCCACGGGTGGGCCAAGGGGCAGAGCTGCCGCACCTGGCCCGCTTTGGGTCCGGAGGCGTGCCTGAAGATGCCAGCATGCTCACCAAAAGTCGCCTCTTCTCCTGACTTTCTCTTCAGCCATTGGGACCAAGAGAGAGAGAGAGAGAGCGAGCCCCTCCGGCTGGAGGTATCTCCCACCTCCGCTCCCTCCTTTGTTTTTGCGCCTACCTTCAGGAAAGGTGGGCATCTCCACCTCTCTCTCTCTCTCTCTCTTGGTCCCAATGGCTGAGGAGAAAGTCAGGAGAAGAGGTGACTTTTGGTGCACACACCGGGGTCTTCAGGCACGCCTCCGGACCCAAAGCGGGCCAGGCAAGGGAGCAAGTGCGGCAAGTGTAGTTACTGGGATGTATAGTTCACCTACAATCAAAGAGCATTCTGAACTCCACCAATGATGGAATTGAACCAAATATGGCACACAGAACTCCCACGACAAACAGAAAATATATATCAATGATTGGTGGGGGGGGGGGGGCAAAAAACTATTTGCTTACCGTTGAAAATTACCTAGGGCCGCCTCTGGCACCACATCACTCTCTACGATCCCCCTTTGCCATTGCTCCCCAAGAGGTCTGGTCTGGAGAGAAGGCTTGACTATATGTGCAATGTTTGGACGAATCATGCCCAAGCGCAACTTACAAATGGACATATGTTTGGACAGTTGATCAGCCTTTATAGAAACCTATCACAGGTGTGGTTCTCTGTCTCCTTCTCTTTTGTCCCTGTTTTCCTGCTTTTGTTACAGTGGGGAGGGAAGTATTTAGTTAGATAGCAATTGCACAAGTTCTCCCACTTAAAAAGATGAGAGAGGCCTGTAATTGACATCCTAGGTAGACCTCAACTATGAGAGACAGCATGAGAAAACACATCTGGAGAATCACACTGTCTGCTTTTCAATGAATTTATTTGCCAATTATGGTGGAAAATAAGTATTTGGTCCGTAACAAAAGTTCATCTCAATACTTTGTTTTATATCCCTTATTGGCAATGACAGAGGTCAAAAGTTTTCTGTAAGGCAGTGGTTCTCAACCTTCCTAATGCCAGGACCCCTTAGTACAGGTCCTCATGTTGTGGTGACCCCCAACCATAAGGTTATTTTCGTTGCTACTTCATAACAGTAATTTTACTACTGTTATGAATTGTAATGTAAATATCTGATATGCAGGATGTATTTTCAGTCACTGGACCACATTTGGCACCAATACCCGATATGCCCAAAATTTGAATACTGGTGGGGTTGGGGGTGATTGATTTTGTCATTTGGTAATGCTTGAGTTGCTGTGATTTATAGTTCACCTTAAATCGAAGAGACTTCTGAACTCCATCAATATGGAATTGAATCAAACAGGGCACACAGAATTCCCATGACCAAGAGAAAATACTGAGAAGGTATGGTGGAGATTGACCTTGAGTTTTTGGAGTTGTAGTTCACCTACATCCAGAGAACACTGTGGACTCAAGCAATGATGGATCTGGATCAAACTTGGCACAAATATTCAATATGCCCAAATGTGAACACTGATAGAGTTTGGAGAAAATAGACCTTGCCATTTTGGAGATGTAGTTGTTGGGATTTATAGTTCTTGGCACACAGACCTCCCATGACCAACAGAAAATACTGGAAGGGCTTGGTGGACATTGACCTTGAGTTTGGGAGTTGTAGTTCATCGACATCCAGAGAGGACTCAAACACTGACCAAACTTGGCACGAATATTCCATATGCCCAAATATGAACACAGATGGAGTTTGGGGGAAATAGACCTTGCGCTCTGGGAGTTGTGGTTGCTGGGATGTGTAGTTCACCTAGAGTCAAAAAGTATTCTGAACCCCACCAACGATAGAATTGGACCAAACATTCCACACAGAAGCCCCATGACCAATAGAAAATACTATGTTTTCTGATGGTCTTTGGCGACCCCTCTGACACCCCCTTGCGACCCCCATAGGGGTCCCGACCCCCAGGTTAAGAAACACTGCTGTAAGGGCTTCCCAGTTCTCAGTGTCTATGCCAGAGTTTTTAAGGTTGGTTTTGAGCCCATCTTTCAATCTCTTTTCCTGTCCTCCAAAATTCCATTTTCCGTTCTTGAGTTCAGAGTAGAGCAACTGCTTTGGGAGACGGTGGTCGGGCATCCAGACAACGTGGCCAGTCCAGCGGAGTTGATGGCGGAGGAGCATCGCTTCAGTGCTGGTGGTCTTTGCTTCTTCCAGCACGCTGACATTTGTCCGCCTGTCTTCCCAAGAGATTTGTGTGCCAGCTGCGCCCGTACCTTGGGAAGTCTGACTTGGAGGTGGTAGTCCACGCTGTGGTCACATCCCGTATAGACTACTGCAACACTCTCTACGTGGGGTTGCCTCTGAAGACTGCTCGGAAGCTTCAAATGGTCCAACGATCGGCAGCCAGGATGCTAACAGGAGCGGCACTCAGGGAACATACAACTCCACTGTTGCGCCAGCTCCACTGGCTGCCAATTTGCTACCGGGCACAATTCAAAGTGCTGGCTTTAGCTTTAAAACCCTAAACAGTTCTGACCCGACTTACCTATCTGAACGCATCTCCTCCTATGAACCAGTTAGGACATTAAGATCGTCTGGGGAGGCCATGCTCTCGATCCCGCCGGCTTCACAAGCACGCCTGGCGGGGACGAGAGACAGGGCCTTCTCAGTGGTGGCCCCTCGGCTGTGGAATGCCCTTCCTACTATTAGATCGGCCCCCTCCCTACTGGCATTCCAGAGGAGAGTGAAGACCTGGCTGTTCGAACAGGCATTCAACTAGGCAGTGTAATTGATTATTAAAACATGGAATAATGGATATCGAGACTGGATTCTGATTCTATTGATGAGACGTGATGGATTTGTTATATTGATGTATTGATGTTTGATGTTTAATCGTTATGCTTTTAAATGTCCAATGATTTTGTACTGTGTATATTGAAACTGTTGTTGTTAACCACTCTGAGTTGCGGAAGGGCTGATAAATACAAGTGAAGTAAATAAATAAATAAATAAATAAATGTGCAGGATTTTCCGGAGGCAGCGCTGATGGACTCATTCCAGGAGTTGCATGTGACGTCTGTAGACAGTCCACGTCTCACAGGCATAGAGCAGGGTTGGGAGGACAATAACTTTATAAACAAGCACCTTGGTATCTCTATGGATGTCCCAATCCTCAAACTCTCTGTGCTTCAGTCGGAAAAGTGCAGCACTCGCAGAGCTCTGGTAGTGTTGTATTTCAGTGTCAATGTTGACTTTTGTGGAGAGGTGGCTGCCAATGGAGTGGAAATGGTCAACATTTTCTAATGTTACACCATTAAGCTGTATCTCTGGCACTGGAGAGGGATTGGCCGGTGACTGCTAGAAGAGCACTTTGGTTTTCGCGATGTTCAATGACAGGCCGTTCTCGTATGCTTTGGGGAACGTGTTTAGAGTGGCTTGTAGGTCTTCTTCAGAATGCGCACAGATGACGTTGTCATCAGCATATTGGAGTTCTATGTTGTAACCTTGGTTTTGGCTTTCATTCTGCTGAGGTTAAATAGCTTGCCATCTGTCCAATTATTTCCACTTCAGTGGGAGGCTTCCCATCAACAAGCTGAAGTATCATCCTGGAAAGAAATCATGACGGCGTGCTTTTGTGTGTTTGCATGGCAGAGGAGCTCCTCTCTCGAAAACCAGGCTGAAAGAGAGGGAGGAGTTTTGCTGTGGGTTTCTCCCATGGTTTGGAGCAACGGCCCATTGATTTTTCATTTCATTTCAAGCACCGTTCCCTTTTCCTTCGCTGTCCAGGTTGCCAAAGGGGCCACCAAAGTGGAGCGACTCGAATGGAGCCTTCCTCGTGGCGCCACGTTCTCCTGGCTACCGAATTCTGAAAAAGCTCTCGAAGGTATGATTTTCAACCTTACCAGACTTTGGCCATGTCTTGGTCAATTATAATATGTGATACATTTTTTGTTCCTTGCTTCTAAATGTCATTTCCTAATTGCTTCTATCATAAAAACATGGGAAAAGTGTATTAAACTGTTGGGCAAGTGGGCTTATGAACAAACGACCCTCCCCATAAACTTATTAGCAGCAGCATGACACAGCACCATTAACTCAAAGTGATAAAATGAACAAAAACACACAGACTGAATGTTAACTCTTCCATAGCAGGCTTTTCTTTCTAGTAAAATAAAGTATTTACAAGAACAAGGTTTTCATGATACAAATCAAGTTCAACCTTCACACTGGAGCTTCACACATGAAGCCTTCTCATACGCAGGCCTATCTCACACACTCAGGCCTTCTCACACTGAGGTCCTTCTCACACTGAGGCCTTCTCACACTGAGGGCTTTCTCAGACTCAGGCCTTTTTCCCACTCAGGAGTCTTACAGACTCACAGACACAAGTAAAGTTCAGCCTTCACACATGAGGCTTTCGCATACCCAGGCCTATCTCACACACTGAGGCCTTCTCACACTGAGGCCTTTCTCCCATTGAGGCCTCTTACAGACTCACAGACACAAATAAAGTTCAGCCTTCACACTGGAGCGTCGGACATGAGGCCTTCTCATACCCAGGCCTATCTCACACACTGAGGCCTTCTTACACTGAGGCCTTTCTCCCACTGAGGCCTTCTCACACTGAGGCCTTTCTCAGACTCAGGCCTTTTTCCCACTGAGGCCTCTTACAGACTCACAGACACAGATAAAGTTCAGCCTTCACGCTGGAGCTTCGGACATGAGGCCTTCTCGTACCCAGGCCTATCTCACACACTGAGGCCTTTCTCCCACTGAGGCCTTTCTCAGACTCAGGCCTTTTTCCCACTGAGGCCTCTTACAGACTCCCAGACACAAATAAAGTTCAGCCTTCACACTGGAGCTTCGGACATGAGGCCTTCTCATACCGAGGCCTATCTCACACATTGAGGCCTTGTCTTACACTGAGGCCTTTCTCCCACTGAGGCTTTCTCACACTGAGGCCTTTCTCAGACTCAGGCCTTTTTCCCACTGAGGCCTCTTACAGACTCACAGACACAAATAAAGTTCAGCCTTCACAGTGGAGCTTAGGACATGAGGCCTTCTCATACCCAGGCCTATCTCACATACTGAGGCCTTCTTACACTGAGGCCTTCTCACACTGAGGCCTTTCTCAGACTCAGGGCTTTTTCCCACTGAGGCCTCTTACAGACTCACAGACTAGGGGCGAACTTACACTGAGGCCTGTTATCTCTTCCATATGAGGATTTTCTTTACAGCCAAATAATATGGTTGCACTATTTACAAGAACAAGGTTTCCATAACACAAAGTTCTTTATACTTCCTTCATTTCTTCCACGCTGGACTTCTTTCTCAATCAGATAAAAAGCTTTGCTCACAGAGCCTCTTCTCACACTAATCTTACACAGGAGGTTCATGCAGTAGCTTTTTACACACAGCAGCCTCAACACTGGAGCTTTATAGATGAGGCCTTCAACCTGGGGCTTCTTTCACCGAAGCTTCTCCCACCAGGCCTTCTCACACTGAGGTCTCTCTCAGACTGAGGACAACTAACACTGAGGCAGTGTTTACAGGAACAAGGTTTCCATGACACAAATAAAGTTCAGCCTTCACACTGGAGCTTCGGACATGAGGCCTTCTCATACCCAGGCCTATCTCACACACTGAGGCCTTCTCACACTGAGGGCTTTCTCAGACTCAGGCTTTTTTTCCCACTGACTCACAGACTGGGGGCGAACTTACACTGAGGCCTGTTAACTCTTCCATATGAGGCTTTTCTTTATAGCCAAATAATATGGTTGCACTATTTTCAAGAACAAGGTTTCCATAACACAAATAAAGTCCTTTATTCTTCCTTCTTTGCTTCCACGCTGGGCTTCTTTCTCATGCAGATGAACAGCTTTGCTGTCACAGCACCCAGTGTGCTGATCACCACTGGGACCACCTTGACTGGTCTTCGCAATTTGATCTTTAAAACCTCATATCGTGTCAGTTTTCCCAGTTGCTTCTCGTCAATTCTGCTGTCACCTGGGATTGCAACATGGACGATCCACACTGTATTTTTTTCCCACGATCATGAGGTCGGGAGTATTGTTCTCCAAAACTCTGTCAATCCGGATACGGAGGTCCTAGAGTAGTTTGGCGTGTTCATTTTGTGTAACTTTTTCATGCTTATGGTGATGATGATGATGATGATTATTATTATTATTATTATGAGTGAACCAAGTGTGTCTCTCTTTGCCAGAGGACGACTTCGATGTGACACGGGAGGCCATGTCACATTTGGGCATTGACAGTTCCACGCAGAATAACGTCTTCAAGGTCAGTTGGAAGGCCTATCTGTTACTTGTATATCAGGGGTCCCCTTTGACCTGGCCCTCGCCCTAAACTTTAGACTTCGGGTCGCCTTGAGTCTGAAGCAACTTGAAGCCACACAACAACAATCCTATCTAACTTGATTCTCTCATCAGGCATTTCATTCCCATTGAAACCCTGATACGTTTGTGTTGGTTGCCACCTCTGGCTGCACCTATGGCTTCCATTCCTGCCTCTCCGTGGATCTTTAAGGTTCTAGCACTGAGCTAATCTGGAACATTTGTGCCTCTATTGCAGATATTAGCAGGCTTACTCCACTTGGGCAACGTCGGCTTCTGTGAATCGGAGGACGAGTCGCAACCTTGCACACTGGAAGCGCATGCCAAAGGTGAACAATCAATGAAATGCAAATATACAGAATGGGGGACGATGCCTGGCTTGGAGTCCTCGTGGACAACAAGTTAAACATGAGCCAACAATGTGATGCAGCGGCAAAAAAGCTAATGGGATTTTGGCCAGCATCAATAGGAGTCTAGTGTCTAGATCCAGGGAAGTCATGCTCCCCACGCTCTATTCTGCCTTGGTTAGACCACACCTGGAATATTGTGTCCAATTCTGGGCATCACAACTGAAGGGAGATGTTGACAAGCTGGAATGTGTCCAGAGGACGACGACTAAAATGATCAAGGGTCTGGAGAACAAGCTCTATGAGGAGCGGCTTAAAGAGCTGAGCATGTTTAGACTGAAGAAGAGAAGGCTGAGAGGAAACATAATAGCCATGTATAAGTATGTGAGATGTAAGGGAGATATTGACTCTAAGCTGGAATGTATCGAGAGGAGGGTGACTCAAATGATTAAGGATCTGGAGAACAAGCCCTATGAGGAGCGGCTTAAAGAGCTGGGCATGTTTAGCCTGAAGAAGAGAAAGCTGAGAGGAAACATGATGGCCATGTATAAGTATGTGAGAGGAAGCCACAGGGAGGAGGGAGCAAGCTTGTTTACTGCTTCCATGGAGACTAGGACACGGAACAATGGCTTCAAACTACAAGAAAGGAGATTCCATCTGAACATTAGGAAGAACTTCCTGACTGTAAAGAGAGCCGTTCAGCAATGGAACTCTCTGTCCCAGAGTGTGGTGGAGGCTCCTTTGGAGGCTTTGAAACAGAGTCTGGATGGCCATCTGTCAGGGGTACTTTGAATGCAATTTTCCTGCTTCTTGGCAGAATGGGGTTGGATTGGATGGCCCATGAGGTCTCTTCCAATTCAAGGATTCTATGAGTCAATCAGCTATGTTTTCCTATCATATTATAGAATCATAGAATCATAGAGTTGGAAGAGTTCTTCCTCGTGTTCAGATGGAATCTCCTCTCTTGTAGTATGAAGCCATTGTTCCACGTCCTAATCTCCTCTCAGCCTTCTCTTCTTCAGGCTAAACATGCCCAGCTCCTTAAGCCGCTCCTCATAGGGCTTGTTCTCCAGATCCTTGATCATTTTAGTCGCCCTCCTCTGGACATATTGCGTATTTGTGCCAAGTTTGGTCCAGATCCATCTTCGTTTAAATCCACAGTGCTTCCTGGATGGAGGTTCAATTCCATCATTGCTGGAGTTCAGAATGCTCTTTGGTTGTAGGTGAACTATAAATTCCAGTAACTACAACTCCAAAACTTAAGGTCAATACCCACCAAACCCTTCCAGTATTTTATCTTGGTCATGGGAGTTCTGTGTGCCAAGACTGGTTCAATTCCATCATCGGTGGAGTTCAGAATGCTCTTTGATTGTAGGTGAATTATAAATCTCAGCAACTACAACTCCCAAATGTCAAGGTCTATTTCCCCCAAACTTCACCAGTGTTCAAATTTGGGCATATGGAGTATTTGTGCCAAGTTTGGTCCAGATCCATCATTGTTTAAGTCCACAGTGCTTCCTGGATGGAGGTTCAATTCCATCATTGGTGGAGTTCAGAATGCTCTTTGGTTGTAGGTGAACTATAAATCCCAACAACTACAACTCCAAAACTTGAGGTCAATACCCACCAAATACTTCCAGTATTTACTGTTGGTCATCGGGGTTCTGTGTGCCAAGACTGGTTCAATACCATCCTTGGTGGAGTTCAGAATGCTCTTTGACTGTAGGTGAACTATAAATCCCAGCAAGTACCACTCCCAAATGTCAAGGTCTATTTCCTCCAAACTTCACCAGTGTTCAAATTTGGGCATATAGAGTATCAGTGCCAAGTTTGGTCCAGATCCATCCTTGTTTGAGTCCACAGTGCTGTCTGGACGTATGTGCACTACAACTCCCAAACTCAAGGTCAATGCCCACCAAACCCTTCCAGTATTTTCTGTTGGTCAAGGGAGTTCTGCATGCCAAGTTGGGTTCAATTCCATCGTTGGTGGAGTTCAGAATACTCTTTGATTGTGGGTGTACTATAAATCCCAGCAGCTACAACTCCCAAATGACAAAATCCCACCAATATTCAAATTGGGGCGCATTTGTGCCAAATTTGGTCCAGTGAATGAAAATACATCCTGCATTTCAGATATTTACATTACGATTCATAGAGTGGCAAAATTCCAGTTATGAAGTAGCAATGAAAATAATGTTATGGTTGGGGGTCTCCACAACATGAGTAGGTGTATTAAGGGGTCGCGGTTTTATTTTAGTTTCTTCATGAAGAAGACGGACAGCCAGGCAACTTGCACAGAAGTTACCTTCAAAGGACTGCCGTCCCGTCTTGGCTTTTGACCACCAAATATATAGCCTCAAGTAAACAGGAACATTTTTTGTCATGGAAAAGTACTCTCTTTCCAGCCCCCTCTCTTTGACCTTTTGATGGAAGTACCTTTTTGTGCATGTGGCCTCTGCGCTTCAAAAACAGTCTTTGAAGCTAACCACAGGCAGACTGTGTAGGAAGTACCTTTTAAATGTCACTTCTTAAAGACATCCTCCCCTGCATTGCCATTTTGCTACAGAGGAAGGGTATGTTTCTTTTTTTGCTATTAATTTAATTCAAAGCCCCTTGTTTACTATTTGCAAATTTCGCTCAAAGACCTTTTCAGCGGCATTAGGAAGGTTGAGAAACTCTGTCTTAGAACATTTTGGAACGGATAGAATAAATTCAATCAGTTCTTACCTGTTTTTATGTCAACGGTTACTTCTGAAACAAGACTCTGCGAAGACTGCCTCCCGGCTGTTGGAGGTGCCCCAAGAGCGGCTGGTGGAGGCGCTGATCTTTCGGAGGATCACGGCCGGGAAGCAGCGCCAGGAGTTCAAGAAGGCCTGTCCCAAGGCCGAGAGCGGGATGCGGAGGGACTGCCTGGCCAAAACCATCTACGCCAAGTGAGTCTGCTGACCCTCCTTTTGGAAGAGAGTCGCCTTCCTTCCTCTTATTGCCTCATTCACTCGAATCTAATGCTCACCTTGTTTGGCTAAATGATTTTGCCAAAATTAGGGTGCGCATTAGATTCGTGTCATACGGTCGTCTTTGTTCCGAGCCCACGGGGAAGCTACTTCTGGAGCTCCTCTTTGAGGGATCCCATCTCTAATTTAATTGCCTTGGATCAAAGCTCTGCAATGCTGGGATTTGTTGTTTGGTGTTTGCCGCATTAGATTCAGTGGCGCTTTAGACTCTTGTCAATACAGTATTACTATTATTTCTCTTTACTTCCTGACTGTGAGAGCCGTTCAGCAGTGGAACTCTCTGCCCTGGAGTGTGGCGGAGACTCCTTCTTAGGAAACTCTGAAACAGAGGCTGGATGGGCATCTGTCGGAGGTGCTTTGAATGCAATTTTCCTGCTTCTTGGCAGAATGGGGTTGGACTGGATGGTCCATGAGGTCTCTTCCACCTCTATGATTCTTTCATGGGAGGCAGCCTTTGTCAGAAATATTAAAAATTAAGTAGGTATTTTTAATTACAAAAATGTGAGTCAAGCACTGAAAGGGTGAAATGGATGCAATGATTCAGTAAAAGTTGCAGTTCTATATAAGCAGGTGTGCTTGTAGCTGAGTAACTGTCAGTCTGTGAGAAGGCCTCACAGTGTGAGGTGGGCCTTAGACTGTGAGAGAAGGCCTCTGTGTGAGGTAGGTCATGGTCTGTGAGAAGGCCTCATAGTGTGTGGTAGACCTTAGTCTATGAGAGAAGGCCTCAATGTGAGGTAAACCTTAGTCTGTGAGAGAAGGCCTCACTGTGTGAGATAGGCCTTAGTCTGTGAAAGAAGTTATCACAGTGTAAGGGGGGCCTTATTCTGTGAGAGAAGGCATGTGTGAGGTAAGCCTTAGTCTGTGAGAGAAGGCCTCACAGCGTGAGGTAGGCCTTAGTCTGTGAGAGGCCTCACAGTGTAAGGTGGGCCTTATTCTGTGAGAGAAGGCCTCAGTGTGAGGTAGGCCATAGTCTGTGAGAAGGTATCACAGTGTGAGGTAAGCCTTGGACAGTGAGAAAAGGCCTCACTGTGTGAGATGGGCCTTAGTCTGTGAAAGAAGGTATTACAGTGTGAGGTAGGCCTTAGTCTGTAAGAGAAGACCTCACAGCGTGAGGTGGGCCTTAGTCTGTGAGAGAAGGCCTCACAATGTGAGATAGACCTTAGTTTATGAGAGAAGGCTTCAGTGTGAGGTAGGCCTTAGTTTGTGAGAGAAGGCCTCAGTGTGAGGGAGGCCATAGTCTGTGAGAGAAGGCCTCACAGTGTGAGGTAGGTCTTCGTCTGTGAGAGAAGGTATCTCAGTGTGAGGTAGGCCTTAGTTTGTGAGAAACTTTGGTGAGAGAGAAGCCCCAGGTTGAAGACCTCGTGGGTTAAGCCAGCTGTGTGTAAAGCTACTGAGTGAAGCTCTTCTGTAAGTGAAAAAGGAGAATCTGTGAGAGCCAAGCTGTTTATCTGCATGAGAACGAAGCCAGCGTGGAAGCAAAGAAGGAAGTATAAAGGACTTTATTTGTGTTATGGAAACCTTGTTCTTGCAAATAGTGCCTCCTTTGGAAGAGATAACCTTGGTTGGTGTGTTTTTGTTCTTTTTATATTACTTTGGATGTTTATGAGGAGGGTCTTTTGTTAATGAGCCCACTCACCCAACAGCCTTTTCCTTGGCTGTTTTCTCTTTCCGTTCCAGGCTCTTCGACTGGCTGGTGGCGGTGATTAATGCAAACATCTACGTAGATCCTTCTGGGTGGAGCAACTTCATAGGTAACCTCTTCCCAGCTCTTCCTGGGATCCCGATCCATGCCTTTTGGTCCCATTTGGATGTCGCTTGGACCCATCCGTTTCCGTTCCCGCCTGTGAACGCTCTGCCTCTTCCTCCAGGTCTGTTGGACGTTTACGGCTTCGAATCCTTTCCGGAGAACCACCTGGAGCAGCTGTGCATCAACTACGCCAACGAGAAGCTCCAGCAGCATTTTGTCAGCCATTTTCTGAAAGCACAGCAGGTACCCTTGAGTTCTCCATGTTTGTTTGCTCTTCTCCTGTGAGCATGGAGAGAGGCAAGATGTCTTCCGTGAGTTAGAGTTCACTATTCTTCAATAAAGTCTTTTGTAACTTCTGCTCCGGTAAGTTGGTGGTTCTTTCTCCAGGAGGAATATGCCCTGGAAGGCTTTGAATGGTCCTTCATCAACTACCAAGACAACCGAAGTTGTTTGGACGCAATCGAGGGCAGTCCCGTGAGCATCTTCTCGTTGCTGAATGAGGTGGGTCCTGGGTCCGGCTTCCGTGGTTTTTAATGGCCACAGCTTGTATGGAGAAACCGAGGCCCTTGGACTTTTCTCTTGGGCCCTTCTCTCTCTCACCATCCTATCCTTCCTTCCTTCTCTCTTTCCTTCCTCCTCCCATCCTTCCACCCTTCCTTCTATCCATCCTTCTCTTCCACGCTTTTGTCCTTCCTTCCTTCCCTCGTTCCTCCCTCCTTCCCTCTCTCTCTTTCTCCTTCCTTCCTTCCTTCCTTCCTCTCTTTTTCCTTCCTCCCTCCCTTATTTCCCTCCTTCTCCTTCTTCTTCCATCCTCCCCTTACAACCTTTTATCCTTCCTTCCCTCTTTCCTCACTCCTTCCCTTTCTCTCTCTTTCTCCTTCCATCCTTCCCTTGGTCTTTTCTTCCATTTCTCTTTCCGTCCTCCTTCTATCCTTCCCTTCTTTCCTTAACTGTCTCTTTCTCCTTCCCTTCCACCCTTTTGTCCTTCCATTCTTCCCTCTTTCCTCCCCCTTCCTTCTCTTTTTCCTCCCTCCCTTCTTTCCCTCCTTCTCTTTCTTCTTCCATCCTTCCCTTACATCCTTTTGTCCTTCCTTCCATCCTTCCTTCTCTCTTTCCTCCCTCCCTCCCATTCCTCCTTCTCCTTCCATTCTTCCCTTACAACCTTTTATCCTTCCTTCCCTCTTTCCCCTCCTTCCCTTTCTCTCTCTCTTTCTCCTTCCATCCTTCCCTTGGTCTTTCCTTCCTTCTCTCTTTCCTTCCTCTTTCCCTCCCTTCTTTCCTTATCTTTCTCCTTCCCTTCCACCCTTTTGTCCTTCTGTCCTTCGCTCTTTCCTCCCTCCTTCCTCATCTCTTTCTCCTTCCCTCCCTCCTTCCTTCCTTGTCTTTTTCCTCCCTCCCTCCCTTCTTTCCCTCTTTCTCTTTCTTCTTCCATCCTTCCCTTACACCCTTTTGTCCTTCCTTCCATCCTTCCTTCTCTTTCCTCCCTCCCACCCTTTCCTCCTTCTCCTTCCATTCTTCCCTTACAACCTTTTATCCTTCCTTCCCTCTTTCCTCCCTCCTTCCCTTTCTCTCTCTTTCTCCTTCCATCCTTCCCTTGGTCTTTCCTTCCTTCTCTCTTTCCTTCCTCTTTCCCTCCCTTCTTTCCTTATCTTTCTCCTTCCCTTCCACCCTTTTGTCCTTCTGTCCTTCGCTCTTTCCTCCCTCCTTCCTCATCTCTTTCTCCTTCCTTCCTTCCCTCCTTCCTTCCTTCCTTCCTTCCCTCCTTCCTTCCTTCCTTCCTTGTCTTTTTCCTCCCTCCCTCCCTTCTTTCCCTCTTTCTCTTTCTTCTTCCATCCTTCCCTTACACCCTTTTGTCCTTCCTTCCATCCTTCCTTCTCTCTTTCCTCCCTCCCGCCCTTTCCTCCTTCTCCTTCCATTCTTCCCTTACAACCTTTTATTCTTCCTTCCCTCTTTCCTAGCTCTTTCCCTTTCTTTCTCTCTCTCTTTCTCCTTCCATCTTTCCCTTGGTCTTTCCTTCCTTCTCTCTTTCCTTCCTCTTTCCCTCCCTTCTTTCCTTATCTTTCTCCTTCCCTTCCACCCTTTTGTCCTTCTCTCCTTCGCTCTTTCCTCCCTCCTTCCTCATCTCTTTCTCCTTCCTCCTTCTCTCCCTCCCTCCTTCCTTCCTTGTCTTTTTCTCCCTCCCTCCCTTCTTTCCCTCCTTCTCTTCTCTTCTTCATCCTTTCTTGCACCCTTTTTGTCCTTCCTTCCTTCCTTCCCTCCCTCCTTCCTTCTCTGTTTCTTCTCTCCCTCCCACCTTTTCCTCCTTCTCTTTCCTCTTCCATCCTTCCCTGACAACCTTTTATTCTTCCTTCCTTCTTTCCCTTTCTCTCTCTTTCTCTTTCCATCCTTCCCTTGTATTTTCTTCCTTCTCTCTTTCCTTGCCTTCCTCCTTCTTTCCTTACCTCCATCTTTCCCTTCCACCCTTTTGTCCTTCCTTCCTTCCTTCCTTCCTCTTTCCTCCCTCCTTCCCTCTCTCTTTCTCCTTTTTTTTCCTTCCCTTTTGTCTTTTCCCTTTTTTTCTCTTTTCCCTCCTTTCCCTTCCCTCCTTTCTTCCTTCCTTCCTTCCCTTCACTTTTCCTTCTTCCTTCCTTCCCTCTATCCTTCCTCCTTCCTTTCTCTCTCTTCTCCTTCCATCCATCTTTTCCTTCTCTCTTTCCTTCCTCTTTTCTCTCTCCTTCCTCTCCCTTCCCTCCCTCCTTCCCTTTTCTTTCCTTCCCTCCTCTTTCCCTCTTCCTTCCCTCTCTTTTTCCTTCCTCCTTCCTTCCTTCCTTCCTTCCTTCCTTCCTTCCTTCCCTTTTGTCTTTCCTTCTTTCTCTCTTTCCTCCCTCCCACCCTTCCTTCCCTCCTTCTCTTTCTTCTTTCCTTCTTTCCTTCAAGATTCAAGGATTCTATACCAGGAGTAGGCAATACAGGGATTCATGGAGACACTTTTTCTCTCCCATCCACCATCTCATCCTGACCAAAGCCAACCCTTTTGGGATCCAAACGTTTCCCGTCTTCCCCTCATTTCTGCCTCCGAAAGAGAGAAGCAAAGGGCAGGGAGAGGGCTTGAGAGAACCCCTTTCCTCCCAGCCCGCCCACCACACTCCAGACCAGCAAGTGGCCCCCAAGTTAGAAAGTTTGCGCATTCCTGCTCTAGACGTTCTGCCCACCGTCTCTAACTTCCTCCCACTCTCCTCATTTTGGGTTTCCCTTCTGCAGGAGTGCCGTCTCAACCGACCCTCCAACGCTGGGCAGCTTCAGACCCGAATCGAAGTTGCTCTGTCTGACAATCGGTGCGTCGGCCGGGACCGGTTTCGGAAGGAGCCGAATTTCATTGTTTCCCATTATGCTGGAAATGTCTGTTACCGGGTGGAGGGCATGGTCGAGAAGAACAAGGTGTGTTCAAGAGGGCAGTTCACTACCGAATTATTGACTCAAGTCTCATGTGCCATTGTCCGAGGGTTGAATGAAAAGTAATGCCTCCACTTTCGTAACTCTTCAACAGATGGTAGTACTGGTATGCGACAGGTACTGGCTTGTTCAGTAGACTCTCCCCTACAGTTCCATTTTGGCGGGAAGCCTTAGCATTGAACAGTTGTGTTGTTAAGGTGCAAAGTATGGAACCCTGCGCAGACGGTTGGTCAATGCAACTTAAGCAACGTGCAGTCATTGAATTCTTGACAGCAGAAGGTGTCACCCCAAAGGGGATTCATCAGAGTATGCAAGCTGCTTAATGTGATTGTGTTGATGTGAATACTGTGCGTCGTTGGGCAAGTAAGTTTAAATATGTTGAGGTGGGAACATCTGACTTGCGTGACAAACAAAGAGTTGGATGTTCTGTGACAGCAACCACCCAGTTTCACAAGGAAAAGATAGGCAGATTGATTCAGGACGAGCGTCGTATCACTCAGAGAGAAATTTCAAGAAAAATCGGCATTTCACAAGCACGTGTGTGTCACATTATTGCTTTGCTTGACTATGGGATGATCTGTGCACGATGGGTACCCAGGATGAGAGCTGTGAGACGCTGGTTGTGGAAACAGAGTGTTGACTTCTTCCGTGACGGCTTCAGAAAACTTGTTCATAGTTAGCAGAAATGTATCCAATTGTCTGGTTTATGTGGGAAAGTGACTAGTGATATTGCTTTGCTTGGCTATTGGAAGATCTATTGGAAAAGAAGTGAAAACCTGGCTATTTGAGCAGGCGTTCGTACAATGAGTGCAATGAGTGCAATGATTGGTTAATGATTGGTTAATGAACACTGGAATGGATCATTGGATGACGAATGTGGATCATGTTTTGATGATGAGATGATAGTGAATGGCTATTGTAGTAATTGTTAATTGATAATTGTTTATTGTTATTAATTATGCAACTCTATTAAGTTGATAACTGCTTTTATACTGTAATTATTGAATTTTGTTGTCTCTTGTTGTTGTGAACCGCTGTGAGTTGCCTTCGGGCTGAGAACAGCGGTATATAAGCAAGGTAAATAAATAAATAAAGATCTGTGCACGATGAGTACCCAGGATGAGAGAATTGTGAGACGCTGGTTGTGGAAACAGAGTGTTGACTTCTTCCCTGACGGCTTCAGAAAACTTGTTCATTGTTAGCAGAAATGTATCCAATTGTCTGGTTTATGTGGGAAAGTGAATAGTGGTATTGCTTTGCTTGGCTATTGGAAGATCTGTGCACGATGGGACCCAGGATGCTGAGGCCTGAAATGAAAGCGCACAGACTTGAAACTTCAGAGACTGGATCTCACCACCATACGACATCCTCGCATGCTCAGCAGCAAGCAGTGCCCTCTTTGTCATGTGGACAATACATTTGCTGCGGGATTAGAATTCCTTCCTTCAAAACAAAAGTGTGAAGACAACAAAGCTTCCAACGATGGAAAGTCAAACCTTGGGGTGCTTCTGTACTGTAGAATGACTTCACTTTAATTGCCTTGGTTCAATGCTATCGGGGCTGTAGTTTGACAAGGCCTTAAGCCTTCTCTCCCAAAGTATGCTGTTGCTGTGTCAAACTACAAATCCCAGGAACCTATAGCATTAAGCCATTAAATGAGAGGTGATGTCCCTCAGAGAGGAGCTCCTGAAGCAGCTTCCCCTTTGCACTAAGATTAACGTATTACGTAAATCTAACGTGCACCCCAATTTTGGTCACTGCCATTTAGCCAAAAAGAGGTGAGCGTTAGATTCGAGTAAATAGGGTAACGCAACTTGAGGCCACCCTAGAGAAGGCCTTGGTCACCGTGTTGACATAGGCACGGCTGGCAGGGACGAGAGTAAGGGCCTTCTCAGTGGTGGCTCCCCGGCTGTGGAACGCCCTTCCCACAGACATTAGATTAGCACCATCTCTAAATGTATTCCACAAAAAAAAGTAAAGACCTGGTTATTTGTGAAGGCGTTCGAATAACTAGTGCAATGAATGGTAATGACATAGGAATGGAACAATGGATGACGAATCTGGATCATGTTTTTTAGTGATGAGACGCTAGTGAATGGTTATTGTAGTAATTGTGTACTAATTGTGTATTATGTTAGGTTGTTAACTGTTTTTATATTGGTGCATTGAATTTTGCTGTTCTTGTGTGTTGTGAACTGTTGTGAGTCGCCTCCGGGCTGAGAACAGCGGTATATAAGTAAAGTAAATAAATAAATAAATTTAGTATTGATGACAGACAGAATGGAATAGAGAGGCTGACCTACTGAACCGGAGACCCTTGTCTTGTCATAATAAGCATACTACTAATAATAATCATAATAATAACACTTTATTTATATTCCTCCCTATGGGGACTCAGGACGGATCACAGTACACATACATTTACTATATAATGTAATATAATATATTGTATATATATATGATATTTATAATATTATAATGTAATGCAATATAATAATATGATATAATTATTTATGTTACATGTATTATTACTAATAATATTACAATATAATGGTATAGTACAATTACAGCTCAGGCTGTTTTCAAATAGCTTAGGTCAACAGTAAGCTGGCTTGACAGTTGGCAGCTCATGCCGACCCGGGGCTTTGAACTGGCAACCATTTGGTTGGTAGATCTTATAATTGCTGATTTACCAGCTGCGTTGTTGCAATCCCATTTATTCCTTATGATTATCGCAGTGAATGTTTACACATATGTCGCTGTTTTCTTTCTTTTTTTAAGGACCCCGTCCCGCCGGAATTAGTCCTGCTCCTGCAACAATCCCAAGATCCCTTGCTTCAGGAATTGTTTCCGCCGCCGCCTTCCAGAAGCAGTGAAGACAACGTCAAAACTCAGACCAAACCAGCGGTGGTTACAGTCGTCTCAAAATTCAAGGTTTGGCCCATTTGTAGATCTTTTTAAATCTACCGGGACTTTCTTCTTCTTCTTTTCCTTTGTTTTCTTTGTCAGGAAGGCAGAATATAGACTCAATCCGTGCTTCCCAGGTTTTGATCCTCCTGGCATTTTGGACTTCAGCTCCCAGAATTGCTGATCATTATACAAAGCTGGCTCTTGGGAGTTGTAGTCCATAACACCTAGAGGACCAAAGGTCAGGAAACAACCAAATGAATGATATTTGAGGCAGACAGATCAGCCATTATTCCTCTCCTGGGTACTAGCCCCTTTCAAACCTTAAAGACTAGAGGCCTGACCGAAAGCCTGGCTTCACATCCAACTTTTGGACGGTTCCATGTGCTGTCTGGCTGTAGGGTAAACTACAACTCCCACTATGGGGAGTCAATCCCCTCAACTCCCCCCCCCCCCCCCCCCCCCCCCCCCGCAGTAGGTTGAGTGAGTCATGGGGACTCTGTGTGCCAAGTTGGGTCCAGGTCCATTATTGATGGAGGTCACAGTGTCTCTGGTTGTGGCTGAACTACAACTCCCAGAAAGGAAAGTCAGTTCCCCAAACCCTTCCAGCCTGGGGATGAACTTCAACTCCCAGGAAGGAAGGTCAACCTACTTGGGGGGGCGGGGAGGTTGAGGGGACTGACTCCCCATAGTGGGGATTGTAGTTTACCCTACAACCAGACAGCACGCAGAACCCCACCAATGATGGATCCAGAGTAAACTTGCCCAACATAACAAACTTTACTGATGGAGTTCTTTGGGGTTAACCTGACACGATGGGAGTTGTAGTTCAGCCACAACCTTATGCATTCTATACAATTTAAAAATTTTTTTGAAATAACTCGGGCAATGCCTGGTACCCAAGCTAATATATGTGTGTGTGTGTAGATAGATAGATAAATAGATAGATAGATAGATAGATAGATAGATAGATAGATAGATACTTACTTACTTAGGCGATCCCTCGTTTTCCGAGGATGATTGTCTTCCAGAGTTCTTGTGGGTCCGTATGTGGCCGTGGAGCCCTATTCTTGCTCTGCATCTTCTCCCGCAATGAGGGCATTGGTTTCCAGGTGGAAGGCGGTCTCGGTCGGAGTTGGCTTGATGCGCCTTCCTCTTGGCACGCTTCTCCCTTTCGCCCTCCATTCGTACCTCTTCAAATTCTGCAGCACTGCTGGTCCCTTTCCTCCTTCTTTCCCTTTCTTCATTTTCTTCCCCTTCATTTTCTTCCCTCCCTCCTTTCTTCAGCCCCCTCCTTTCTTTCCCTCCTTCTTTCCTCCCTCCCTTCCTGTCCCTCCTTTCTTTTCCTTCCTTCCCTTCTTTCCCTCCCTCCCTTCCTTTTTCCTTCCTGTCCTTCCTGTCCCTCCTTCCTTTTTCCTTTCCTTCTTTCTATGTAAGATATAAATACAATATTAAATGGAAGGGACAGTCAAGAAGTAATGAGTGAAGGAGGGAAAGAGGGAAGGAAGGACGGAGAGAAAGAGGGAGGGAAAGAAAGAAAGAAAGAAAGATAGAGAGGTAAGGAAGGAGAGAAGGAAATAAAAAAAGTGAAAGGAAAAAGAGAGGGAAGGAAGGAGAGAAGGAACAAAAGATAGGGAAGGAAGGAAGGATGTAACCAAAGAGCAAAGAAAGGGAGGAAAGAAACAGGTAGAGATGGAAGAAAGATGAGAGATAGGGAAAGAAAAAGAGGAAAGGAAGGAAAGAGGGAAGGGAGGAGAGGAAAAGGGAGGCTTCCTTGGCCACAGCAACGCGTGGCGGGTACAGCTAGCACAGTATAATAATAATAATAATAATAATAATAATAATAATAATAATAATCCTTTATTTGAACCCCGCTACCATCTCCCGAAGGACTCGGTGCGGCTTACAAGAAGCCGAGCCCAAATACATCAGTTAAACAACAACAACAACAATACAACAATAAATAAAGTCATAAACAAGCAGTAAACATTAACAATAACACCACGACGCATTAAAAGAACCTATGGCAGGGCCAAGTGTAATAATGACTGTCCCTATATCGCAGTTTTTCACTTATCGCGGGTTTTTCACTTATCCCAGGATTACGTGAACAACATGTTCAAGAAGGGTTATGTCATGTATAAGTGTGTGGGGAAGGTTTATCAACACTAAAAATAGTGTATAACTACTAAAATAATGTATAAATATTAAAATAAATATAGCGTCCCTACTTTGCGGATTTTCACTTTTCGCGGGTGGTCCTGGAACGTAACCCCCGCGATAAGTGAGGGAACACTGCATTCACAAATAGGAAGAAATTATAAAATATAGAAATCTAAGCGTATGAAGCAACAAGTGAAAAAAGGGTGAAACTGAGCCAAGAGAGAAGCGCAGAATCCCTAGAATGCAGCTGTCAATCAGGCAGCTAAAAAAGAAATCGGGATTGATCAATAGAGATTGCAGAGAGATTTGAATATTAGAAACGATTATTTACCAACTCCTCGAAGGGATGGCTCACCATTCTTATTGTTCTAGGCTTCCCTCGAGCAGCTGATGGAGATCCTGCACAGCACCACTCCACATTACATCAGGTGCATCAAGCCCAATGCCGAATGTGAAGCCGACCTCTTCCGACAAGAGGAGGTGAGCCTTTCATTCTTGTCGTTGTTGTTGTTTGTATTACATTTTTGCTCACCATTCACAAACATAGGAGCACTCATTCATCTCCACACATGCATCACCATTTCACCATTCTTCTACCTTAGGCAGGACTGCTTTTTTGCAAATGTCAACACAAAATGCATCCTTTCCCTAAGAACAATGTCAAAGATCCGATCTCTGTTTGCCATACAACAGAACCAGACTTCTCTACACAAAATCGAAGACTTCAAAATCGCACTTTTCTCTCCCCATGAGAAAAGAAGGCATACACCATCTTAGTCCTTCCCATGGACCAGAGCATGGTGGGTGAACCAGTGTCTCTGTCTGTCACAATTTTTGGAATGTTAGAAGGTCTCTTATATAGCAATATTTCTGCCCCAGAGTTGTAAATGACTGACCAGTTGTTTGGCCAGCTAAAACATCCTGGCTCCATCTCAGTTCCCGGACAGATGTTGACTCTTCTTGTTTGGTGTTAGCAACGACATAAGCCTTGTGTTGACTTCCTTCTTAAAGTAAAGAACTTTGTAAACATTTCCTTAACTTAAACAACCATTGTCTCAGATAAACAGATGTAAACATGTTGTTTTCCCCCCAAAGTTCAACAGTCACAGTTCTTATCAATGTCAGCAGTTTACTATGGCAGGTCAACTATTTCAGTTCTCATTAGCAACTTTTAATTACAGTCCAGCAAGCAAGTAGTAATTGCAGGCCTTTATATTTTTGAACAGCGTATTCAGCCAAATTATTTATTTATTTATTTACACCATTTATATGATGCCCTTCTCACCCCGAAGGGGATTCAGAGCAGCTTATAAGATATATAATATAAGATACATACAATATATTATATTTTAGCATAGTACAATATCAGTATTATATATTACTTTATTGTATTATACCATTATAATGTAATATTATTAGTAATATTACATGTAATATAAAATATATAATAATAATATTTTTATTAGTAGTAGTCGTATATTGTATTACATTATAATATTATAAATATTATAGGTATATACATTATAGTATAGTATAGTATAGTACATTATTAGGATAGCACAGGAGACAAGGTAGAACTATCCTCTGCCCCCCCCCCCCTTCACTCTGGCCCAGATGAGCAGTTGGTGCTGGGGGGAGGGATCCCCAACTGATGTCATATGCAGGAGACAAGATGGAACCRTCCTCTGCCCCCCCTTCACTCTGGCCCAGATGACCAGTTGGTACTGGGGGGAGGGGTCCCCAACTGATGACATATGCAGGGGACAAGATGGAACCGTCCCCTGCCCCCCCCTTCAGTTGGTGCTGGGGGGAGGGGTCCCCAACTGATGACATATGCAGGAGACAAGATGGAACCGTCCTCTGCCCCCCCCCCTTTCACTCTGGCCCAGATGAGCAGTTGGTGCTGGGGGGAGGGGTCCTCAACTGATGACATATTCAGGAGACAATATGGAACTGTCCTCTGCCCCCCCCCCCCTTCACTCTGGCCCAGAGCAGCAGTTAGTGCTGGGGGGAGGGGTCTCCAACTGATGACATATGCAGGAGACAAGATGGAACCGTTCTCTGCCCCCCCCCTTCACTCTGGCCCAAATGACCAGTTGGTGCTGGGGGGAGGGGTCCCCAACTTCTAAAACATCCTGGCTCCATCTCAGTTTCCGGACAGATGTTGACTCTTCTTGTTCCATGTTAGCAACGACGTAAGCCTTGTGTTGACTTCCTTCTTAACGTAAAGAACTTTGTAAACATTTCCTTAACTTAAAAGAACCATTGTCCCTGATAAACAGATGTAAACACATTGTTTTCCCCCAAAGTTCAACATTTAATCATTTGTCACAGTTCTTATCAGTGTCAGCAGTTTACTATGGCAGGTCAACCATTTCAGTTCTCAAGATTTCTTATTAAGAATCAGTCCTTTAGCCTCTAGAATGCACCTGGTTTTCCCTCTGCCTTTTTTGGCAGGTTCTGTGTCAGCTGGAGGCCTGTGGTATTGTGGAGACAGTGAGCATCAGCGCGGCCGGTTTCCCAGTCAGGTGAGGCGGCTCCCGAATTGCGTGGCTCTTCCCTTATTGCATCAGGGCTGTTTGTGTCTCGCAAGCAGCCGTAGTTTGTGTCGACCTTCATTCTTTGGTTGAAAGGGATGATCAAACACTTGTTTCTGGTTTGTTTCTTCTCTGGCTGCCTTGCTTCAAAGTGGGAAGGGCAAGCCACCGTTCTGGATTTGGATGTCACGACAAACCAGGGTTGAAACGAGCCAAATTTCGTAAGTCAAGAGCTAATCATGACTTCTCGTTGTGGTCTGTGTTTGCCAAGAAACAGGTTTACGCATTGCAACAAACTTGGTTTGTTTTGAAGCAGCTTGTAAGGCAAGAGCCACACGTTGCTGTGGCCCAGTCTGTGTATATGTGTGTGTGTGTATATATGTGTGTATATGTGTGTATATGTTTTTGAGTTATGTTAATCCCACAAACGAACATTACATTTTTATTTATATAGATATGTTCATTGCACCCTGCCTTGAGCCATTAGGAGAAGCAGGTAACCAATATATTCCCATTGTGGTCAAATGTGAATCGCACATATGGTAGTTTCTGCGCCTGAGCAGACAGCTTTGGAACCTTTTAGATAGATTTGAAAATTTTTCTGGCGGTTAGCCCCGCCCACTCTCCCCTTGTGAGTATAAGTAGCTGGTGGGCGGGGTGACTGCCTCAGTTCTTCTTATCCGCCGCTATTGCAGCAGCTTAGGAATCTCTTACTCTTTAGCTTACTTTTACATCATTTATAGACTAGGACTAGTTTTGACTATTGTTTTTTATTTTCAGTGGGCGACATATTTTTACCTCAGGTAAGTACATCTTCTTCCCCTTTTTGTCAAGTACCACGTCTGTGAGGGAAAGTTGCTTAATATGGACGATTGCGTGTTGCCCAGCTTTGCTAAGAAGGCCATGCAGTACAATCCGCAGCGTAGGCCTTCCTTCACTCTCCACAACTCTCAGCTCTTAGCTGCGTTATGATCGAGCCTTCCCTAACAAACGAGGAAATGGCTTGGGAGCTACTGGCTTCTGTAACTAATGACCTGGTTCAGAAGGGCCTTCCTACCTCCACGTCTCTCCACACCCAGGCCCGCTTGGTCAAAGCCAGCCAGGCTTGATAAGCTCAAACTTCCTAGCCTCGAAAGGGTTAATTTGGGCAAGCGGCAGGAGAAGGACAAAGGCGGGAAGCCTGACACTCCTCTTGCCGCTACTTCTTTCGGCACCTCAACATTGGAGTAGCAGAAAGGCGGGAAGCCTAATGCTGCTCAGGCTGTTACTTCTTTGGGCACCTCAACACCGCCCCTAGCAGGCAGCCGCATTACTACAAGAGGCCCCTCTTTGGGCATCTCCACCGTTTTCAGATGGCGAGTGTGTTTGGCAGCAAGTTGTGCTGAAAGCCTACACAAGGGATGGAGACTATTTGTGTGGAATCCTGTCGCTCTCAGGGACAAAAGGATCCAGCTATCCAGCCTAGGCCTCATAATAAGGCGGGAAAAGACTCGGCCACGGCCTCTGAGTCTCTGTTGGTGACTTCCCCAGGGCCACAGGCAGATGCCGCTGTTGTCCCTCCTGAGACCGAGGCACAGGCTCATCCCAAAATCGAGCCACAAACGAGCCAGCCCACGCAGCCTCTAACCCAGGCGGTGCCGCATGCCTCCATTTTTCTGGCTGCTTTTCCGTCCACCCCGCCCACCAGCTACTTATACTCACAAGGGGAGAGTGGGCGGGGCTAACCTCCAGAAAAGTTTTCAAATCTATCTAGAAGGTTCCAAAGCTGTCTGCTCAGGCACAGAAACTACCATATGTGCGAATTCACAGGTGACCATTCGGGAAACTACGGTTACAGGTAAGCAACCTATATTTTTGTTATTATACTAATATTATGATTATGATTATTCCTTTTCCTTCTCCTCTTTTGGACAGGATGTCATTTGGAAGCTTCCTAGAGCGTTACGAAGTGCTAAAGAAGTCCCAAAAGCCAAACCTCAGAGCTGTGAAGCACCAGGAAAATGGCTTCCCTCCTGTTATAGGAAACGGTATGTTCTTCTGCGGAAGGACCACGCTTTGGTGCATAGCTGACCTTTACGGACTCTAACTATGCTTTACTATCATATTCTTTGTCAGGGGGGGGGGGAGTGTTTACATTTCCTTTTCCTCTTTTTCAATTTATTGACGATTCAGCGAGAATCAGTCCAACTAGAGACCCTTCCCCTCAGGTCAATGATCCTGAAAATATCACTAGAGACAATAAAAATGGTGTGCATTCCTTTTGGAGTAACCCTCGCAGATGGTTCATTGGACCATTCCCCGCCTTAAAAAGGCACAAAAGGAAAAGGTCTGGCGAATGGTGGCTGCTCTCCTCTCCCTCCGAGGCCCAAGGAAGAAATACCACGATGGTTCTGTGCCCGGCTGCTCTTCTCTCCCTCTGAGGCCCGAGGAAAGAACGCCACGATAGTTCTGTGCCCGGCTGCTCTTCTCTCCCTCTGAGGCCTCACGATAGTTCTGTGCCCGGCTGCTCATCTCTCCCTCTGAGGTCCGAGGAAAGAGCGCCACAATAGTTCTGTGCCCGGCTGCTCTTCTCTCTCTCCGAGGCCCGAGGAAAGACCGCCACGACGGTTCTGTGCCCGGCTGCTCTTCTCTCCCTCTGAGGTCCGAGGAAAGAACGGCAAAATAGTTCTGTGCCTGGCTGCTCTTCTCTCCCTCCGAGGCCCGAGGAAAGAACACCACGATAGTTCTGTGCCTGGCTGCTCTTCTCTCCCTCCGAGGCCCGAGGAAAGAGCGCCACGATAGTTCTGTGCCTGGCTGCTCTTCTCTCCCTCCGAGGCCCAAGGAAAGAGCACCACGATAGTTCTGTGCCGGGCTGCTCTTCTCTCCCTTCAAGCCAGAACCACGACTGTGTGCTCCTTCTGTGTCTCCCGGTGCCTACTCTCTCTCTTTCCAACCGCCCTTTTGGTTTCTCTAGCTTTCCCTGGACTCTTCTCCTCTTTCTCCTCTCTGCGGGAGCTTCTCTTCCAAGCCGGGAGCTTCACCCTTCTCTCTTTGCTTTACTTGAACCAGCTCCGACAGCAAAGGTAAGCGTAGCTTGGAGCCCAGAAGGCCGGGTCACATTTGAGGAAGGAGCGGAGGGAACCGAAGGCCATTTTGGAAAACATGAATGGTCCATCTTCCCCATTCCCTCACAGGTTGCACAGCAGCATCTTCAGAGGAGGAGGAAGAAGGGGCTGCCTTATGCTCGGCGGTCCAAAGCATCCTTTGGCAAACGTGTGCCAGCGCCCTTCAGCCTCATGCGAATCCAGCGTACTGTGGCAAAACCAAAGTGTTTATGACCAACGCTATGGTTAGTGACAGTTTTTAATCACTTTATTCTGCACATGTGGACTGCCCATTGTCACTGTGATTGTAATTTTATATTGCTAATGTATTTATATGTTTTTTTTCTTCTTTTATTAGTATGTAATTATGATGCTGTTGCTTGTTGTTTGTGTTCTTGGTTTTACTTTGTTGTAATTTGTTGTTTGGGCTTGGCTCATGTAAGCTGCCCCGAGTCCCCGTTGGGGGAGATGTTGGCGGGGTATAAATAAAGTTGTTTATTATTATTATTATTATTTTACCATCCTGTAAGAGTCTTCTTGCATGTCCCCACATGGGAAGCTGGAGCTGACAGACAGGAGCTCACCTCGCGACTTCAGAAACTGCAAGTCGCTTCTGGTGTGAGAGAATTGGCTGTCTGCAAGATGTTGCCCAGGGGATGTTGTCTGGATGTTTTACCATCCTGTGAGATGCTTCTCTCATGTCTCCACATGGGAATCTAGAGCTGACAGACAGGAGCTCAGCCCACAATTTGAGAAACTGCAAGTTGCTTCTGGTGCGAGAGAATTGGCTGTCTGCAAGATGTTGTCCAGGGGATGTTGTTTGGATGTTTTACCATCCTGTGAGAGGCTTCTCTCATGTTCCCATATGGGAAGCTGGAACTGACAGACAGGAGATCACCTTGTGATGTGAGAAACTGCAAGTCGCTTCTGGTGTGAGAGAATTGGCTGTCTGCAAGACATTGCCCAGGGGATGTTGCCTGGATGTTTTACCATCCTGTGAGATGCTTCTCTCATGTCTCCACATGGGAATCTGGAGCTGACAGACAGGAGCTCAGCCCACAATTTGAGAAACTGCAAGTTGCTTCTGGTGCGAGAGAATTGGCTGTCTGCAAGGACGTTGCCCAGGGGACATTGCCTGGATGTTTTACCATCCTGAGAGAGGCTTCTCTCATGTCCCCACATGGGGAGCTGGAGCTGACAACAGGAGCTCACCCCGCAACTTGAGAAACTGCACGTCGCTTCTGGTGTGAGCGAACTGGCAGTCTGCAAGGACGTTGGCCAGGGAACGTTGCATGGATGTTTTACCATCCTTAGTTGTCACCTCCTGCTTGTGTGACCGGCAAGACTGCTTGGAGCATTGTATGCCTTTCTCGCCGAAAGTACCGATTACTACCAAAAGTGCCTATTGATCTTCTCACATTTGGATGTTTTCGAACTGCTAGGTTGGCAGGAGCTAGGGCTAACAGCCCAACCCACAGATTCGAACTGCCAACCTTCAGGTCAGCAGTTCAGCAGCACAATTGTGCCACTCTGACCCACTTTTTAAATCAGACTAAATATTTATTCAAACAGAAGTCATTGTACCGAAGTCCTGTCCAAAGGGAATCTTGTGTTTCCTTTGCAGTTGGAACTCCTCGAGGGCCGGCGAATGAGCATCTTCTCTGCGGCGGCCTTCTGCATCCAGCGCTTTTGGTGGAGGTTTAAGAGGCGGAGGCAGGCAAAGCGGTCGCGGAGTGCCCTCGTCATCCAATCCGGTGAGGAAGAAAGGAACCAGGGTGGGTTTATTGCATCCCAAAAGGGTTGAAAGGTTGATTTGTGTGCCAGATTGCACAAGAGTGACTAGCCCAAGGTTATCCAGCGATAGTCCCATCATCCTGGAGAAGCAGGAAATAAATATTTTGTTGGGTTGCTGTGAGTTTTCCAGGCTATGGCCATGTTCCCGAAGCACTCTCTCCTGACCTTTCACCCACATCTATGGCAGGCATCCTCAGAGGTTGTGAGGTCTGCTGGAAACTAGGAAAATTGGGTTTATCTATCTATGGAAAGTCCAGGGTGGGAGAAAGAACTCTTGTCTGTTGGAGGTAGGTGTGAATGTTGCCACTGGCCAGCTTGATTACCATCCCAACAAAGGATGCCCCCAGGCATAGAGCAGCCAGGCACTGAAGTTGGTTTATATATCTGTGGAATAATGTCCAGGGTGGGAGAACGAACTCCTGTCTGCTTGAGGCAATGGGAGTGTTGCCATTGGCCACCTTGATTAGTATTTATTTATTTATAATATTAATATCCCTCCCTTCTCACCCTGAAGGGGAGAGTGGCTTACAACTTATATATACATATACAATATATCATATTATTAGCATAGCACAATATTAGTATTATATATTACTATATAATAATATATAATAATATATAATATATTACATGTAATATGAAATATAGAATTATTATATTTTATTATTAGTATTATATTATCAATAGTATATGTGTATACAAAATATTATATATGATTAGCACAACACAATATTAGTATTATATATTACTATATTGTACTATAGCATTATAGTGTAATATTATTAGTAATATTATATGAAATATAAAATTATTATATTGTATTATTAGTATTATATTATCAATATTATATGTGTATACAATATATTATGTATGATTGGCACAACCTATTAGTATTATATATTACTATATTGTACTCTACCATTATACTGTAATATTATTAGTAATATTACATGAAATATGAAATATAGAATTATTATATTTATTATTAGTATTAAGTCATCAATATTATATGTGTATGCAATATATTATATAGGATTAGCACAACATATTAGTATTATATATTACTATATTGTACTATACCATTATACTGTAATATTAGTAATATTACATGAAATATAAAATTATTATATTATATTATTATTAGTATTATATTATATTATAATATTATCAATATTATATGTTTATCTATATATATAAAAAGAGACAGGGCGTCCAACAGGACAGCAAAACTCAAAAAACCCCTGACGAAAATTTACCAAATTTATCATGCACATACCTCAACCCACAAGGTATGCACAAATCGATTCAAAATTCTAAACAACATTAAAACACACTCACAATTAGACAAAACAACTGAGCATGCGCAATGGCGCCCCGGCGCAAGTCCCCGGCGCGCGCACATGGCTGGCCGGCCAACGCACCCTCCGCGCAAGCCACGTCCCCATCCTCCATCCCCCGCCCCGCCCCACACGTTCACGCCACGCCCCCTCCCTCCTCCGCCCCACCCCACATGATCACGCCACACCCCCTCCCTCCCCCGCCCCACATGTTCACGCCACGCGCGCGCCCCCCCCCCCCCCCCCGCCCCACACGTCCCCGCCACGCCCCCCCCCCCCCACCCACAAGTTCACGCCACGCCCCCTCCCTCCTCCTGCCCCCCCCACATTCACACCACGCCCCCTCCCTCCCCGCCCTGCCCCACACGTTCACGCCAAGCCTCCTCCCTCTCCCGTCCCGCCCCACACGTTCACGCCACACCCGTCTCCCTCCTCTGCCCCCCCCCACATTCACACCACGCCCCCTCCCTCCCCGCCCTGCCCCACACGTTCACGCCAAGCCTCCTCCCTCTCCCGTCCCGCCCCACACGTTCACGCCACGCCCCCTCCCTCCCCTGCCCCCCCCCACATTCACACCACGCCCCCTCCCTCCCCGCCCTGCCCCACACGTTCACGCCAAGCCTCCTCCCTCTCCCGTCCCGCCCCACACGTTCACGCCACGCCCCCTCCCTCCCCCGCCCTGCCCCACACGTTCACGCCAAAAGGAAGGATATAAATGGGAGAGAAGCAGGAAAGAAGGAGAAGGAGAGAAGGAAGGAAAAAAGAAGGGTAGGAAGGAAGGAAGGAAGGAGAAGGAAGGAAGGAAGAAGGAAGGAAGGAGGAAAGGAAAGAAGGAGAAGAAAGGAAGGAGAGAAAGAGGGAAGAAGAAGGAAGGAAAGAGAGGGAAGAGAAGAGGAAGGAGAAGGAAGGAAGGAGAGGAAGGAGATAAAGAAAAAGAAAGAAGAGTAGAGAAGGAAGGAAGGAAGGAGAGGAGGGAGAGAATGAAGTAAAAAAAAGTGAAAGAGGGGAGGAAGGAGAGAAGGAACGAAAGAGAGAAAGAGGGAGGGAAGGAAAGAGACAAGAGACAGGGAAGGGTGGAACCAAAGAGCAAAAGAAGTGAAAAAAGAAACATGTAGAGAAAGAAGAAAGAAGAAGGGAAAGAAAAAGAGGGAAGGAATGAAGGAGGGAGGGAAGGAAAGATAGGAAAAAAGGAGAGAAAGAGGCAGGGAAGGTTGGCCACAGCAACACGTGGTGGGTACAGCTAGTACAATATATATTATTTGCACAGCACAATATTAGTATTGTATATTACTATATTGTACTATACCACTATACTTTAATATTATTAGTATTATTGCATTTAATATATAATATATAATGATTATATTGTATTATCATTAGTATTATATTGTATTACATTACAATATTATTGTCAATGTTATATGTGCATACAATATATTATAATATCAGCACAGCACAATATTAGTGTTATTAGTATTGCAAAGCCCTGCAGCTTCAAGGCCTGGCTGATTCCTGCCTGGGGGAATCACACATCCTCTGAAAATAATCCTTTTGGTGCCAATTTATTTTCAGGGAAATATGGTAGTTACTATAACCACATTGAGTTGGAGGGAGAGTCTTATGGAAGAGCCTCTCTGACTCCGAGAAGAAGAGAGAATGAATCTGGGAATCCCTCCTTTAATGGCTGGATATAGGTCCATTAGATCAGTACGTCAAGAGGCACCTGTGGACTCTCCCTCTTCTGTATTCTTCTTGATGTAACACAATGTTAACGCTCCGGCCGGCTCCTTTAATGCACCTTTCTTCCCCCAATTTCCCTGCTGCAGGGGTTCGCTCGTGGATGGCCAGGAAGCGCTTCCAGGAATGGCGCAAGGCTGCTGCGGTCGTGCAAAGAGCATGGAAGAGATGGAAGGTAAGGGCAGGGGTGTGTTTCAATGCAATCCTTATGCGTGCAGACTCTACGCTTCGAGGCACTGACAACTTCTGGGGACCCCAAGCTTCATCTATCGCCGGGGGGGGGGGGAGTTGTGAAGGGAGATATTTATATTGGTTGTTATTGTAATTGCGATGTTTGTATTTTATGTGTTTGCACCTTTGAGTGCTTTGTAATCCGCCCCGAGTCCCTCTGAGAGATGGTGGCCAGGTATAAATAAAGTAGACCGGGTTGTGGCGCAGCTGGTTGGGAGTCAGCTGCATTAAAATCATTGCTGGCCAAGAGGTAATGCGTTCGAAGCCATGTCAGAGTGAGCTTCCAGCCATTTGTCTAGCTCGCTGTCGACCTTCACAGCCCAAAAGACAGTTGCATCTGTCAAGTAGGAAATGTAGGTACCGCTTATGCGGGGAGGCTAATTTTACTAATTTACGATGCTATAAACAACTCTCCAGCAGTGTGCAAAAGAATGAGGAAGTACTCCATCAGTGTCACAAGTGGATGGTGAAGCGACAGCTTTCCCCGGTAGCCGGAATTCAAAAAGCATACCCTCATTAAGCTGGAATGTTAAATAGCCTCTGTGTGTATATATGTTGTGCGTCTATGGCATTTAATGTTTGCCATGTATGTGTGCATTGTGATCTGCCCTGAGTCCCCTGCAGGGTGAGAAGGGCGTAATGTAAATGCTGTAAATAAATAAATAAGTAAATATTAAAATTGAGGCCTTTCTCCCACTGAGGCCGCTCTCACTCTGAGGGTTCTCTCAGACTGAGGCCTCTCTCACTGAGGTTGGTTAAAATTGAAGGCTCTCTCAGTGAGAGCTCCTAAACTACAGGCACACCTGATTATATTGAACTGCAGCTTCTGTTGACTTGTGTGTCTATGGCACTGAATGTTTACCATGTCTATGTGCATTGTGATCCGCCCTGAATCCCATGCGGGGTGAGAAGGGCAGAATAAAAATGCTACAAATAAATAAATAAATACTAACATTGAGGCCTCTCTCACTCTGAGGATTCTCTCAGACCGAGGCCTCTCCCACACTGAGGCCTTTCTCCCACAGAGGCTTCTCTCACACTGAGGCCTCTCTCACTGAGGTCTGTTAACATTGAGGGCTCTCTCAGACTAAGAGCTCCTAAACTACAGACACACCTGCTTACATTGAACTGCAGCTTTTGCTGAGTTGTGTGTCTATGACATTGAATGTTTGCCATGTATATGTGCATTGTGATCCACCCTGAGACCCCTGCGGGGTGAGAAGGGCGGAATACAAATGATATAAATAAATAAATACTAACATTGAGGCCTCTCTCACTCTGAGGGTTCTCTCAGACTGAACCCTTTCTCCCACAGAGGCTCCTCTCTCACTGAGGTCTGTTAACATTGAGGGCTCTCTCAGACTGAGAGCTCCTAAACTACAGACACACCTGCTTATATTGAACTGCAGGTTTTGCTGAGTTGTGTGTCTATGGAGTTGAATGTTTGCCATGTATATGTGCATTGTGATCCGGCCTGAGTCCCCTGCGGGGTGAGAAGGGTGGAATATAAATGCTGTAAATAAATAAACATTGAGGCCTTTCTCCCACTGAGACCTCTCTCACTCAGAGGGTTCTCTTAGACTGAGGCCTCTCCCACACTGAGGTCTTTCTCCCACAGAGGCTTCTCTCACACCGAGGCCTCTCTCACTGAGGTCTGTTAACATTGAGGGCTCTCTCAGACTGAGAGCTCCTAAACTACAGACACACCTGTTTATATTGAACTGCAGCTTTTGCTGAGTTGTGTGTCCATGACATTGAATGTTTGCCATGTATATGTGCATTGTGATCCACCCTGAGTCCCCTGCAGGGTGAGAAGAGCAGAATAGAAATGTTGTAAATAAATAATAATAAATATACCAGGATAAAGTATAAAGTATATGAAGAGTCCACTGTAAACGCGGTGCAGATGTGCATCCATGTCATAATTTTTTAAATCCTTGCCATATTTTTTCGTGGCCCACAATGTCAGAAGCAGGGACCTAAACCAATCCCCTTTCCCCTAAACTTGAAATCCAGGCCAAGAGGGACGCGAAGGCAGCCGAAGAGCTGGACGGCAGTGACGGTGGAGAGGCCTTCCTTGGAGCATCTCTTCCCGTGAAATGTAGCCATCAGGGTACCTCTGTCGTCCGGTTCTGGCCCCTCGGCTTCCTCCCGTCGATGGTGCCTTCCGGCCCGGGATGTTTTTGGCAAAACCTCACCCTCCTGAACTGCCTCAGGATCCTGCAGAAGAACGACTTGCCCGTAGCTGGACTCCGGAGCCGCCCGTCGCACGGTGTCACTTCTGTCCGTGCCATCCCACAGGTGAGCCCCACCATGTCAGTTGGAAACATGGCTGACATTCTTCTTCTGGGTCTGTCCTGTCCAAAAAAAGGGCCACTTTCCCCCTCTCAGCTCTCGTTTTTGAGAACGTATGGCCCTTGGCTTTAAGGGCTTTGATGGTTTCTTTTCAACCCTGTTCACATTTCATTCTATTTTAACATTCATATATTGTTGGGTTTTAAATGGCGTTGGTTTTACGCAATGCGGTTTTGAGTCTCTTTTTTAGAGGGGAAAAAGTGGGGTCTAAATAATAATCCAGTCCAATCCAATAAGCTTTTATTGGCATATACATAGCAAAAAAGTATAAAATATAGTACAAGCCATATAAAAGGAAATAAAACTTTTGCCTTTTACTAAATAATAAAACTTTTGCCTTTTACTAAATAATAATTATAATAATAATTTTAAGTATTTAAGTATTAAGTATTATTTTAAGTATTATTTATTCTTATTATTAGCCACTTTGAGTGTCTTTTTTAGAGGACATTATTATTATTATTATTATTATTATTATTATTATTATTATTGCAAAGACTTTGGCACAAGCCAGTAAAGATGGTCCCAGTGGTGATCGGCACACTGGGTGTAGTGCCTAAAGACCTTGGACTGCACTTAAACACAATCGGCGCTGACAAAATTGTCAGCTGCAAAAGGCCACCTTATTCGCTGATACATCACACAGTCCTAGACTCTTGGGAAGTGTCCAATGTGTGATCCAATGCAACAGCCAGCAGAGAGATCTTGTTTGCTGTGGACTCATCTTGTTGTGTTTCTTCTTCTTCTTCTTCTTCTTCTTCTTCTTCTTATTATTATTATTATTATTATTATTATTATTATTGTGTAAGTAGTATTTTATTAGTACCCATTTTGGGTTTCTTGTTTAGAAAGAAAGAGGGGTAATAATAATAATAATAATAATAATAATAATAATAATAATAATAATAATAATAGCTGGGTATCTTTTATTAAATAGAAAAAGTGGGGTACAAACAATCATAATACTGTAATCCACTCTTCTTACTTCCCTCCTTCCTTCTGTCTCCGAAGCCAAAGCCAAGGCATTTTGAAGTTCTTAAACTTCACAATAGAGGACTCTGGAGCTCCACTCTTCTCTCCTCCCTCCCTTTTTCTTGCTCCGAAGGCAAGGCAGTTGAAGAACTTCACAATAGAGGACTCTGGAGCTCCACTCTTCTCTCCCCCTCCTTCCTCTGAGGCCTTAAGGCACTTTACAAAATCTGGAATTGACTTCTTTGGAGAAAGGAGGGAGAATCCGGGTTTCAGAGGCTATATTTTGCTAAACAGCCCAACTAGTGTGTGTGTGTGTGTGTGTGTGTGTGTGTGTGTGTAGACACCAAGGGATGGATGGATGTATATATATGTCTGTCTGTTTCCCATCGTGGTCCCTGTGAATCCGCACATATAGTACTTTCTGCGCCTATTCTGCTCAGGTGCAGAAAGTACCATATGTGCGGATTCACAGGTGACCACTCGGGAAACGATGGTTACAGGTAAGCAACCTATATTTTCTATTCATCTATTGGTTGGGCTGTTTAAGCAAAATATGGCCTCCAGATGTCATGCCTGTGGCCCTGAAGCCCTCAAAACTATATCTAGATCATAGAATCATAGAGTTCGAAGAGACCTCATGGGCTATCCAGTCCAACCCCATTCTGCCAAGAAGCAAGAAAATTACATTTTGAGCAACCCAGGCAGATGGCTTAACAGCCTCCATAGAAGGAGCCTCCACCACAGTCCGGGGCAGAGAGTTCCACTGCTGAACAGCTCTCACAGAGATCTGTCCTTAGTCCCCTGTGCGGTGAGAAGGGCAGAATAAAAATGCTGCGAATAAATAAATAAATACTAACATTGAGGCCTTTCTCCCACTGATGCCTCTCTCACTCTGAGGGTCCTCTCTGATTGAGGCCTTTCCCACACTGAGGTTTTTTTCTCCCACAGAGGCTTCTTCTCACACTGAAGCCTCTCTCACCGAGGTCTGTTAACATTGAGGGCTCTCTCAGATTGAGAGCTTCTAAACTACAAGCACACCTACTTATACTGAACTGCAGCTTTTGCTGAGTTGTGTGTTTATGGCATTGAATGTTTGCCATGTATATGTGCACTGTGATCCACCCTGAGTCCCCTGCGGGGTGAGAAGAGTGAGTAGCATGACTTCCCTGGATACTAGATACTGAGTCATGCATCCCCCATTCTGTCTCTTTGCATCTCCCCACAGAATCTCATCCCATGGTCCCCCATGACCTTCTGGCAAGGAAACTAGTCCAATGTGGGCTAGGCAAAACTACGGTGAAGTGGATCTGTAATTGGTTAAATGGACGAACCCAGAGGGTGCTCACTAATGCTTCCTCTTCATCCTGGAAAGAAGTGACGAGCGGAGTGCCGCAGGGTTCCGTCCTGGGCCCGGTCCTGTTCAACATCTTTATTAATGACTTAGATGAAGGGCTAGAAGGCATGATCATCAAGTTTGCAGACGACACCAAATTGGGAGGGATAGCCAATACTCCAGAGGACAGGAGCAGAATTCGAAACGATCTTGACAGATTAGAGAGATGGGCCAAAACTAACAAAATGAAGTTCAACAGGGACAAATGCAATACTCCACTTTGGCAGGTAAAATGAAATGCAAAGATACAGAATGGGGGACAATGCCTGGCTCGAGAGCAGTACGTGTGAAAAAGATCTTGGAGTCCTCGTGGACAACAAGTTAAACATGAGCCAACAATGTGATGTGGCGGCAAAAAAAGCCAATGGGATTTTGGCCTGCATCAATAGGAGCCTAGTGTCTAGATCCAGGGAAGTCATGCTACCCCTCTATTCCGCTTTGGTTAGACCACACCTGGAATACTGTTTCCAATTCTGGGCACCACAATTCAAGAGAGATATTGACAAGCTGGAATGTGTCCAGAGGAGGGCGACTAAAATGATCAAGGGTCTGGAGAACAAGCCCTATGAGGAGCGGCTTAAGGAGCTGGGCATGTTTAGCCTGAAGAAGAGAAGGCTGAGAGCAGATATGATAGCCATGTATAAATATGTGAGAGGAAGCCACAGGGAGGAGGGAGCAAGCTTGTTTCCTGCTTCTATGGAGACTAGGACAAGGAACAATGGCTTCAAACTACAAGAAAGGAGATTCCATCTGAACACGAGGAAGAACTTCCTGACTGTGAGAGCCGTTCAGCAGTGGAACTCTCTGCCCTGGAGTGTGGTGGAGGCTCCTTCTTTGGAAGCTTTTAAACAGGGGCTGGATGGCCATCTGTCAGGGGTGATTTGAATGCAATATTCCTGCTTCTTGGCAGAATGGGGTTGGACTGGATGGCCCATGAGGTCTCTTCCAACTCTTTGATTCTAGGATTCATCCACCTCTTGTGATTCTATGGGGCAACATTCAACCCCTTTTTGTGTCCATAGCTGCACTACCAGCCTCTCTCGGTAGACATTGCAACGGCTATTGTAGTGCGGATGGAATCCTAAGATTGTATTTAGAGGGACATTCCGAGCCCCCAACGTAAGTCGGACGCAATGTCTTCTCCCCCTCCAGGGCTCCATCAAGTTCCGTTGCCGGAAGTCGCCGCTGCTGTTCGCGGACACCAGGCCCGACGTCGACATCGTGACCGGCTTCAACCAGATTCTCCTCGACAAGCGACTCTCGGCTTGAAAGCGGACTCGTGAGCCGGGGATATCGTGAGCATTGACGGCACTTTAACTCTCCTCTTTATAAGGAACCGAGCTCTCTCTTTTATACTGTGTTGTGACTACGCGAAAGTCCTTCCTTCATTAAACCTTTCCTTTGACAGGATTTTAAGAAGAAAATTAAGGAAAGGAAGCCAAATATGCTTTGAATACTCAGGAACCGTTTTCAGACTCAGGACAATATTCAACAGTTCTTCTCCCGTCCTCTGTTCGTTCCCAAAAGTAACACCAAAGATTTTATTTTGATTTTGCAACAAGCAAAATGGCTGCCTTTCCCTCTTGCAGTTTCTCCCCAGTAAATACACCAACGAATAAATAATAAACTTTAATGATTTCATGACAGACGTCGCCGTTTTGGATACAAACAGAATCAAAACAAGCTTAGTGAGTTGTAATTCAGCCATAAGGTGAATTTAGGCGGCTTCTATACATGTTTTCCCTTTCTGCGTTTAAGGAATACTGCCTGGGAACAAGGAGGCTTCTCACTGAAATGCAAACATTTGTCACCAAAGTTAAGTAGAAGTTGTTGAAGGCTTTCATGGCTGGAATCACTGGGTTGCTGTGAGTTTTCCTGGCTGTCTGTGTTCCAGAAGCATTCTATCCTGATGTTTTGCCCACATCTATGGCCTCTCTCACTCTGAGGGCTCTCAGACTGAGGTCTTTCTCCCACTGAGGCTTCTCTCACGCTGAGGCCTGTTAACATTGAGGGCTCTCTCAGACTGAAAGCTCCTAAACTACAGACACACCTGCTTATAAATGCTCTAAATAAATAAATTAGTAAATATTAAAATTGAGGCCTTTCTCCCACTGAGGCCTCTCTGACCCTGAGGGTTCTCTCAGACTGAGACCTCTCTTTACTGAGTTGTGTGTCTATGGCACTGAATGTTTACCATGTCTGTGTGCATTGTGATCCACCCTGAGTCCTGTGCGAGGTGAGAAGGGTGGAATATAAATGCTATAAATAAATAAATACTAACATTGAGGCCTTTCCCCCACAGAGGCTTCTCTCACACTGAGTTCTGTTAACATTGAGCTCTCTCTCAGACAGAGTTCCTAAACTACAGGCACACCTACTTATATTGAACTGCAGCTTTTGCTGAGTTGTGTGTCTATGGCACTGAATGTTTAGCATGTCTGTGTGCATTGTGATCCACCCTGAGTCCCATGCGGGGTGAGAAGGGTGGAATATAAATGCTATAAATAAAGAAATACTAACATTGAGGTTCTCTCACTCTGAGGGTTATCTCGAACTGAGGCCTCTCCCAACCTGAGGCCTTTCCCCCACAGAGGCTTCTCTCACACTGAGGCCTGTTAACATTGAGGGCTCTCTCAGACTGAAAGCTCCTAAACTACAGACACACCTGCTTATATTGAACTGCAGCATTGAATGTTGTGAGGTCTGTAGGAAACTAGGCAAGTGGGATTTATATACCTGTGGAATAATGTCCATGGTGGGAGAAAGAACTCTTGTCTGTTGGAGACAAGTCTGAATGTTGCCATTAGCACCAAATAGCCTTGCAGCTTCAAAGCTTGGCTGCTGGGATCCGTTCTGGAAGGTGATTAGCTGGCCCTGATTGTTTCTTGTCTGGAATTCCCCTGTTTTTGAGTGTTGTTCTTTATTTACTATCATGATTTTAGTTTTTTATAATACTTGGCGCCAGATTGTGTTCATTTTCACTGTTTCCTCCTTTCTGTTGAAATTGCTTCTTGTGGCTTCTCTGTGTAGTCTGGCATAGTAGTTGTTAGAGTGGTCCAGCCAGACAAGAAACAATCAAGGCCAGCTAATCACCTCCCAAAAAAGGATCCCCCCCCCCCCCGGTGTTGTTCTTCATTTACTGTCATGATTTTATTTATTATTATTATTATTATTATTATTATTATTATTATTATTATTATTATAGAATGTTTATTATTATATTTATTATTATTATTATTTTAGAATGTTTTAAATACTGGTAGACAGATTTTTTTCATTTTCATGTTTTTTTTTCATTTTCATGGCAGTAAGAAGCCAGACCTTGAAACTGCTAGGCCATTAAATGCAAATCAAGGTGACCAATTGCAACATTCATGCCTGCCTCCAACAGACAAGAGTTCTTTCTCCCACCCTGAACATTCCAGATATATAAATCCCATTTTCCCAGTTTCCAACAGACCTCACAACCTCCAAGAGACCCGACAACCTCTGAGGACGCCTGCCAGAGATGCAGGCGAAATGTCAGGAGAGAATGCTTCATAAACATGGCCAGACAGCTCGGAAAACTCACAACAACCTACTGAGTAGAAGTTCTCAGAAATAATGATTTTTTGCAACCACAATTCTGAGAAATGAGGGGAAAAATTAAAAAGTACATTTTTCTCAGCAGTCAACAATGAAAACAAAGGAGAATGGTTGGACTGCAACTCCCATCAGTCCTGGCCAGCACAATGGTCAAGGCTGATAGGGAGTTGTGGCCCGAATACGTCAACACAGTAAGATCAGCGACGGGACAAAGAGAACTTATATGTCATTAGAGATGATCCTCAAATTGGTGGCCGTTTTCTGCTCTCGGCAGCCAAGGACTCGCCGTGTTTACAAGGGGAGCTCTTCCGGATTCCTACCTACGAGCCTCCTTTAGTCGCAGATCTCACTCTAGGGCTTCTTCCTCTTCCTCCGGTGGCGGCGGCTCTACAATCCGCAGGCAGCAGTCGGCAAACTCGGCAAAGAGCGGCTCCTGCATGAATTCCCGGAGAAGGGCACTCTTGTCCCGTGCCCCGTCCACCCGGAGGAGCAAGTGGCGAAGGTGCGGGTTGTGCAAGAGGCCCCCGAGTTCCACGGATCCCCCTAGTTTTGCAAGAGAAGAGAAGAGAAGAGGTTTGGGGGTGCCGAGATGGGCCTAAGCCAAGATCCCCAATGGAGCTGACACCCAAAAACCTCAGAGGTTGGGCAGGCCTTGTTTACATTCTGCCCCGGGTCAAAGCATACAGTGGGGAAAAAAGTATTTAGTCAGATACCAATTGTATGAGTTCTCACACTTAAAACGATTCTCCATCTTTTTAAGTGGGAGAACTTATACAATTGGTATCTGACTACAAGGGTTGAATGAAAAGTAATGCCTCCACCTTCATAACTCCTCAAGAGATGTTAGTACTGGTATGCGGCAGGTACTGGCTTGTTCAGTAGACTCCTCTACAGTTCTATTTTGGTAGGAAGCCTTAGCATTGAACGGTTGTGTTGTTAAAGTGTGAAGTATGGAACCCTGCGCAGACAGTCGGTCAATGCAACTTAAGCAACGTGCAGTCATTGAATTCTTGACAGCAGAAGGTGTCACCCCAAAGGAGAATCAGTGACTGTGGTGATGTGTGTACTGTGCGTTGTTGGGTGAGAAAGTTTGAAGATGTTGAGGTGGGAACATCTGACGTGCATGACAAACAAAGAGTTGGACGCCCTGTGACAGCAACCACTGAGTTTCACAATCAAAAGGTTGACAGATTGATTCAGGACGATTGTCGTATCACTCAGAGAGAAATGTCTGACTTCCATCTGTTCCTGATAATGAAAGAAGATCTGTGGCGACATCATTATGCTTCTGATGAAGACGTTGAGAGAACTGTGAGATTCAGGACAATCGTATCACTCAGAGAGAAATTTCAAGCATAATCGGCATTTCACAAGAACATGTGGGACACATTATTGCTTTGCTTGGCTATTGGAAGATCTGTGCACGATGGGTACCCAGGATGGTGATGCCTGAAATGAAAAACACACAGACTTGAAACTTCAGAGACTGGATCTCATCAACCGTACGACATCCTCCATACAGTCCAGATTTAGCACCGTCTGACTTCCATCTGTTCCTGATAATGAAAGAAGATCTGCAGGGACATCATTATTTTTCTGATGAAGATGTTGAGAGAACTGGGAGACGCTGTTTGCGGAAACAGTGTTGACTTCTTCTGTGACGGCTTCAGAAAACTTGTTCATTGTTGGCAGAAATGTATCCAATTGTCTGGTGATTATGTGGGAAAGTGAATAGTATTGTCGAAGGCTTTCATGGCTGGAATCACTAGGTTCTTGTGGGGTTTTGGGGGGCTATAGGGCCATGTTCTAGAGGCATTTCTCCTGACGTTTCGCCTGCATCTATGGCAAGCATCCTCAGAGGTAGTGAGGTCTGTTGGAATTAGGAATATGGGTTTATATATCTGTTGAATGACTGGGGTGGGGCAAAGAGCTCTTCTCTGCTGGAGCTCGGTGTGAATGTTTCAACTGACCACCTTCATTAGCATTTGAAGGCCTGGCTGAGCCTGGGGGAATCTTTTGTTGAGAGGTGTTAATATGTGCCTGGTTGTTTCCTCCCTGCTTTTTTGCTGTTGTAATTTTAGAGTTTTTAATACTGGTAGCCAGACACAGCATATTATTTGAGAACACAGAAATGCTGGACCACTCCAACAACCACCATGTCAGACTACACAGAGAAGCCATTGAAATCCACAAGCATGTGGACAATTTCAACAGAAAGGAAGAGACCATGAAAATGAACAAAATCTGGCTACCAGTATTAAAAAACTCTAAAATTACAACAGCACAACAACAGAGAGGAAACAAACAAAAGTTTGCTCTAGGCAATGTCAGGCCATTATATGCTAATCAAGGTGGTCAGTTGAAACATTCACACCTAGCTCCAGCAGAGAAGAGCTCTTTGCCCCACCCCAGTCATTCCACAGATATATAAACCCATATTCCTAATTGCAACATACCTCACTACCTCTGAGTATGCTTGCCATAGATGCAGGCGAAACGTCAGGAGAAAATGCCTCTAGAACATGGCCATATAGCCCAAAAAAACCCACAAGAACCTAATAATTGGCATTTCACAAGAACGTGTGGGTCACATTATTGCATTGCTTGGCTATTGGAAGATCTGTGCACGATGGGTACCCAGGATGCTGTTTCCTGATATGAAAATGCACATACTTGAAACTTCAGAGACTGGATCTCACCTCCGTACGGCACCCTCCATACAGTCCAGATTTAGCACTGCCTGACTTCCATCTGTTCCCGATAATTAAAGAAGATCTGCGGGGACATTGTTACGCTTCTGATGAAGACATTGAGAGAGCTGTGAGACGCTGGTTGCGGAAACAGAGTGTCGACTTCTTCTGTGACGGCTTCAGAAAACTTGTTCATCGTTGGCAGAAATGTATCCGATTGTCTGGTGATTATGTAGGAAAGTGAATAGTGGTAGTTCAAGAGCACATTCTAAGGATTATTTCTGCGTTTGATTTATTAAAATATTCCCATCCAAACCCAAGTAACGAAGGTGGAGGCATTACTTTTCATTCAACCCTCGTAAATCCTTTTCGCACCGGACCAACGTGATGGCAATGAACCAGGAAGTTTACCCAAGCGCTGAAGCTTATGGAGGGGGACCTTGTCGCCTTCGTCATCTTCGGTCAAGATGTCGTCTGTAGCAAAAGGACCTCCTGAGGGAAAGGACGAAAGGGTCTCAAGTTAAAACCTCCCAGGGTGAGGCTGTCCCTGAGTTACAAACATCAGACTTACAAATGACTCCTAGTTCAGAATGGGGACGATAGATATATATCTATATAAATAAAAATGTAATGTTTGTGGGATTAACATAACTCAAAAACCACTGGACGAATTGACACCAAATTTGGACACAATATACCTATCAGGCCAATGAATGTTCTTCAGTAAAAAAAAAAAATGATTTTGTCATTTGGGAGTTGCAGTTGCTGGGATTTATAGTTCGCCTACAATCAAAGAGCACTCTGAACTCCACCAATGATGGAATTGAACCAATCTTGGCACACAGGACTCCCATGACCAACAGAAAACACTAGAAGGGTTTGGTGGGCATTGACCTTGAGTTTGGGAGTTGTAGTTCACCTACATCCAGAAACCACTGTGGACTCAAACAATGATGGATCTGGACCAAACTTGACACAAATATTCCATATGCCCAAATATGAACACAGATGGAGTTTAAGGGAAATAGACATTGACATTTGGGAGTTGTGGTTACCGGGATTTATAGTTCACCTACAATCAAAGAGCATTCTGAACTCCACCAATGATGGAATTGAACCAAACTTGCCACACAGGCCTCCCATGACCAACAGAAAACACTAGAAGGGTTTGATGGGCATTGACCTTGAGTTTTGGAGTTGTAGTTCACCTACATCCAGAGAGCACTTTGGACTCAAACAATGATGGATCTGGACCAAACTTGGCACAAGCACTCAATACACCCAAATATGAACACAGATGGAGTTTGGGGAAATATACCTTGACATTTGGAAGTTGTAGTCAGTGGGATTCACAGTTCACCTACAATCAAAGAGCATTGGGTCAAACTTCCCACACAGAACCCCCAGGACCAACAGAAAATACTTAAGGCCATCCAATCCAACTCTCTTCACCTGGGCAAGAAAACGTAATCAAAGCCCTCCTGACAAAGAGCCATCCAGCCAGAGATATAGATACATATATGTGCTTCACTCACACACAGAGATATAGTATCATAGATTTGAAAGGGACCCCTAAAGATGGACCATGATATGTTGCATGTTCCAGAGTAGGCAAACCAGACACTCTCCACATCAACACTGACAAAGAAACAGCAAGAAATACTGTTTACCCAACAAAGAGAAAGAAATTACATATATTAGAAACCAACACTTTCTCATTACTTTATTTTCCAGATCAACAGTTAGAAACAAGACTGGTTCTGTAGGTTTGTTTGTAAGTTGATTTTGTTTGTAAGTCAGAACAGGGGCATTTTTAAGTCTCTGATCTATATAAATAAAAATGTGATGTTAGTTTGTGGGATTAACATAACTGAAAATTTCGGTCTCAAATTTGGTGTCCATTCGCCCAGTGGTTTTTGAGTTTGGAATGCTCTTTGATTGTAGGTGTACTATAAATCCCAGCAACTACAACTCCCAAACTCCCAAAATTAATTTTTTTTAGTGATAGTCATTTCTTGGGTTAGTAGGTGTCTTGTGTCCAAATTTGGCGGCAATTCGTCCAGTGGTTTTTGAGTTATGTTAATCCCACAAACGAACATTACATTTTTATTTATATAGATTTATTTATTTACGCTGTTTGTAGCCCGCCTTTCTCAGCCATTAAAAACATATAATCACCGGCATTGTCCTGTCAAACACATTATCTGCACCGTGTCCCTTGGGGAGGTGGTAGCGGGGTACAATTAAATTATTATTATTATTATTATTATTATTATTATTATTATTATTATTATTATCCAGCAGCATCGTCTAGCCATTCCGAGTTATTTATTTATTTTATTTATTTACTCCATTTGTATACCGCATTTATCAGCCTCAGGCGGCGACTCAATGCGGTTTACAATAAAAATAAGCAACACTGACAATATATAAGACACACATACACAAACAACACACAAATAATCATCAACGCCTCGGTTAGAATCAGATCCCGTTCTCACAGTCCTTATTCGTTCCTTGTTCAATGCCGTCTTACTGAGTTAGTTGTCATTGCATAATTATCCAAATGCCTGCTCGTAGAGCCACGTCTTAACCCTCCTCCGAAACACCAGCAACGAAGGGGCCTGCCTGATGTCCACTGGTAGGGCATTCCATAGCCGAGGGGCCACCACCGAGAAGGCCCTGTCTCTCGTCCCCGCCAACCGCGCTTGTGACGCTGGCGGGACCGAGAGCAGGGCCTCCCCGGACGATCTTAACGTCCTCGCCGGTTCATAGGTGGAGATGCGTTCGGGGAGGTAAGTGGGGCCGGAACCGTGTAGGGCTTTATAGGCTAAAGCCAGCACCTTGAATTGTGCCCGGTAGCAAATTGGCAGCCAGTGGAGCTGGCTCAACAGGGGGAGTTCATTCTTCCTATTTCATAATTATTTATTCTGCTGCATTTCCAAACGCTTGTTCAAAAAGCCAAGTTTTTACTCTTTTTCGGAAAGTCAAGAGGGAGAGTGGCAATCTAATATCCTTAAGGAGGTAGTTCTACAGCTGTGGGGCCACCACTGTGAAGGTCCTGTCTATCATCCCCAACACACACATACCTTCTGCACTGGATGGTTTTGTTCTGGGATTGCCTTGGGAAGAAACATCTCGGGGCGGACCTGGGTCTCCTTTGGGGGCACATTGTTCTGTAGCAAAGATAACACAACATATTGCAGGGAGGTGAACAATCAGAGGTGGGGTGCATGAGCAAAAACATCAACAAGCGGGCTGTATTATTATGCACGAGAGAGAGAGAGAGAGAGAGAGAGAGAGAGAGAGAGAGAGAGAGAGAGAGAGAGAGAGCGAGCCAGGGCCTACCTTTGTGCTTCTTGTAGCAGGGCAGGGAGCAACTGAAAGGCAAAATAATCTATATAAATAAAAATGTAATGTTTGTTTGTGGGTTTAACATAACTCAAAAACATATACACAAACATATACGCATATATATACACACACAAATACACATATACACAGAGTGGGCCGTAGGAACGCATGGCAGTGGATGGCTAATAATAATAATAATAATCTATGTAAATAAAGTGTAATGTTCGTTTGTTGGATTAACAAAACTCAAAAACATATACACAAACATATACGCATATATATACACACACAAATACACATATACACAGACTGGGCCGTAGGAACGCATGGCAGTGGATGGCTAATAATAATAATAATAATCTATGTAAATAAAGTGTAATGTTCGTTTGTTGGATTAACAAAACTCAAAAACATATACACAAATATAAACACACACATATACGTATAAATATATACACACAAACACATATACACAGACTGGGCCACAGCAACGCGTGGCAGTGGACGGCTAGTAATAATAATAATCTATATAAATAAAAATATAATATTCATTTTTGGGATTAACATAACTCAAAACATATACACAAATATACACACAAACATACGCATATATACACACACAATCACATATACACAGACTGGGCCACAGCGACGCCTGGCAGGGGATAGCTAATAATAATAATAATAATAATAATAATAATAATAATAATAATAATAATAATAATAATACAGGGTTTCCTATAGAGATCCTAAGCCTGAAACACTAAATCCTGGCCTCTTTGTGGGGGGAAAGAAGGGCAACCCAGGACCCCAAGGCCTCCCTCCTTTTGTGGGGTGGAGAGTGGGGATCACTCACTATCTCTCCCTGCAGGAAGGGCAGCGGTAAGGGGCGAGCACTCCACAAAGGAAGCACTGGCGCTGGCAGAGATCCTCTTGCATGGCTCCTCACCCACGTGGCTCACTTCCGGGGTCTAGGCCCCGCCCACCGAGGGGCATGGCTGCCAGGCTAAGGCCTGCTCAGCCGATGGAGGAGGAAGTCGATTAGGTTTCAAGCCCAGCCAAGTTGGGAGAGATTGATACATAGATGATTGATAGATACATGACATATAAGATGGATATAAATGTTGTAAAATAGGCATGGGCCAGCTTGGGCCCTCCAGGTGTTTTGGACATCAACTCCCACAATTCCTAACTGTTAGGAATTGTGGGAGTTGAAGTCCAAAACACCTGGAGGGCCCAAGTTGGCCCATGCCTGATAGATAATAGCTAACTAATTCCTCTTGTCAAAGTTCTCTCTTTTGCCCTCCATTCATGCCTTTTCAAATTCTGCAGCACTGCTGGTCACAGCTGACTTCCAGTTACAGCACTCAAGGGCCAGGGCTTCCCAGTTCTCTGTGTAAATACACTTTTTAAGGTTAGCTTTGAGCCCATCTTTCAATCTCTTTTCAAACATTACATTTTCTGTTCATGAGCTGGGAATAGAGTAACTGCTTCAGGCATTCGGACAACGTGGCTGGTCCAGCAGAGTTGATTTTTTTGTTTTTGTCGTGTCGGGAGCAACTAGAGAAACTGCAAGTCGCTTCTGTTGTGAGAGAATTGGCCGTCTGCAAGGACGTTGCCCAGGGGACACCCGGATGATTTGATGTTTTATCATCCTTTTGGGAGGCTTCTCTCATGTCCCCGCATGAGGAGCTGGAGCTGATAGAGGGAGCTCATCCGCCTCTCCCCGGATTTGAACCTGCGACCTGTCGGTCTTCAGTCCTGCCGTCACAGGGGTTTAACCCACTGCGCCACCGGGGGCTCCTTAGCGGAGTTGATGGCGGAGGACCATCGCTTTGATGCTGGTGGTCTTTGCTTCTTCCAGCATGTTGACATTTCCCCGCTTGTCTTCCCAAGAGATTTGCAGGATTTTTCAGAGGCAACGCTGATGGAATTGTTCCAGGAATTGCATATGATATCTGTAGACAGTCCACGTTCCGTAGGCATATAGCAGGGTTGGGAGGACAATAGCTTTATAAACAAGTACCTTGGTCTCCCTACGGATGTCCCAATCCTCAAACACTCTCTGCTTCATTCGGAAAAATGCTGCACTTGCAGAGCTCAGGCGGTGTTGTATTTCAGTGTCAATGTTGACTTTGGTGGTGAGGTGGCTGCCAAGGGAGCGGAAATGGTCAACATTTTCTAATATTACACCATTAAGCTGTATTTCTGGCATTGGAGAGGGATTGGCTGGTGACTGCTGGAGGAGTACTTTGGTTTTCTCGATGTTCAATGATAGGCCGAGCTTCTCGTATGCTTCTGCAAAGGTGTTTAGAGTGGCTGGTAGGTCTTTTTCTAAATTTTCACAGACAACGTTGTCATCAGCATATTGGAGTTTGATAACAGATGTTGTAGGTCTTTTTCTGAATGCGCATATATGTTGTCATCAGCATATTGGAGTTTTATAACAGATGTTGTAGGTCTTCTGAATGCGCACAGATGATGTCATCAGCATATTGGAGTTCGATAACAGATATTGTAGGTCTTCTGAATGCACACAGATGTTATCATTGGCATATTGGAGTTCTATAACATATATTGTAGGTCTTTTGAATGCGCACAGACGACATTGCCATCAGCATATTGGAGTTCTATAACAGATGTTGTGACCTTGGTTCTGGCTTTTAGTCTGCTGAGGTTAAATAGCGTGCCATCTGGCCAATAGATAAGATGATTTCCACTCTGGTGGGAAGCTTCCCATGAACAAGATGGAAGTATCATAGTGATGAAGATGGAAAATAAGGTTGGGGCAATAACAACACATCCGTGTTTGACACCAGATTCCACCTTAAATGGGTCACTTTGGGAGCCATTGCTGTCCAAGACGCTTATCATGGAGAAACTGCAGGATCATCACAAATGTGTTAGGGCACTCGATTTTTTGGAGGATGGTCCAGAGAGCACTGCAATTCGGTGTCTTTGCGAGGTCAGTGAATGCTGTGATATGTGATCAATATATAGATATGAAGATGGATAGATGAGGAATAGATAATATACAGATTTTGTTGTTTTCAAGTCAGGCGCGACTTGAGAGACTGCAAATCACTTCTGGTGTGAGAGAATTGGCCGTCTGCAAGGACATTGCCCAGGGGATGTTTTGATGCTTGACCATCCTTGTGGGAGGCTTCCCTCGTGTTATAGATAGGAAGATGGATAGATGATATCGATATGAGAGATGATAAGACTGATCGGTGATTGATTACACAAGCCAACAGGTATTTTTCATCAGATATAACTTTAGGTTAATCCTTATAGATTTTTTTTTTGTGCTGGATTCAGATCTGTGTTTATCTTTTCTCTACCACATATAGTTTTTGGGATGAGACTAATTGAATACTGAATGCATTTAGGCATGGATCTCAATAAGGACTGTTTTTATGTTTTGTACCATATCATGTTGTATAGGGCTCTCCTTAATCTTAATTAATTAATTATATTTGAGCCTCTGGTGGCGCAATGGGTTAAACCCTTGCACCGGCAGAACTGAAGACCGACAGGTCGTAGGTTCAAATCCGGGGAGAGCGTGGATGAGCTCCCTCTGTCAGCTCCAGCACCCCATGCAAGGGCATGAAAGACAATATTCCTCAAGGGCATCCACCTGTACAGCCATGCACCAAGACAGCCATACAGGCACATACCTCTACCTCCATACATAGCTCTTCAAATGCGTGTGAACTACAATTCCCATCATCCTCTGTCCATTCCCCCAAAAGCCCACCAGTATTTTGACTCAGAATGGGTCTGCTTACCACATTTGGCCCAGCTCCATCAAGCCAAGTAGGAGCCATCCCAGATCAGGGTTGTGGCACAGCTGCTTGGTAGTCAGTTGCATTAAAATACAATATAATACTAATAAGATATTATAATTACATATATTTATATTACATGTAATATTACTAATAATATTACAATATAATGGTATAGTGCAATATAGTAATATATAATACTGATATTGTATTATTATTATTATTATTATTATTATTATTATTATTTACAGTATTTGTATACTGCTTTTCTCACCCCAAGGGGGGAGCCCCCGGTGGCGCAGTGGGTTGAACCCCTGTGCAGGTCGTGGTTCAAATCCGGGGAGAGGCGGATGAGCTCCCTCTATCAGCTCCAGCTCCTCATGCGGGGACATGAGAGAAGCTTCCCACAAGGATGATAAAAACATCAAATCATCCAGGCGTCTCCTGGGCAACGTCCTTGCAGACGGCCAATTCTCTCACACCAGAAGCGACTTGCAGTTTCTCAATCACTTCTGACACGACCAAAAAAAAACCCCCCCAAGGGGGACTCAAAGCGGTTTACACATAAGTAATGGCAAAATTCAATGCCAGTACAATTACAAATATACACTACAATTAGACATAAATCAAATTAAAACAATACATCCATAAGCAATAAAACAATCATGAAAACAATAAAACAGTCTCGTCCGTCGAATCGCCGTTCCAGTCATTGTCTTTCCGAAATGCTGCATATATTTACTACTACTGCCCGAAGGCCTGGTCCCAAAACCATGCTTTAATTTTTTTTCCTAAAGGCCAGGAGGGAGGGAGTGGATCTTACCTCATTTGGGAGTGTGTTCCATAGGCGGGGGGCCGCAGCCAAGAAGGCCCTGTCTCTTGTCCCCGCAAGGCGCATCTGTGATGTTGATGGGAGCGAGAGCAGGGCCTCCCCAGATGATCTTACATTACGAGGTGCTAATAATATAATATATTGTATGTATATATATCTTGTAAGCTGCTCTGAGTCCCCTTAGGGGTGAGAAGGGCAGCATATAAATGTCGTAAATAAATAAATAAATAAATAAAATCACTACTGGCCGAGAGGTCATAAGTTCAAAACCAGCCCGGGTTGGAGTGAGCTTCTGGCCATTTGTCTAGCTTGCTGTCGACATTTGCAGCCTGAAAGACAGTTGCATCTGTCAAGTAGGAAATTTAGGTACTGCTTATGCGGGAAGGCTAATTTAACTAATTTACGACGCTATAAAACTCTCTAGCAGCGTGCAAAAGAATGAGGAAGTACTTCATCGCTGTCACAAGTGGATGGTGAAGCGACAGCTCCCCTGGTGGCTGGAATTTTTTAAAAAGCATACCCTCATGAAGCTGGAAAGTTAAATAGCCTCTGAGTCTCTGTCTATATATGTTGTGTGTCTGTGGCATTGAATGTTTGCCATGTATATGTGCTTTGTGATCTGCCCTGAGTCCCCTGCGGGGTGAGAAGGGTGGAATATAAATGCCCTAAATAAATAAATTAGTAAATATTAAAATTGAGGCCTTTCTCCCACTGAGGCCTCTCTCACCCTGAGAGTTCTCTCAGACTGAGACCTCTCTCACTGAGGTTGGTTAACATTGAGGGCTCTCTTAGACTGAGAGCTCCTAAACTACAGGCACACCTGCTTATATTGAACTGCAGCTTTTGCTGAGTTGTGTGTCTATGGCACTGAATGTTTACCATGTCTGTGTGCATTGTGATCCACCCTGAATCCCGTGCGGGGTGAGAAGGGTGGAATATAAATGCTATAAATAAATAAATACTAACATTGAGGCCTCTCTCACTCTGAGGGTTATCTCGAACTGAGGCCTCTCCCAACCTAAGGCCTTTCCCCCACAGAGGCTTCTCTCACACTGAGGCCTGTTAACATTGAGGGCTCTCTCAGACTGAGAGCTCCTAAACTACAGGCACACCTGCTTATATTGAACTGCAGCTTTTGCTTTGTTACTGCATTGATTTAACCCTTTCAGTGCTTGACTCACATGCTTGTAATTAAATGCCTAGTTAATTTTTAATATTTCTGACATAAATTGAAAAAATTGCAGCAGGTTTTGCTCTAGTTTTTCAATGAGTATCTCCTCGAGTCTCAATCAATTTAACGTCGAGTCGCTTGTTTGTGGCAGCGACAAAAGCAAAGTTTCATATCTATCTGCCCTTAGTCCCCTGCGGAGTGAGAAGGGCGGAATATACATACTGTAAATAAATAAATGAAATATACATAATATAAACAATTCTACACATTATATTATAATTATACAGTATATAAAAATAGAAATTATAATTCTTTTATAATTATAACCTATATTATATATATTATAATTATATATATACACACACACACACACACACACACACACACACACACACACACATACACACACCAGCAATACAAATATATAAATATAAATGCTGTAAATAAATTAATAAAAATAATAAAAATACTTACTTGTATGCTATATAGAGATATGTAACTAATATGTAGATCTGTATTATTATTATGAGCCTTCAGAAGGAATTGGCAAAGGAGGGCAAGCTGTGTCTTCGGCCGCTGTATTGTGCTTCCTAGCCTTTTGCCCTCGCAAAGATCAAGATGACCAGTTGGATTCACACAAAAAAACAAGAATCTTTCTTTATTTTGACAGATTAATTGAGGGGGGAAGAGTCCCAGCCTGAGGTGTGTGTTTTCTGGCATCCTTTGAAGTCTTCTTCAAGCTTTTCTGGGTGGCTAGCCTTTTAAAAACAAACAAATAAACGCATTCCAGATTAGAAAAAAGTAACAGAGCCCTCATTTTTTGACATAAAGGGAAGGGGAATGGAGAAAGAGACACAGGGGGGCTGCTGAATGGGTCAAAAGTCCAGCCTCCCCCCCCCAAAAAAACCCATATCTTCATAAATAATTCCATTTTCATGTCTTAACAGTCACACCCCCATTTGAGGCTAATTTTTCCTTCCTTTCTTCTCAGAGAAAAGGCAGCTTAAAAACTATAAAATAAAAGTCTCTAGAATTCCATTCTTCTCTCCTCCCTCCTTCCTCCAAGGCCTTAAGGCAGTTTACAACACTTGAAAAAGAGCTCACTGGGACCCGGATCGTCCCTCCTTTCTCCAAAAAACTCCATTCCACGTTTTGTAAACTGCCTTAAGGCCTTGAAGGAAGAGGGAGGAGAGAAGAATGGAGCTTCAGAGACCTTCATTTTGTAGTTTTAAGCTGCCTTGCCTTTGGAGAATGAAGGAAGGTGGAACGAGAGAAGAGTGGAGCTTCAGAGACCTCCATATTGTAGTGTTTAAGCTGCCTTGCCTTCAGAGAATGAAGGAAGGAGGGAGGAGAGAAAAGTGGAGCTTCAGAGACCTCCATATTGTAGTTTTAATCTGTCTTGCCTTCGGAGAATAAAGGAAGGAGGAAGAGTGGAGCTTCAGAGACCTCCATGTTGTAGTTTTAAGCTGCCTTGCCTTCAGAGAACGAAGGAAGGAGGGAGGAGAGAAGAATGGAGCTTCAGAGACCTCCATGTTGTAGTTTTAACCTGCCTTGCCTTCGGAGAATGAAGGAAAAAGGGAGAAGAGTGGTGCTTCAGAGACCTCCATGTTGTAGTTTTAAGCTGTCTTGCCTACAGAGAACGAAGGAAGGAGGAAGGAAGGAGAAAAGAGTGGAGCTTCAGAGACCTCCATGTTTTAGTTTTAAGCTGCCTTGCCTTCGGAGAATGAAGGAAGGAGGGAGGAGAGAAGAGTGGAGCTTCAGAGACCTCCATGTTGTAGTTTTTAAGCTGCCTTGCCTTTGGAGAATGAAGGAAAGAGGGAGGAGAGAAGAGTGGAGTTTCAGGGACCTCCATGTTGTAGTTTTAAGCTGCCTTGCCTTCGGAGAAGGAAGGAAGGAGGGAGGAGAGAAGAGTGGGGCTTTAGAGACCTCCATTTTGTAGCTTTAAGCTGCCTTGCCTTCAGAGAACGAAGGAAGGAAGGAGGGAGGAGAGAAAAATGGAGCTTTAGAGACCTCCAAGTTGTAGTTTTAAGCTGCCTTGCCTTCGGAGAATGAAGGAAGGAGGGAGGAGAGAAGAGTGGAGTTTCAGGGACCTCCATGTTGTACTTTTAAGCTGCCTTGCCTTCGGAGAACGAAGGAAGGAAGGAGGAGAGAAGAGTGGAGCTTCAGAGACCTCCATGTTGTAGTTTCTAAGCTACCTTGCCTTCGGAGAATAAAGGAAGGAGGGAGGAGAGAAGATTGGCGCTTCAGAGACCTCCATGTTGTAGTTTCTAAGCTGCCTTGCCTTCGGAGGACAAAGGAAGGAGGGAGGAGAGAAGAGTGGAGCTTCAGAGACCTCCATGTTGTAGTTTTAAGCTGCCTTGCCTTCAGCAAACAAAGGAAGGAGGGAGGAGAGAAGAGTGGCGCTTCACAGACCTCCATGTTGTAGTTTTAAGCTGCCTTGCCTTCAGCAAACAAAGGAAGGAGGGAGGAGAGAAGAGTGGAGCTTCAGGGACATCTATGTTGTAGTTTCTAAGCTGCCTTGCCTTCGGACAAAGGAAGGAGGGAGGAGAGAAGAGTGGAGCTTCAGAGACCTCCATGTTGTAGTTTTTAAGCTGCCTTGCCTGGAGAATGAAGGAAGGAGGGAGGAGAGAAGAGTGGTGTTTCTGAGACCTCCATATTGTAGTTTTAAGCTGCCTTGCCTTCGGAGAACGAAGGAAGGAGGGAGGAGAGAAGAGTGGAGCTTCAGAGACCTCCATTTTGTAGTTTTAAGCTGCCTTGCCTTCAGCGAACGAAGGAAGGAGGGAGGAGAGAAGAGTGGTGTTTCTGAGACCTCCAAATTGTAGTTTTAAGCTGCCTTGCCTTCGGAGACCGAAGGAAGGAGGGAGGAGAGAAGAGTGGAGCTTCAGAGACCTCCATGTTGTAGTTTTAAGCTGCCTTGCCTTCGGAGGACAAAGGAAGGAGGGAGGAGAGAAGAGTGGAGCTTTAGAGACCTCCATGTTGTAGTTTCTAAGCTGCCTTGCCTTCGGAGAATGAATGAAGGAAGGAAGGAAGGAAGGAAGAGCCCCAAATGGCTCTGTAGTTTTTTTAAATAAAGGGAAACATAGTTGTTTGTGTGAGGCTGGATCCTTCCTCCTCCTCCTCTTGCAGACAAAGCATTTTATGTTTCCAAACACACACACAGAGAAAAGAAACTGGAGAATCAAAGGCAGATTTCTTTCCTTTGCGTAATAGTCTGACACCCCTTTTTGATGGAAAAAAGCAAGACAATTCTGCGATGAAATACAATATTTCTCTTACTGTTTTCTCTTGGCTTTCCTCTGCAAGGCCTCTGGGGAAGTGAGAATGTGTTCCCTTTCCAGCGGTTTCTTAATCAGCTTCTTCTTTTGCTTGCTGATGGAACAACATGGAAAGTGAGAGAGAAGAAAACCGTGACATAAATGCAAAAGGATCTTAACAGATTAGAGAGTTGGGAGAACTTCCCGACTGTGAGAGCTGTTCAGCAGTGGAACTCTCTGCCCTGGAGTGTGGGGGAGGCTCCTTCTGTGGAGGTTTTGAAACAGAGGCTGGATGGCCATCTGTCAGGGGTGCTTTGAATGCAATTTTCCTGCTTCTTGGCCGAATGGGGTTTGGCCCATGAGGTCACTTCCAACTCTATGGTTCTATGATTCTATAATTTATTTTTAATGTATATATTTATTATTTTTTGTTTCAGCAACTGAAGTATTATTATACAATTGATATAACAACCAAAAATATATACTGTACTTCACTGATCTCCCTTTCCTTTTCAGTAGCTCTAATAAACCAGCGGCTCACCTTTGCAGTTTGCGGAAATGCTGGATATAGTCCGGCACGGGGCAGCCAGCCCTCTGAATGACGCTGACGATGCTGCAAAGGGAGGAATGTGAGGGATTTAGAAGATAAACAATGGAGCCATAGGTTGAAATGGCAGGAAAAGAGGTCCCACCTGAACATTAGAAAGAACTCTCTTCCTGCAAGCGCCTTCTTTTGATGTTTTGAAACAGAGGCTGGGTGGCTATCTGTTGGGAGGGATCAGAAGCTGCTTTTTCCTTCCTGGCAGGAGGTTGGAATGGATGGCCTTTGGGGGTCCCTTCCAACTCCAGAATTCTATTATTATTATTGTTATTATTATTATTATTATCATTGTCATCATCATCACCATTATCATTATTATTCAGAGGCTGAGTGGCCATCTGTCAGGAAGGATTGGATGCTGCTTTTCCTTCCTGATAGAAGATTGGAATGAATGGCTTTCTATTATTATTATTATTATTATTATTATTATTATTATTATTATTATTATTATTATTATTCAGAGGCTGGATAGCCATCTGTCAGGAGGGATTGGATGGTGCTTTCCTTCCTGATAGGAGGTTAGAATGAATGGCTTTCTATTATTATTATGATTAATCATCATCATCATCATCATGATTATGATGATTATTATTCAGAGGCTGGATAGCCATCTGTCAGGAGGGATCGGATGGTGCTTTTCCTTCCTGAGAGGAGTTGGAATGAATGGCCTTTGGGGGTCTTTTCCAACTCTAGGATTCTATTATTATTATTATCATCATCATCATCATCATTATCATTATTACTCAGAGGCTAGGTGGCCATCTGTCAGGAAAGATCGGATGCTGCTTTTCCTTCCTGATAGGAGATTGGAATGAATGGCTTTCTATTATTATTATTATTATTATTATTATTATTATTATTATTATTATTAAGAGGCTGGATAGCCATCTATCAGGAGGGATCGGATAGTGCTTTTCCTTCCTGAGAGGAGTTGGAATGAATGGCCTTTGGGGGTCTTTTCCAACTCTAGAATTCTATTATTATTATTATTATTATTATTATTATTATTATTATCATCATCATTATTATTCAGAGGCTAGGTGGCCATCTGTCAGGAAGGATTGGATGCTGCTTTTCCTTCCTGATAGGAGATTGGAATGAATGGCTTTCTATTATTATTATTATTATTCAGAGGCTGGATAGCCATCTGTCAGGAGGGATTGGATAGTGCTTTTCCTTCCTGATAGGAGGTTAGAATGAATGGCTTTCTATTATTATGATGATTATTAATAATCATCATCATAATTATTATTAATATTCAGAGGCTGGATAGCCATCTGTTAGGAGGGATCGGATGGGGCTTTTCCTTCCTGGCAGAATGGGGTTGGACTGGATGGCCTTTGGGGGCCCCTTCCAACTCTAGGATTCTATTCTTCTTCTCCTTCCCCGGCTGTATGGCCATCTATCAGGAGGGATTGGATGGTGCTTTTCCTTCCTGGTAGAATGGGGTTGGACTGGATGGCCTTTGGGGGCTCCTTCCAACTCTAGGATTCTATTCTTCTTCTCCTTCCCCAGCTGTATGGCCATCTATCACGAGGGATTGGATGGTGCTTTTCCTTCCTGACAGAATGGGGTTGGACTGGATGGCCTTTGGAGCCCTTTCCAACTCTAGGTTCCTATCATTCACTGGATCGATCTTGCCCCAAAAATATTAATTCCAATGCCTGCCTGGGAAGAGATGTACCTGCGCAGCAAGGGCTTGTCGTCTTCGGTGAAGAACGTGATGGCTTTCCCAGTGTGTCCCGCTCTCCCCGTTCGACCTAAGACACAAATGGCAGGCACATTGGGCATCAACACTCCCCCTTACAGAGGTCAATAGGAGCAGGTAAAGGGGTGAAACAACAGGCAGTCCCAACGCACCAATCCGGTGGATGTACTCCACGGCACTGCTTGGGAAGTCGTAGTTGATGACCACGTTGACCCCTTTGAAGTCCATCCCTCTGGCCAGCAAAGCGGTGCAGATGAGGACCCAGATCTTCCCGGCTCGGAAACCGTGGACCACGTTGTCCCTCTGGAAGGAGAAAGAGAGCCAGCCCTCTTCATCACCATAGCACTACAACTTCTGTCATCCCAAGGGGGGATTGCGCTTACAGAAGAAGGGAAGGAAGGAAGGAAGGAAGGAAGGAAGGAAGGAAGGAAGGAAGGAAGGAAGGAAGGAAGGAGAGGGAAACAACAAAAGGGTCTGACGGTTTTTTATCCCCATCAAAAACCACATGTGAAAATAAAATTAATTTTTAAAGTAAAAGGCTAGTTGGGAGTCATCTGCATTAAAATCACTACCGAGTTTGAAGCTACCCCGTGTCAGCGTGAGCTTCCGGCCATTTGTCTAGCTTGCTGTCGACCTTTGCAGCCCGAAAGATAGTTGCATCTGTTAAGTAGGAAATTAGGTACCGCTTATGCGGAGAGGCTAATTTAACTAATTTACGACACCATAAAACTCTCCTAAGAATGAGAAGTACTTCATCAGTGTGACAAGTGGATGGTGAAGCAACAGCTCCCCCGGTGGCCAGAATTCAAAAAGCATACCCTCATGAAGCTGGTAAGTTAAATAGCCTCTGTGTCTTGTCTATATATGTTGTGTCTATGGCATTGAATATTTGCCATGTATATGTGCATTGTGATCCGCCCTGAGTCCCCTGCGGGGTGAGAAGGGCTGAATATAAATGCTGTAACTAAATAAATAAAATATACATAATATAAACAATTATACACATTATATTATAATTTTACAGTATATAAAAATAGAAATTATAATTTTGTTATAATTATAACCTATATTATATATATTATAATTATAAATTATTGTGTGTGTGTGTGTGTGTGTATATATATATATATATATAATTCCCTGCCTATGACTTAGTCTGTGTATGTGTGTGTGTATATATGTGTTTGCATATATATATGTGATATGGCGCATGTGTTGTTATGGTTTTTTTTTTTTTGCTTTTAAGTCTCTTCTGCTGTGTTTTTCAGTGTTTTTATGAGTGATGGTCACTCGTTGGCCTGAAAAAAAATTTACATTTTTATTTATATAGATTTATTTAGTATATTTATATACCACTTTTCTCACCCCTGGGTGGATTCAAGGCGGTTTACAACATAATAATGTCAAGAATTCAACACCAACATACATAGAATAAAATAAAATCACAGTAACTAAACACTGACATATAACTAAAAATTAAAACCATTAAAACCATTAAACATAGGCACATAGGTAGGTAAAGGTAGTCCCCTGACATTAAGTCCAGTCATGTCTGACTCTGGGGTGTGGTGCTCATCTCCATTTCTAAGCCGAAGAACCAGCGTTGTCCGTAGACACCTCCAAGGTCATGTGCCCGGCATGACTGCATGGAGCGCCGTTACCTTCCCGCCGGAGCGGTACCTATTGATCTACTCACATTTGCATGTTTTCGAACTGCTAGGTTGGCAGAAGCAAACATAGGCACATACAACATGTAAATACTAAGACAAAGCATTATAAACATCCTAATATAAATATTAAAAAGCACATGCTCCAAATCTTCTATATAAATAAAAATGTCATGTTCATTTGTGAGAATCAACATAACTCAAAAATCACTGCGCGAATTGACACCAAATTTGGACACAATACACCTATCAGGCCAACAAGTGACCATCACTCATAAAAACACTGAAAAACACAGTGAAAGAGACTTAAAAGCCAAAAAATAAAAAAATACATAGCAATGCATGCGCAAAACCACACATATACACAATATACACAAATATACACACACAAAACACAGATACACAGGCTGGGCCGCAGCAACGCATGACAGCGGACGGCTAGCAGATATGATAAATCTATATAAATAAAAATGTAGTGTTCGTTTGTGGGATTAACATAACTCAAAAACCACTGGGCAAATTGACACCAAATTTGGACACAAGACACCTATCAGGGCAACGAGTGACCAGCACTCATAAAAACACTGAAAAACACAGCAGATGAGACTTAAAAGCAAAAAAATAAAAAATACATAACAACGCATGCGCAAAACCACATATATACACAATATACACAAATATATACACACAGAAACACAGATACACAGGCTGGGCTGCAGCAACGCATGTCAGGGGACGGCTAGCAAATATGATAAATCTATATAAATAAAAATGTAATGTTCGTTTGTGGGATTAACATAACTGAAAAACCACTGGGCAAATTGACACCAAATTTGGACACAAGACACCTATCAGGGTAAAGAGTGACCAGCACTCATAAAAACACTGAAAAACACAGTGAAAGAAACTTAAAAGCCAAAAAATAAAAAACACATAACAATGCATGCGCAAAACCACATATATACACAATATACACAAATATACACATAAGAAACACAGATACACAGGCTGGGCCGCAGCAACGCATGGCAAGGGATGGCTAGCAGATATGATAAATCTATATAAATAAAAATGTAATGTTCGTTGGTGGGATTAACATAACTCAAAAACCACTGGGCAAATTGACACCAAATTTGGACACAATACACCTATCAGGCCAACGAGTGACCAGCACTCATAAAAACACTGAAAAACACAGAGAAAGAGACTAAAAAAGCAAAAATAAAATAAAATAAACACTTGCACAAAACCACATATATACATGTAAAGACACATATATACATATACACAAATATATATATACACACACAAAACACATATACACAGACTGGTCACAGCAATGCATGGCAGGGGATGGCTAATTTATTATAGAAATAATTATTACATAAATAAATGTCCATATATATGTGTGTTTGTGTTTGTCTTTTCCAAGAGGGCTCCCACCAAACTTGGAACACAGACCCATCTTGACCAACATTAACTACTGGTGGGGTTTGGGGAGCAATGACAGAGGATGATGGAAGTCGTGGATCACCCACATGACAAACCACCCACAACTTTTCCTCATAAATGGCGTACCAAGGTGTATACGCTACCTGCTGCTGGGTCCTGTCTGCATGGATGACGTCAGCGTTGATTCCTTCGTAAATGAGCTCCCGGAAGAGCTCTTTGGCCCGTTCAATGGACTGTACAAACACCAGGACGGGAGGCGCAAAGCCCTGCAACAAGAGAAAGAAGATGATGATGGGGATTCTGGAAGTGGGACTTTTTGGCGCTTACAGCAAACAATACAAGGAAGTTTGACTGGGAAAAGAATGGGACTGAAATACATTTTAGTGCCAATAGGAACCTCAAGTTCAGGTCCAGCCCCTTTTCCTTTGTTTCTCATCCACTTCTTTAAATATAAAAGACCGTTAGACATAATCTACTGAAGGTTCCCCCAAATAGAAAACCCTCACCTTTTTCACAAAGTCTCTCATGGCTAAGAGCTTCCCAGTCTCCGATCCGACAAACAAGAGCTCTTGGTCCACTGTCTCAGCCGCAGCATTTCTAAAATGAATAATAATAATAACCTTTTATTTTTGTGTCAGGAACGACTTGAGAAACTGCAAGTCACTTCTGGTGTGAGAGAATTGGCTGTCTGCAAGGACATTGCCTAGGGAACACCAGTTGTTATGTTTTGCCATCCTTGTGGGAGGCTTCTCTCATGAGGAGCTGGAGCTGACAAAGGGAGCTCATCCACGCTCTCCCTGGATTTGAACCTTCAGTCCTGCCGGCATGGGGGTTTAACCCACTGCACCACTGCGGGTTCCTATAATAACCATAATATAGGAGAGATCTGGGCTACCTTGCAAGGTTGTGGGAAGGATAAAATAACAACAACAACATCAAATAAGAGAGATCTGGATTGAGTTGCATACACTACCCCAAGCTAGTCTACTCTGCAGGTTTGTTGAGAGGGTACAATAATTAAATTGAGTTATAATAATAATAATAATAATAATAATAATGAGAAATCTGGGTTGGGTTGCATGCGTTATCCCAACCTGGTCTATCTTGCAGGGTTGTTGAGAGGGTAAAATAATTAAATTGAGTAATAATAATAATAATAATAATAATAATAATAATAAAGAGAAATCTAGGTTGGGTTGCATATGTTATCCCAACCTGGTCTACCTTGAAGGGTTGTTGAGAGGGTAAAATAATTAAATTGAATAATAATAATAATAATAATAATAATAATAATAATAATAATAATAATGAGAAATCTGGGTTGGGTTTCATGCGTTATCCCAACCTCGTCTATTTTGAAGGGTTGTTGAGAGTATAAAATAATTAAATTGAGTAATAATAATAATAATAATAATAATAATAATAATAATGAGAAATATGGGTTGGGTTGCATGCGTTATCCCAACCTGGTCTATCTTGAAGAGTTGTTGAGAGGGTAAAATAATTAAATTGAGCAATAATAATAATAATAATAATGAGAAATCTGGGTTGGGTTGCATGCGTTATCCCAACCTGGTCTACCTTGCAGGGGTGTTGAGAAGGTAAAATAATTAAATTAAGTAATAATAATAATAATAATAATAATATTTTAGAGGCCGCAGTGGCGCAGTGGGTTAAAGCGATGAGCTTCTGAATTTGTTGACCAAAAGGTCGCAGGTTCGAATCCGGGGAGTGGCATGAGCTTCCGCTGTCAGCCCCAGCTTCTGCCAACCTAGCAGTTCGAAAACATGCAAATGTGAGTAGATGAATAGGTACCGCTCCGGTGGGAAGGTAATGGCACACCAGCACAATAATAATAATAATAATACAAAATAAGAGATATATGGATTCAGTTTCATGTGCTATCCCAACCTGGTCTACATTGCAGGTTTGTTGGGAGGATAAAATAATAATATAAAATAATAATGATTTAAAATAATAAAACATAAAATATAACAAGAATATAAAATTATATATATATATATATATATGATAATAGAATAAGAGAGGTTCAAATCCTTGTTAGTCCTTTGGCAATAAGGGTGCATGCAACATGGCCTTGCACTGTTTCTTGGGAAGGTAAAATAATAATATAAAATGACAATACTTTAAAATAATAAAAATATAAAATATAACAAGAATATAAAAGAAATATATATATTTAAAATAAATTATAATAGAATAAGAGAGGTTCAAATCCTTGTTGAGTCCTTTGGCAATAAGGGTGCATGCAACACGGCACTATTATCTGGGAGGGTATAATAATAGTAATAATATGAAATAATAGTAATGAAATAATATAAAGCAATAATATAAAATAATAACAATAAGGAATTTGGAATAATAGCAATAATATAAGACAACATCAAATAATAATAATATAATATCAAACAAAATAAACGAATAATAATATGAAATAATAATTCAAAACCCTAATATATACTACCAATAATAATAAAGAGTCTGGAAAACAGACTCTCCTTCATAGAGTTTTTGCACATCTTCTCTTTTTATATACATATGCATGTACACAAACATCCGCACACACACACACATATATATAAGCAGTCCCCAAGTTACGAACAAGAGAGGTTCTGTAGGTTTGTTCTTAAGCTGAATTTGTATGCAAGTCGGAACAGGTAACTCCAGCCATAGATATATATGTGTATGTGTGTGTTTTAGCTTTGGATTGCATATGGCACAATACCAATGTAACGGAGGTTGGTGCAACTCCACTGGGAGGGAACTCACCTTGCGCCAATGGAAATGGAGACGACGCTGTCCAGGTTGAGGCGGCACCACTGCTCCACGTCATGCGCAAAAGTGGCGCTGAACAGGGCCCTTTTCACCAAAGGGGAGCTGCAGGCTGAGAAAAGGGTGGCCAGTTGGTCCCGGAACCCCGTCTTGCCGTCTTCGAACAACTTGTCCGACTCGTCCACCACCAGCCATTCAACCCTGGAAGGGAGCACAGTGTTCCTGTTTATTTTGTTTTTGCTGTCCCCAATGGTCTTTTGGCCTTATGATCCTTTTCTGAACCTCAGTTCTGAAAGTATTAATCCCACATTATTCTTATTTCTACCCCGCTCTTAATTTCTGGCTCATTTAAATTCCAGTTTGGTTTGCCCTGATTTGTTACTGGTTTAATGCAGAAGCGGCTTTCTAAGAATTCATCAGAAAAAGAGGGAAATACAGATACTCCCCTAGTCCTTTCTGGGACTCATTTTGGACCATTATTATTATTAATATTGCTATACATTATTTTTTATTTATATTTATAAACTATTATTTTATTTTTAATGCATATGATTATTTTCATCTTTTATGCATACTAGATTCAAGTGTCTGGGATTTGTCTCTATTGTTATTACTATATTTATATATTATTAGTATATTATATTTATAGGTTATATTAATATTATTATAAATACAACTAGATGAGTCCATAGCAAACAAGGTCACTCTGTCCTGACCTCACTGACCTCACGATTATTATTATTTTACGGTCTTCCTTTTCTGAACACATTATTATTATTATTATTATTATTATTACTACTACTACTACTACTACTACTACAATAATATTCATATTCATATTATTTCAAATTCAGACTGTCTGAATTCTGTCTGTCTTAATTTGAAATATTAATATTATTATAGTAATAGTAATCTGTATAAATAAAAATGTAATGTTCGTTTGTGCAATTAACATAACTCAAAAACCACTGGACGAATTGACACCAAATTTGGACAGCATACACCTAACAACCCAATGTATGTCTTTCACTCAAAAAAATGATTTTGCCATTTGGGACTTGTAGTTGCTGGGATTTATAGTTCACCTACAGTCAAAGAGCATTCTGAACTCCACCGATGATGGAATTGAACCAAACGTGGCACACAGTTCTCCCATGACCAACATAAAATACTGGAAGGATTTGGTGAGCAGTGTCCTTTGGTTTGGGAGTTATAGTTCACCTACATCCACAGAGCACTGTGGGCTCAAACAATGATGGATCTGGACCAAACTCTACACAAATACTCAATATGCCCAAATGTGAACACTGGTGGAGTTTGAGGAAAATAGAATCTTGACATTTGGGAGTTGTCATTGCTGGGATTTATAGTTCACCTACAATCACAGAGCATTCTGAACCCCACCAACGATAGAACTGGGCCAAACCTCCCACACAGAACCCCCATGTGGGCCACAGCAAAGTGTGGGAGGGGACGGCTAGTAATAATAATAATAATGTGTTCAGGAAAGGGAGACCATAAAATAATACTAGTAGTAATAAAAATACTCTGGCACAAGCCAGTCAACGTGGTCCCAGTGGTGATCGGCACACTGGGTGCAGTGCCTCAAGACCCTGGCCTGCACTTAAACACAATCGGCGCTGACAAGATTACTATCTGCCAGCTGCAAAAGTCCACCTTACTGGGATGTGCATGAATTAATTCGCCAATACATCACATAGTCCTAGACACTTGGGAAGAGTCTGACGTGTGATTCAATGCAACAGCCAGCAGAGTAATCTTGTTTGCTGTGGACTCATCTTGTTGTGTTTCAAATAATAATAATAATAATAATAATAATAATAATAATAATAATAATAATAATAATAATAATAAACTTTATACCCTGCCACCATTTCCCCAATGGGGACTCGAGGCGGCTTACATGAGGCCAAGCCCAGACAACATATTACAGCAAAATAAAACCAAAAACATAAGCAACAGCACACAGAGAAAATGAGTAATTTTGCATAATAATAATAATAATAACAATAATAATAAATCACATAGCCCTAGACTCTTGGGAAGTGTCCAACGTGTGATCCAATACAACTGCCAGCAGCGTGATCTTGCTTCGGACTCATCTTGTTGTGTTTATAATAATAATAATAATAATAATAATAATAATAATAATAATAATAATAATAATAATAAAAATCACACAGTCCTAGACACTTGGGAAGTGTCCGACATGGGATCCAATACAGCAGCTAGCAGAGTGATCTTGTCTGCTGTGGACTCATCTTCTTGTGTTTATAAGAATAATAGTAATAATAATAATAATCTTTTATTTATACCTCATCATAGAAAGAGAACAAAGGCATTGTTGTGGTATCAAGGCTTTGGCTAGTAAAATAACACAGTACAAAGAAAAATTAAGGAACATGTGCAATTACAATCAGAAAGGCTATGGTGTCCTTTTTTTGGCTCATGTGAGTTTAATAGTTATACTAGGATGATTTTAATGCTTTGTCCGAAGGTTTAAATTTTGTTTATGTCTTATGTTTAATGGTTTCAATGATTTTAACTCAAAGTTATTCTGATTTGTTTTGCCATTAATACGTTGTAAACCACCTTGAGTCTCCCCAGGGGTGAGAAAGGTGATATATAAATACAGTAAATAAATAATAATAAATATCTTTTTTTTCTCCCCATGGGGACTCACAACCACATAAGTCAAAATCAAACAAATACTATTTTTAAAAGCCACAATTAAATAATATTGTGTGGATTTAGGTTAAAATGCAGTTAAAATATAATAAATACAATTACATTTAAAATGGATCACGATTAATTTTACTTCTTACCTGCCTCTCTTTGTGGCAGATAATAATTACATCATAATAATTTTTTAAAATAATTTATTTCATATCTTATAATTATATAATAACAATAATAATAATAGAAAAAGAAGTAGAGGAAAAAAGAAACACGTCTTTCACTCGTTCACAGGGCTGCCTTATGAGAGACAGTCCAAAGATGGCTTCCTACCTGCTCAAATCTATGGCAGGAGGATCCTGCTTCAACAGGTAGATGAGTCGGTTTGGGGTCGTCACCAGGACATCTGTGGGAGGAAACAGACACAGAGGGTAATTATTACTATTAGTATTATTATTCTATAATAGAGCCAAGGAGGGCCATTGACGGCTGAGCTGGATCTCAATGTCATTAATTTACCAAATTTCCGGGACGATTTCGGTCCAAATTTCCTTGCGGCCTCTGCGGCTTTGTGGATCATGTGGATCCGGAAGCCGGTGCCTTCGGACAACTTGAGCAGCTCTCTGTGGGTCTGAAAAAGAGGAGAAACACCATCAAGGTCCATCTGTGTATATTGGTTACACTAAGGAGGATTGGAACAGACCTGGCAACAAAAGAGAATTGTACTGTGTTTCGCATGTACAGTGTTCCCTCACTTATCATAGAACAGCATTTCTCAACCTGGGGGTCGGGACTCCTGAGGGGGTCGCGAAGGGTTGACAGAGGGGTCGCCAAAGACCATCAGGAAACACATTATTTTCTGTTGGTCATGGGGATTATGTGTGGGAAGTTTGGTCCAATTCTATCATTGATGGAGTTGAGATTTCTCTGATTGTAGGTGAACTATAAATCCCAGCAACTACAAATGTGAAGCTCTATTTTCCTCAAACTCCATCAGTGTTCACATTTGGGCATATTGAGTATTCATGCCAAGTTTGGTCCAGATCCATCATTGTTTGGGTCCACAGTGCTCTCTGGATGTAGGTGAACTACCCAAACTCAAGGTCAATGCCCATCAAACCGTCCCAGTATTTTCTGTTGGTCAAGGGAGTTCTGTGTGCCAAGTTTGGTTCAAGTCTATTGCTGGTGGAGTTCATAATGATCTTTGATTATAGGTTAACTATAAATCCCAGCAACTACAACTCCCAAATGATAAAATCAATCCCCCCTCCAACCCCACCAGTATTCACAATTGGGCGTATTGGGTATTTGTGCCAAATTTGGTCCAGTGAATGGAAATACATCCTGCATAACAGATATTTACATACGATTTATAACAGTAGTAAAATGACACTGCATCCTAGTCTCCAGGGAAGCAGAAAACAAGCTTGCTCCCTCCTCCCTATGACTTCCTCTCACATATTTATACATGGCTATCATGTCTCCTCTCAGCCTTCTCTTCTGCAGGCTCAAAATGCCCAGCTCTTTAAGCCACTCCTCATAGGGCTTGTTCTCAGACCCTTGATCATTTTAGTCGCCCTCCTCTGGACTCATTCCAGCTTGTTAACATCTCCCTTCAATTGTGGTGCCCAGAATTGGACACAATAGTCCAGGTGTGGTCTAACCAAGGCAGAATAGAGCATGGGGAGCATGACTTCCCTGGATCTAGACACTAGACTCCTATTGATGCAGGCCACAATCCCATTGTGAAAATCCAGAAAGTAGGAACGAGGAGGAGGAAGAGAGGGAGCCTCAGCTTGGCCCTTTCCGAGGATGAAGCCGCCCCCGAAGAGGACTGCGCTGAGGCTCCCCCCTCCTCTATCTCCTCCTCTTCCTCAGAGGCCCAAGGGTCCTCCGAGAAAGAGGAGGAAGAGGATAGGGAGCCTCGGCTTGGCCCGCTCCTAGGACAAAGCCACCGCTGAAGAGGGCCATGCCGAGCCACCCCCTCCTCTTCCTCGGAGGACCCTTGGGCCTCCGAGGAAGAGGATGAGGAGGAGCCACCACCGAAGAGGGCTGCGTCAAGGCGCAGCCTGGGAGGCCATCACCAAAGAGGGAAGACCAGGCCTCAGGCCAGCCTGGCAGTCTCCAGGTCGGGCCTCAGTGCCTAAGGAGCCTCCGAGGAAGAAGCAGGGAGCAGCAAAGCTCAGACCGGAGACAAGCCCCTGGGTAAGGCCCAGCTCCCCCTCTCCCTAACCCACAACTCCCAGGGTGGGGAAGGAGAAGGAAAAATCCACGAAACAGCAAGTCTGCAACAAGCGAACCACAAAATAGCGGGGGAACACTGTATTGGAACAAAATCAAGCCTCTTTCGAAAATATGGGGGTACTAGAGACTATCCAGACACCAACACTGGGGGGGGGGCAGATAATATTATTTTTGGGCCTCTCAATGCCTGTTTCTGAGCCTCCAACGGTCCTAATACCTGGCTGGCGAGTTCCCTCGTGGGAGCGAGAATGAGAGCCCGGAAGCCCTTATTCATGGGTTGTTTCAGGTGCGTCAATATTGGGAGGCTAAAGGCCAGCGTCTTCCCAGAGCCGGTGGGGGCACAAGTCAAAAGCTCACGGCGCTGGAAGAGAAAAATAATAAAATGCAGTAATATGATTGTATACATACATATATATGTGTGTGTGTGCAATATATAATTATAATCATAATATTAATATAATAGCAATTTAATTATACACACGCACATACATATATGGACCATAATACAATATATATTATATGCTAACCTCTCTATTGGGAAAATACTTTAAAAAGAGGAAGAATGCTATGCTAATACATAATACATAAAATAATAGTAATTATACTGTAAAATATTATATATATACACACACACACACACACACACTGTATATACTTGAGTATAAGCCTAGTTTTTCATCCCTTTTTGTAGGCTGAAAAAGCCCACCTCGGCTTATAGTCAAGTTAAGGCTATTTATTATTTTACTCTGTTGTTGTTGTTATTACGACTACTATTATTATTATACATTTATTATTTTACTGTATTATTATTACTGTTTGACTATGGCATGGAAGAGGATTTGGATAAGTTAAGCGGAGTATTCATTAGTAGATGGCTAGCTAAACAGCAACCAGACGGGCAATAGCTAATCAGAGTGTAAGTATACTGTTTTAATCTTTATTTATTAATGTTCATGTTAATTGTTATATTTGTTATTCTGTATTCTGTATTTTATGATGCGGCATTGAATTATTGCCAACTGTAAGCCGCCCTGAGTCCCCCCAGGGGTTGAGAAGGACGGGGTAGAAATGTTCAAAATAAATAAATAAAAATTACTACATTTATCATTTTACTCTATTATTATTATTATTATTATTATTATTATTATTACATTTTTATTTTACTCTATTATTACTGTTACTCTATTATTACTGTTATTACTTTTATTATGTTTCCATTATTTTACTCTATTATTATTATTATTATACATTTATGATTTTCCTCTGTTTATTATTATTGGAAGGATACTTAAGCACATTTACATTGAAGAAGGTTAGAATAGTGGTTTAATCTTATCTTACATTTCAGTTTTATGTAAATATTCAAAAACATGTAACCTCCTGAAACCTCAATTAATGTAATTTTATTGGTATCTATTTTTATTTTAAAATTGACCCGTAGCTGCTGCATTTCCCACCCTTGGCTTATACTTGAGTCAATCAGTTTTCCCTGTTTTTGTGTGTGGTAAAATTGGGTGCCTCGACTTATACTCGGGTCAGCTTATACTCGAGTATATATGGTATATATAAACACTACTATATAAAATACATATAAATATAAATTACTAATATACTATACATAATTACACACATTGTAAGGATTACTTCTGCATTTGATTTATTAAAATATTCCCATCCAAACCCAAGTAAAAAAGGTGGAGGCATTACTTTTCATTCAACCCTCGTAAATCTCTCCCTTGGAAAGGAAATCCACTCCTGGAAGAGTCGTTATCAGGGGGGGAAGAGATTGTAAGGGGACCTACATGAAGCATGGCAGGGATGGCCTGCATCTGGACTGGGGTCGGGGTCTGGAACCCGGCCGCCTCCAGGTTCTGCATGATCCTTGGGAGGATCTTGTACTCCTCTCCCAGCTGCTCAAAGGTGGCCACGGGATCCGGGAGATCCGTCCCTTGAACGTAGATCTTGTGCTTGTTCCTGAAACGGTTGACCTGGAAGAGAGACGCATACGTGGTTTCAGAGCAGAAGCCGCATGGTGATTTCCAACAGCTCCAAATGAGAACAGAGAGCCCACCTGTTCTTGCCTGGCTTGTCTCAGCTTCTCGGCCGAGAGCTGCTTTTCCTCCTTCTTTTTCGGAGCGTCGAGCTTTGCCTCCAGAGAAGACGTCCACAGGATCCCATTGCCTTCAGCGGCAGGAGAGACGGGAGCCATTTCTGTGAAACACAACCATCATTTAAGGTACTGTATTAACAGCAAACACCAAAACCCTGGGTCTCTTGCAAATAAACAGATCATTAATGCAGTATTTTCAGGATTAGCACATCAAGCAAAACCTGGATAGACTCCTCGTTACTGCATTGTGTCACTTTATCCACTCAATTTTTCACTATGAATTTCAAACTCATGTCACGATATTTTAACCTTTGTTTTGTGTATTTTAAAATAGGTATTGCATAGAAATACATTTCAATATATGCATTTTATATAATATTTTATAATGATTTTAATAAAATTATTATTATCAATTATTATTGTATTAGTAGCATATTATTATTATTAAATAATTATTACCCACAAGGAGAGGCAGGTAATAAATAATAATTATTACTACTATTGTTGTTATGCTATTATTATTGACATTATATAATTATTATCTGCCCCAAGGAGAGGCGAGTAAGAAATAAATATATTATTGTTATTATCATAATACTGTAATTCATAACTCGGCTTTGAGTCGCCTAAGGGTGAGAAGGGAGGTATACAAATATAGTAAATAAATAAAATAAATAAACTCAAATCTGGGATACAAGGCTAGCTAGAGATACATGATAGCAACACATTATTATTATTGTTATTATCATATCATTTTTATTATCTGCCACAAGGAGATGTAGGTGTAAAATATTATTATTATTATTATTATTATTATTATTATTATTATTATTATTATTATATCCATAATCCACTTTCTTCCCAAATCTGGGATACATGGAGATTGTGAGAGCAACTTATCATTGGCATATTATTGTTATTATTTTACTTACACAAAACACAGTATATCACAGCAAACGAGATATATATGCTGGAATTCATATCACAAAATTGCAAGTCGAACACTTCTCAAGTGTCTAGGACTGTGTGATGTATCGCCAAATAATGCGTGCAGATACCAGTAGGGTGGCCTTTTGCAGCTGGCAGATGGTAATCTTGTCAGCGCTGATTGTGTTTAAGTGCAGGCCAAGGTCTTCAGGCACTGCACCCAGTGTGTCGATCACCACTGGGACCACCTTTACTAGCTTGTGTCAGAGTCTTTACAGTTCAATCTTTAAATAATAATAGTTATTATTATTATTATTATTATTAGAAACACCACAAGATGATTCCACAGCAAACAATATCACTCAGCTGGTTGTTGTATTGGATCACACGTACGAAACTTCCCAAGTGTCTAGGACTGTGTGATGTATCGGCGAATAATGCGTGCAAATACCAGTAAGGTGGCCTTTTGCAGCTAGCAGGTGGTAATTTTGTCAGCGCTGATTGTGTTTAAGTGCAGGCCAAGGTCTTAAGGCACTGCACCCAGTATGCAGATCACCACTGGGACCACCTTGACTCGTTTGTGCCAGAGTCTTTGCAGTTTCATCTTTAATTATTATTATTATTATTATTATTATTATTATTATTATTACATGCAGTCTGCTTTTTCTCTCTAAAAAAAGCAAACCTAATACAATATATTATACTTTATTGTATATGGTATGTTTAGTGTATATATTGCAGCTAAAACATATAATTTAAAACCTAAACACACCAACATTAAAATAGAATTAAACTGTGAATCTATCACAAAAACCCTAAAACAGATGAGAATCTCAGTACGAGGTGCTTCCCAAACTGTGTCCGAGGAAAACTATTCACAGGAATCTGAAAGGAGTGTCTCCTTTGAAAGGTAACCGCTTTGCTGAAGTCACCTGGGGCCCTTTTCTTCCTTCTCCTCCCTTCAGGGATTTGTCCTTCTGCTTTTCTCTTTCGCTTCGCCTTCTTTCCGTCTGTTGGTTTGAAGGCTTCGTCTTCAGGATACGGTTCAGATGCATGGCTTCCTCCATCGTCATCGCCTTCAGGGCTCTTTGGCCTTTTGGCAGCAAAGAAATCGAGCCTCTCCTCAATCTCAGAGGCTGCGGGTTTCCTCTTCTTTGTTCTGATCACCTAAAACAAAACAGTTTTCTATTATAGTTATGGTATTATATTATTATTACATATTATATCACTCTTATATTATTATTACATATATAACATGTAATACATTACATAAAGGTAAAGGTAGTCCCCTGACATTAAGTTCAGTCATGTGTGACTCTGGGGTGTGGTGCTCATCTCCATTTCTAAGCCGAAGAGCCAGCGTTGTCCATAGACACCTCCAAGGTCTTGTGGCCGGCATGACTGCATGGAGCGCCATTACATTACATATGACAGTAGAATCTCTCGGAGGAAGAGGCGTGCACGCGGTCAGAGAGGCTGAGTGAGGGCCTCCAGCGGATTTTCCACAACCACCGCGAGCTTTTCTGGGGTGGCGTGGGGGGTGCACGCCTGGGCTACCTCACGCTATTGGACAACGCTTCCTAGCTGGCGTGTGAGACCGTGCTGGGCTTCCTCTGCCTGCGCATGGGCACTCTCCTCAGCCACCAGAGCTGCCAGGCACGCCTCGAGAGCCCTGAAGGCATGGGCCTGTCTACCTGGCACTGCAGTCCTATGACTTCCTCCACCTGCGCCACCACCACAGCTGCCTTGTCCAGCTGGCCGGTGCCGACCAGATGGGCAACATCATGTCGGGATATGAGCTGGTCTCCAAGTAAGGAGGGGTTAGGAAGGAAAGAGTAGCTCCCTCTAAATCAGGGCACTCTGGCTTCTGTTCTCCAGATGTTTTGAACTTTATCTCCCAGAATCCCTCACAATAAGCCATGCTGGCTGGTATTTCTGGGAAGTGTAGTCTAAAGTCCCTGGCGGACCAAAGGTTGAGAACCACTGCTACCCTCTTAAAGTGACAGTAGATGAAGGTTATATCTCCACCAGGCAGTGAACAACATATAAAAAGCAACGACATAACATACAATAAAAATAAACGGCACCATCATAAGCATAATCACATCTAATAAAAATATTAAAAATCTACATCACACGTAATTAGCATCTAACTAAAAAACACAATTAAAAATTCAATGAATTAAAATCCTATCTAATATCAATTCAAGGTCATTTACCTGGCCCTCGCTCAGGGTCAAGCTAAGTCTGAAGTGACTTTATCTCATCAGCCCAAAGCAGGCCCACACTTCCCATTGAAATACTCATAAGTTTATATTTGTTAAAATTGTTCTTCATTTTAATTATTGTATTGTTTTTAAGTGTTATTTTTGCACTACAAATAAGATGTGTGCAGTGTGCATAGGAATTCATTTATGGGGTGTTTTTTTTTCCAAATTATAATCCGGCCCTCCAACAGTTTGAGGGACTGTGACCTGGCCCTCTGTTTAAAAAGTCTGAGGACCCCTGTCGTAAATAAATAAATACATTGTTGTTCGTTCGTTCAGTCGTCTCCGACTCTTCGTGACCTCATGGCCCAGCCCACGCCAGAGCTCCCTGTCGGCCGTCACCACCCCCAGCTCCTTCAAGGTCAGTCCAGTCACTTCAAGGATGCCATCCATCCATCTTGCCCTTGGTCGGCCCCTCTTCCTTTTACCTTCCTTTCCCCAGCATAATTGTCTTCTCTAGGCTTTGCTGTCTCCTCATGATGTGGCCAAAGTACTTCAACTTTGTCTCTAGTATCCTTCCATCCAATGAGCAGTCGGGCTTTATTTCCTGGAGGATGGACTGGTTGGATCTTCTCGCAGTCCAAGGCACTCTCAGCACTTTCCTCCAACACCACAGCTCAAAAGCATCTCTCTTCCTTCGCTCAGCCTTCCCTAAGGTCCAGCTCTCACATCCGTAGGTTACTACAGGGAATACCATGGCTTTGACTAGGCAATGGATCTTTGTTGCCAGTCTGATGTCTCTACTCTTTACTGTTTTATCAAGACTGGACATTGCTCTCCTCCCAAGAAGGAAGCGTCTTCTGATTTCCTGGCCACAGTCTGCATCTGCAGTGATCTTTGCACCTAGAAATACAAAGTCTGTCACGGCCTCCACGTTTTCTCCCTCTATTTCCCAGTTGTCAATCATTCTTGTTGCCATAATCTTGGAGGTCATAATATAATAATAATAATATAATATATTGTATTTACATATTACTGGTAAGGTGCTCTGTGTCCACTTTTGGGTGACAAGGGCGGGATATAAATGTCGTAAATAAATAAATACATTAGCATATTAATTATAGTTCTATTACTCTATTGCCTTACAATAGGAGGAGACAGATGGGCATGGAAAGGAGGAAAGGAGGGGTTTACAAAAAGGGAATGAAGGCTTATCTATTGGAAGAAAGGAAGAGGAGAGATTGAAAAGAAGGGAAAGAGAAGGCCTGCAAAGAAGGGCCTCCAAGTGGAGGGCGGCGGGCGCGGGCAGAAACAGCACCAAAGGCCCGGAATGAGGACCAAACCCTGGCCCAACTAGGCCTCTCCTCTTCCTCACCCGGAACCGCTCCGCATCCTTCTGAAAGCGCTTCAGGTCGAACGTGGCTCCGGCCCTCAGTTTGCGGAAGAGTTCGCCGGCCTCCATGAAGACAACCGCGTGGGCCCTCCAGAGGGAGGAAGAGCTCACGTCGCCTAGCAACCGAAGGCGCAGGAAGCGGAAGTGGTCAGGCCGTCGAGCTGCTTCCGGGGGGGGAAAGACGGCCGCCCCTGAATGGAACCTCCCCCTTTTTTAAGACATAGAGGACACAACACTAATGTGCGCAACCTACACTTCCGAAATCATTTTGACACTCTTAAAAAAAACATAGAGCTAAAGAACAAACGTAGCAAGGCAACACTTGCGGTTCCATATTGACGGACTTTTGTCAAACTTTCAAGTCTATATATAATTTTATGATGTTATATGCTATATATATATATATATGTATGTATTATAATTTAATTATTATATGTTATATCTATATTATATATATAAATACTTGTATTATATATTAATTATATATCACATATTATATATATTTAAAAGACTATATATATAACTTTACTATGTTATATGTTATATATATTATATATATAAATTCTTGTATTATATATATCACTTTATTATGTTATATGTTATATATATTATATATATAAACTAGGCTTGGGCAATGCATGGTTCTAAATGGTTCTAAAGTACTTACAAAACTAAAGTTCTGGTGGTGAAAATTTCAGAACTCTAACAAAACTCTCAAAATTTCATAATAAATGGCAGTTCTTAATTGGTTCTGTCATTAAAATCACCAATAATGAAATAATTACATTCCGCTTAGACTACTGCAACGCTCTCTACGTGGGGTTGCCTTTGAAGACGGCCCGGAAGCTCCAATTGGTCCAACGTGCGGCAGCCATGATTTTAACAGGGGCGGAGCGCAGGGAGCATACAACCCCCCTGCTGTACCAGCTCCACTGGCTGCCGATCTGCTACCGGGCTCAATTCAAGGTGCTGGCATTGGCCTATAAAGCCCTAAACGGTTCCGGCCCAAGATACCTAACTGACCGCCTCTCAGCCTATGAGCCCACGAGGACTTTGAGATCTTCCGGGGAGGCCCTGCTCTCAATCCCGCCTGCGTCACAGGCACGGCTGGCGGGGACAAGAGATAGGGCCTTCTCGGTGGTGGCGCCTCGGCTGTGGAACACCCTTCCTGTGGACATCATGTGGCTAGCTCCCTCCCTGATGATATTCCACAGGAAGTTAAAGACCTGGCTATTTAAGAAGGCATTTGACCAAGAAGTGCAATGACTGGTAATTTGACCATAGGAATGGAACAATGAAAATGATATCGGATTGTGGGTTGACGATGAGATGATTCGGAATGTAGTAGAAATTTTATAGTAATGTTGATGTTTTGATAAGATGTTTTTCTGATAATGATGAATTGTGGATTATTTTGCACTATGTTTTGTAATTTGCACTTGTTTTTTTCATGTTATACACCGCAATGAGTCGCCCTTAAAGGGCTGAGAATTGCGGTATATAAGCGCAGTCAATAAATAAATAAACAATAATTAAATTTTGAAAGTTTTGTTAGAGTTCTGAAATTTTCACCACCAGAACTTTTGTTTTGTAAGTACTTTAGAACCATTTAGAACCATGGATTGCCCAAGCCTAATAAATACTTGTATTATATTTTAATTATATATCACACACACACACACATATATATATAAGACCATATCTATATCTATATCAGTATAAATATAAAACTTTATGTTATATAGTTTATATATATATATATATCTACTATATTTTAATTATATATCACATATAATACATATATATTATAAAAGAATATATATAATTTTATGTTTTATGTTATATAGATTATATCTATAAATATTTCTATTATATTTTAATTATATATCACAACGTGTTCTATATGACCATATATATACATGAAAGACCATATATATATATATATATATATATATATATAAACTTTGTATTAAATAAAGTTATATATATATATAACTTTATATTACATGAAAGACCATATAAAACTTTATATTATATGTTATATAGATTTTATATATAAGGTTTTGTATTATATTTTAATTACATATCACATATTATATATAAATGTGAAAGACCATATATATATATATATATATACTTTTATGATGTTATATGTTAGATTATATATATATTATATTTCTATTATATTGTAATTATATATCACATATATATAAAAGACCATATATGTATAACTTTATAAAGTTATATAGATTATACCTATAAATATTTCTACTATATTTAATTATATATTACTATATATATATATATATATAGTGATATATAATTAAAATATAGAAATATTTATAGATATAATCTATATAACTTTATAAAGTTATACATATATGCGATATATATATAGTGATATATACCATATATATACTGGACCAGGACGTAGAGTGGGTCATGGGGGCTCTGTATGCCAAGTTTGGTCTTGATCAGTCATTAGATGAAAGTCACAGTGGTCTCAGGAAGTGAGTGAAGGCACTGCAAGTCCCATAATCCATGGTCTGTCCTCCTCCAAACTGGACCAGGATGTAGAGTGGGTGATGGGAGCTCTGTGTGTCAAGTTTGGTCTTGATCGGTTATTAGATGAGGGTTGCAGCAGTCTTGGGAAGTGAGTGGAGGTACTTGAAGTCCCATCCACCATCGTCCAAACAGCACCAGGATTTAGCTCATGGGGGCTCTGTGTGCCAAGTTTAGTCTTGATCGCTCATTGTTGTTGTTGTGTGCTTTCTAGTCATTTCAGACTTAGGTTGACCCTGAGAGAGAGTTGGGTGAATGACTTTGGCGGGCCGTATCCGACCCTCGGGCCATAGTTAAGGATTCATGCTCGATAGTGTGTGCCCGGGCTTTCCCGCTATCCCAGCAAAGCCCCACCCACTCCCTGGCTGCACAGATGCCGAGACCCCTAATTGGCTGCGGGGAAACGGAGGGGCGGGGCTTCTATATGTTGTGACATCACTGTACATCAGCAAACTAGAACCTTAGTTCTCCCTTCCCACAATCAATTGAAGCATGATCACTCAGAACAGCAACCATGAAGAGAGATGGAGATGGCATAGTATCCCTGATTGCGAAATGCTTGGTTTTATAATACAAGGTAAAGATTTTCCCCTTGACATTAAGTCCAGTTGTGTCCGACTCTGGAGGTTGGTGCTCATCTCAATTTCTAAGCATTGTCCGTAGACGCCTCCAAAGTCATGTGGCCAGCATGACTGCATGGAGCGCCATTACCTTCCCACAGAAACCGTACCTATTGATCTAGTCACACTTGCATGTTTTCAATCAGCTATGCTGGCTGAAGCTGGGGCTAACACCGGGAGCTCACCCCGCTCCCTGGATTCGAATCTCCAAGCTTTTGGCTGCACCACTAGGGGGATATTTTATAATATAGAGAGACGGGGCTGCGGTGGTGCAGCGGGGTAAACCACTGAGTTGCAGAACTCACTGTTTGGAAGTTGGCGGTTCGAATCCGGGGAGCGGGGTGAGCTCCCGCAGTTAGCCCCAGCTTCTGCCAACCTAGCAGTTCGAAAACATGCAAATTCGCTCTATGTTTTGTGATGTTACCTGGAAACCGCTCTGAGTCCCCTTGGGAGATGGAGCAGTATATCAATAAAGTATTATTATTATTAGGTTCTTGTGGGTTTTTTCGGGCTATATGGCCATGTTCTAGAGGCATTTTCTCCTGACGTTTCGCCTGCATCTATGGCAAGCATGATGCTTGCCATAGATGCAGGTGAAACGTCAGGAGAAAATGCCTCTAGAACATGGCCATATAGCCCGAAAAAACCCACAAGAACCTATTGATTCCAGCCATGAAAGCTTTCGACAATATATTATTATTATTATTATTATTATTATTATTATTATTATTATTGTGGGTGGTCTTGGAATGGAACACTTTAATTGATTATTTGGGAACATTTATTGCAACTAATATACATCAGTCGTGTTTTTGTCGTGTTTTTATTTCTCTTTTCTTCATTTCAGTGCACAAATCTTTGCAAGGCAGAACTTAATTGATATCTCTACAGAATATTCCCACAATTCCAGTCTCTTGGATAGCTACTTGGCACACGTACATTGCTTCGGTAAGTAACAAAAAGTTCTTTAAGAGCATTGAATTCAAAAATATCAAAACAGTGATTGCTGTCAAAATCCCAGCTATTATTATTAATCAAAACCCATCATTCAAATTGAGGGGAGGGGAGGAGAGAAAAGAAAATATTTCCATGCCAATCCAAGCTGCGAAGACCAACAAGTCCTATTGTATGACGGCCTTGAGTATTCCCCGCATGACTTTGTAACTCATCAGCTGCTGGTTTTCTTTTGGAGGGAAGCAAGGCCCACGTTCAGTGACGTAAGCGTAAGGAAATCGGAGGACCCACAATCCATCAGGCGGAAGAGTGATTTCTTGTTTTTCAGGATAGAAAACAGGGCAAGGAGGTGGCCCTGGTTGGACCTAAAAGGGGAAGAAAAGAACATCAGAACATTAATTGGAACATCCTCACTACCTCTGAGGATGCTTGTCATAGATGCAGGCGAAACGTCAGGAGAGAATGCCTCTAGAACATGGTCATATTTATTTATTTATTTTATTTATATACCGCTTTTCTCAGCCCTCAGGCGACTCAAAGCGGTGAACAACATCGATACAAAACATCACGAGACAAGTGTAGGGCAATTAAAAATAATTGTAACATATTTATTTATTTCGGTTACTTCTACCCCGCCCTTCTCACCCCGGAGGGGACTCAGGGCGGCTTACAAAGGCACAATTCGATGCCGGCATCACATAACAGTAGTAAAACAATATAGCAGCAATTAACAGTTAAACAACAGTTCCTGCATTACAACAATAAAACCAATACAAATCCATTACTCCTCATTAGCGGTCAGCGTTCGCCATCTCATAGTCTAATTTCCAATTCCACTTTGTCAGTCCTAGTCGTCTGATTGTCCTTATCTAGTTGTCAGATTGCCCTAAGGCCTGGTCCCACAACCATGTCTTTACTTTCCTTCTGAAGGAGAGGAGGGATGTTGATGACCTAATTTCCCCCGGGAGTGAGTTCCACAGGTGAGGGGCCAACACTGAGAAGGCCCTGCTCCTCGTCCCCACCAACCTCACTTGTGATAGCGGTGGGGTCGAGAGCAGGGTCTCCCCAGAAGATCTCAAACTCCGGGGTGGGACGTAGAGGGAGATACGTTCGGAAGGATACACTGGACCGGAACCGTATAGGGTCTTGTAGGTCAAAACCAGCACCTTGAATTGTGCTCAGAACTGAACCAGCAGCCAGTGGAGCTGACACAGCAGGGGGGTGGTTATTTATTTGTCGTGTCAGAGCAGCCAGTCCATTATATTACATTTCTAACAGAACAAAGCAAACAAACAGACAAAATACACAACTTGTGAGTTTGATAGCTGGTTAAATGTCCTTTGACCAGTATCTGGCCACTTGGAGTGCCTCCGGTGTTGCTGCAAGAAGGTCCTCCATGGTGCATGTGGCAGGGCTCAGGTTGCATTGCAGCAGGTGGTCAGTGGTTTGCTCCTCTCCACACTTGCATGTTGAGGATTCTACTTTGTAGCCCCATTTCTGAAGGTTGGCTCTGCATCTTGTGGTGCCAGAGCACAGTCTGTTCAATGCCTTCCAAGTCGCCCAGTCCTCTGTGTGCCCAGGAGGGAGTCTCTCATTGGTTGAAGTGCTGGGTTTGAACCTGCCACTTTTGGACTCTCGCTTGCTGAGGTGTTCCAGCGAGTGTCTCTGTAGATCTTAGAAAACTATGTCTAGATTTAAGTTGTTGACGTGCTGGCTGATACCCAAACAGGGGATGAGCTGGAGATGTCTCTGCCTTGGTCCTTTCACTATTGGCTGCTACTTCCCGGCGGATGTCAGGTGGTGCAATACTGGCTAAGCAGTATAATTTCTCCAGTGGTGTAGGGCGCAGACATATATTACGCTATATTACGCTCCGGTGAGCAATCTGGCTGCCGCTCGCTGGACCAGTTGAAGTTTCCGAACAGTCTTCAAGGGCAACCCCACGTAGAGTGTGTTGCAGTAGTCTATTCAGGATGTAACAAGAGCGTGGACCACTGTGGCCAGATCAGACTTCCCAAGGTACGGGCGCAACTGGTGCACATAGATCATTAAACATCAATATAACAATCATTAGCGCCTCAACAGTAAAATCATATAGCCCGGAAAACCCTACAACAAGCCATCAGAACATTAATTGCTCCAAAAGGCCAGCTTTATAGGACAACTGAGATGAAGAGTAGGGGGAGGTAGTGTAAATAAGACATCTGTTTTGTGAGGGGAATTGAAACTGCAGTGAACAGACTGTGGGCACAGTATTTGTATTGGGTTGTATTGGAGTTGGGGCTGATATAGACTGAAGGTTTGAACAGGAAGACTTTAGAACTGTCTTTTTAGGATTGTGGAAAGCAGGAACAAACCGCTTGTCTCCAGCGTTTGATTGTTTTAAGCTTGATTTTATTTATTTATTTATGTATTTATTGTATTTGTATACCGCCCTTCTCAGCCCTCAAGTTTGTTCCCTCTTTCCGCAATCCTAAAAAGATAGTTCTAATGTCTTCCCTGCTCAACCCTCCTGTCTATATCAGCCCCAACTCCAAGATCTTCCAGAGTCTGACGCAACTCTTCTCCCAACTTTCAAAAGTAACGTATAGGCATCAGTTAACAAAGCACAAAGTAGCTGCACGCAATTACATACTGTGGAAACTTACTGGCAGCACATGGGGTGAAGACCCAAAAAGGTGACTCAGAGTGGCTTACAAGATATATTTTCATACAATACTAGCTGTGCCCTGCCACGCGTTGCTGTGGCCTATAGTAAAACTTATCAAAGTTGAGGTAGATATCTGGACTATTATGAAAGAGAGGTCCCTACCTATTCCTTCCCCCTTTTCCTCCCCCTTTCTCTCCTTTCTTCCTTCTCTACCTCTTTCTTTCTTTCACTACTTGGTTTCATCCTTCTCTCTTTCCTTCATTCCCTCCCCCTTTCTTCCTTTGCCTTTCTTCCCTCCCTGTTTGCTTCCTTCTTTCACTTTTTATTTCCTTTTATTTCACCACCATCATAACAATAACAATAATGCAATGCATTGCCTCTGGGACCTGACACCTCTCCCATTCCCCCTAAAAGGGTCTCATAGGAACAATAGCATAATAATAATAATAGAAATAACAACCTTTACCCGCCACGCGTTGCTGTGGCCAATCTTCCCTCTTTCTCTCCTTCTTTCTCTTTCTCTATTTCTTTCCTTCCTTCCCCCTTTTTCTTTCTTTTCTGCTGTCTCTCTTTTCTTTCCTTCCCTCTTTCCTTTTCTTCTTTCTCTAACTTTCCTTCCTTCCCCCTTTTTCTTTACCTCCCTTTCTCTTTCTTCCTTCTTTCCTTCCTTCCTGTCTTTCCTAGATTTTGACAGGGCGGGAAGGGGCGGGGTGGGGTTTGGAGGTGGCGTGAAGTAAAAGAAGGTAAGATTGGGGCAGGGGAGTGATGGAGCGTGGGTTGCGTGTGTGTGTGCGGCAGCGAGGGGAGTCATGGAGCGTGGGGTTGCGTGTGTGTGTGTGCGGCGGCGGGGGGAGTGGGGTTGCGTGTGTGTGCGGCGGTGGGGGGAGTGATGGAGCATGGGGTTGCGTGTGTGTGTGTGGCGGCGGGGGGAGTGGGGTTGCGTGTGTGTGTGCGGCGGCGGGGGAGTGATGGAGCGTGGGGTTGTGTGTGTGTGTGCGGCAGGGGGGGTGTGTGTGTGGGAAGCGGCGCGGCGGGGCTTGGAGTGGGCATGGCTTCCGCAGAGGGAACGTTGGCCGGAAGGCCGTGTGCGCGCGCCAGGGAACTTGCGGCTGGGCGCCAATGTGCATGCTCAGTTGTTTTGCCGTTTTGTGAGTGTGTTGTTGTTTTGTTTTTCATTTTGAGTAGATACGTTTGTACCTTGTGGGTTGTGTTATGGGCACGGGGATTTTAGTTAAGTTTCGTTGGGGGATTTTTGAGTTTTGTTGTTTTGCCGTTTTGTGAGTGTGTTGTTGTGTTGTTTTTCATTTTGAGTAGATATGTTTGTACCTTGTGGGTTGTGTTATGGGCACGGGGATTTTAGTTAAGTTTCGTTGGGGATTTTTGAGTTTTGTTGTTTTGCCGTTTTGTGAGTGTGTTGTTGTGTTGTTTTTCATTTTGAGTAGATATGTTTGTACCTTGTGGGTTGTGTTATGGGCATGGGAATTTTGTTAAGTTTCGTTGGGGGATTTTTGAGTTTTGTTGTTTTGCCGTTTTGTGAGTGTGTTGTTGTGTTGTTTTTCATTTTGAGTAGATATGTTTGTACCTTGTGGGTTGTGTTATGGGCATGGGAATTTTGGTTAAGTTTCGTTGGGGGATTTTTGAGTTTTGTTTCCTCGTTGGATGCCCCTAACGAATTTATATATATAGATATGTTATTATTAGCATAGCACAATATCAGTATCATATATTACTATATTGCACTATACCATTATTTATTTCAGGTACTTTTACCTCGCCCTTCTCTACCCCCGAAGGAGGACTCAGGGCGGCTTACAGAAAAGGCACAATTTGATGCCTATACACATTACACATAATATACAAAACCATAGTTAAAAACAGTTATCACAGTTAACACAATCAACAACCAGTACATAACACATCATATAAAAACTATTGTCGTGATCAGCGTTTCGTCTTTCAGAGTTCCATAGATCTAATCCATTAATCATTTCCTAATCATCATCAAAGTTCTTTCTTTATCTGCCCGCTTGTCCGAATGCCTGGTCCCAAATCCATGTCTTTAGTTTTTTCCTAAAGGAAAGGAGCAATGTTCCAGATCTAATTTCCCCGGGGAGTGAATTCCACAGGTGGGGGGCCACCACCGAGAAGGCCCTGCTCCTCGTCCCTGCCAATCTCACTTGTGATAGAGGCAGGGTCAAGAGCAGGGCCTCCCCAGAAGATCTTAGACTCCGGGGTGGGACGTAGAGGGAGATCCGTTCGGACAGATACACTGGGCTGGAACCGTATAGGGTTTTGTAGGTCAAAACCAGCACCTTGAATTGTGCTCGGAATTGGATCGGCAGCCAGTGGAGCTGACACAACAGGGGGGTGGTATGCTCCCTGTATGACTCCGGTGAGCAGTCTGGCTGCCTCCCGCTGGACTAGTTGTAGTTTCCAAGCAGTCTTCAAAGGCAACCCCACGTAGAGTGCGTTACAGTAGTCTAATCGGGATGTAACAAGAGCATAGACCACCGTGGCCAGAGTTATATTGTAGTATTATTCGTAATACTGTATTACATGTAATATAAAAAATTGTATTATTGTTACTAGTATTATGTTGTATTACATTATATTATTATAAATATTATATGTATATACAATCTATATATATAAAATGCTCTGTGCATAATGAGTACCTTAAAAACAAAAGAACCAATGAATGAAATCACACCAAATTTGGCAACAAAACGTCTCACAACACAAGGAGTGACCATCACTCAAAAATTATGATTTTGTCATTTGGGAGTTGTAGTTGCTGGGATTTATAGTTCACCTACAATCAAAGAGCATTCTGAACTCCATCAACAATGGAATTGAACCAAACTTGGCACACAGGACTCCCATGACCAACAGAAAATACTGGAAGGTTTTGGTGGGCATTGACCTTGAGTTTTGGAGTTGTAGTTCACCTACATCTAGAGAGCACTGTGGACTCAAACAATGATGGATCTGGACCAAACTTGGCACAAATACTCAATATGCCAAAATATAAACACAGATGGAGTTTGGGGGAAATAGACCTTGACATTTGGGAGTTGTAGTCACTGGGATTTATAGTTCACCTACAATCAAAGAGCATTCCAAACCCCACCAACGATGGAATTGGGCCAAATATCCCACACAGAAACCCCATGACCAACAGAAAATACTGTTTTCTGGTGGTCTTTGGTGACCCTTCTGACATCCCCTTGGTGACCCCCCCCCCCCAGGGTCTTGACTTCCCAGGTTGAGAAATGCTGCCTTAAGGCCATCCAGTCCAACTCCCTTCACCAGGGCAAGAAAACATAATCAAAGCCCTCCTGACAAAGGGCCGTCCAGCCATTCACACACACACACATATGTATATGACAGATGCAGTATCCTAGATTTGAAAGGGACCCCTAAAGAAGGACAATGATAAGTTGCATGTTCCAGGGTGGGCAAACCAGACAATCTCCACATCAACACTGACAAAGAAACAGCAAGAAATACTGTTTACCCACAAGCATCAAGAAATTACATATATTAGAAACCAACACTTTCTCATTACTTTATTTCCCAGATCACCAGACTGGGCCACAGCAACGCCTGGCAGGGGACCGCTAGTATACTATATTATATTATTAGTAAAGACAAGATGGAACTGTCTTCTGCTCCCCTCTGTCTTCACTCTGGCCAGAGCGGCATTTGGTGCCAGAGGGGAGAGGCTAAAAAACCTACAAAAACCATGAGAATTATTTTCTGGATATTTTTTATATCTCATTCTTACCTGCGGTGTAAGTGTGATCTGGAGCGGAGCATCAGGAACAACCACAAAGAGCCTCATCAGCTGAGCATAGTGTGGCTTCAGCCCTCGTCCAGGATTCGACGACAGGATATACAGCGGCATGTCGGAATTGAGAGCTTTGATGGCGGATTCCTTTGGCCCTCCTCCCATCACCTTCATGATCTTCTCGGGTCCCGAACACATGAACCTCCGGCCACGGGCATCCTCGTACTCAAACCCCACAAAAGCCCGAGCCACGTCGTCCCGCCGCCGCCCCCCTCGTCCCATGACGACCGAGCTCCTTTTCCCTGGGACAGCCTTGTTGGGAGCCGGCCAGGAATTCGTATCCAGGTCCCCTTCCTCTTCAGTCCGCGTCCGGATGACAATGTCCCAAGGCATTAAGTAGTTTGTCCCTAGAATGAAGCCTTGTTGGTCTAGGCCGGAGTGGAAGTTGTAGGCCTTGGCGGGGCCAAGTTTCACCAGGGACCAACTGGAAAACTTGGGCAGAAGGCCCTTGGGGCAGTTGGAGTGAAGCATCCCAGGCAGATACTCGACCGTAGAGGCCTGACGGTCCACCAAGCTCGGTCGCTTCTCCCCTTTGGATTCTGCTGCTTGCCCATGAGCTTCTGTATTGTTCCCTCCTCCTTGTGGGTCAGCAGGATAGGTCCCCAAACTATCTGTGGACTGACCCAAACTGAGAGCTAAGCTCAGACTGGTGCTTTCCCCTTGAGTCTGTGGCTCCTTTTCCTTTAGCTTCTCAGCTTCCCCTTCAGGAGGGCTGGGTGATGCCTCGTTCTTGGCTGGAGCTGGATCCGGCGTGCTTGGCTGGAAGATGGGAAAATTGACGTGGTCCAGTTTCCCACAGCATTTCTCTTCCAAGAGCTAAGAAGAGAAGAGATGGTAGGATTAATGCTTGCAGCATGCAAAGTAAGACGTGTACCAAAGATAATATAATATATACATATAGTATTTATAATATTATAATGTAATACAATATAATACTAGTACAATATTATAATTATACATGGCAAACATTCAGTGCCATAGACATACAACATATGTAGACAGACACAGAGGCAATTTAACATTCTAGTTTCTAGTTTCCTGAGGGTATGCTCGATTCCAGCCACAGGGGGAGCTGTCGCTTCACCGTCCACTTGATGGAGCACGTCCTCATTCTTCTGCACGCTGCTGGAATGTTTTATGGCATCGTAAATTAGTTAAATTAGCCTTCCCGCAGAAAACGGTACCTAAATTCCCTACTTAAATAATATAATAATATTGTTGAAGGCTTTCATGGCTGGAATCACTAAGTTTTTGTGGGTTTTTTCAGGCTATATGGCCATGTTCTAGAGGCATTTCTCCTGACGTTTCGCCTGCATCTATGGCAAGCATCCTCAGAGGTGAGGTCTGTTGGAACTGGGAAAAAGGGTTTATATATCTGTGGAATGACCAGGGTGAGGCAAAGGAGTTTGAAGCCAGCCTGGGTTGGACTGGGTTTCCAACCAATTATATGAGACAAAGGACTTTTGTCAGTTGGGCTAGGTGTGAATATTTCAACTGACCACCTTGATTAGCATACAATGGGCTGACTGTGCCTGGAGCAAACTCTTCTTGAACGGTAATTAGATGTCCCTGCTGTTTCCTTTCTGCTGTTTTTGCTGTTGCAATTTTAGAATTTTTTAATGCTTGGTAGCCGGATCTTGTTCATTTTCATGGTTTCCTCCTTTCTGTTGAAATTTGCTGGAGAAATTACACTGCCTAGCCGGTATCGCACCACCTGACATCCGCCGGGAAGTGGCAGCCAATAGTGAAAGGACCAAGGTAGAGACATCTCCAGCTCATCCCCTGTTTGGGTATCAGCCAGCACAACGACTGAAATCTAGAAATAGTTTTCTAAGATCTACAGAGACACTCGCTGGAACACCTCAGCAAGTGAGAGTCCAAAAGTGGCAGGCTCAAACCCAGAACCTCAACCAATGGCTGATACCAATGCTTGCTGGGCACACAGAGGACTGGGCGACTTGGAAGGCGCTGAACAGACTGCGCTCTGGCACCACGAGATGCAGAACCAACCTTCAGAAATGGGGTTACAAAGTGGAATCCTCGACATGCGAGTGCGGAGAGGAGCAAACCACTGACCATCTGCTGCAATGCAACCTGAGCCCTGCCACGTTCACCATGGAGGACCTCCTTGCGGCAACACCAGAAGCACTCCAAGTGGCCAGATACTGGTCAAAGGACATTTAATCAACTACCAAACCCACACAATTTGTATTTTCTCTGTTTGATTTCTTTGTTCTGTTAGAAATGTAATATAATTGACTGGCTGCCCTGACACGAGAAATAAATAAATAAATAATAAAACCTCCGGCTGAGAAAGTGCAGTAAATAAATAAATATAGTGGGGGGGGGGGGGGAGTATTTAGTCAGATACCAATTATACAAGTTTTCCCACTTAAAAAGATGGGGGAGGCCTGTTATTGACATCCTCAGCTACGAGAGACAACATGAGAAAACACATCCAGAACATCACATTGTCTGATTTTAATCGAATTTATTTTCCAATTATGGTGGAAAATAAGTGTTGCTCAGCAGCTCAGCGCTTTAACCCACTGCGACACCGGTTACCTGGTAGAAATCATAATTTGCTGCTTTGATGTCGAAAGGGTCGTCCCGGGGTGCTTGCTTCCTCCCACAGTTGCAGGCGCCAGTGGAGCGAGCCCGGCTGTTGTGATACAACACTGGAGGGTTCCTATCAGGCTCAGGTTTCTCTCCTGCGAAGAAAGGCAAAACAATGGGAATGGGCTAGGCTTAACTCCTTTGAAAGAAGTGGCTAAGAAGTAAAACAGTCCCATGAACACAAGACCCAAAGAATGTCAAGGTTCCTCTGTTACCCTCCACTTGAAAAATGACTTTCCAGTTCCAAATGAAAGTTTAGCATAGCTGGTTAATCGTCCGCAGCAATAGATCACTGCCGACCAGAAGGTGGCAAGTTCGAAGCCCAGACTGAGCGTCTATATAACAAACTTAAACAGGGGAAATGTGGAGAATGTTTAAGCAAAGAAAGTGAGTTTGAAAATATATTTATGAAAGAACAGATGGGAGCTTTCTTCTCCTTAGATTTCTTTGAAAGCATCCCAATCCCTGCATAGTTCCAATTTCCTATTCCTGGAATGCAACTCCCAGCAATCCTGCAGATTAGATAGAGATAGGTAGGTAGGTAGATCGATCAGGAGGACTGCTGGGAGTTGTAGTCCAAGAATAGGTAGAGAAGGAGGAATGGGGAGAAAGAGAAGGAAGGAAGGAGACAAGGAAAGAAAAAAGGAAGAAAGGAAAGAAAGAGGTAGGGAAGGAAGGAGAGAAAGAAAGGAGGGGAGAAAGAGGGAGGGAAGGAAGGAAGGAAAGAGAGAAGGAAGGAAGGAAGGAAGGAAGGAAGGAAGGAAGGAAGGAAGGAAGGAAGGAAAGAAAGGAGAGAAAGAGGGAAGGAAGGAAAGAGAGAGAGAAAGAAGGAAAGAAAAAGAGAAAGAAAGGAGGAGAGAAAGAGGGAGGGAGGAAAGGAAAGAAGGAAGGAAAGAAGGAAGGAAGGAAGGAAGGAAGGAAGGAAGGAAGGAAGGAAGGAAAGAAAGAAAGGAGAGAAGGAGGAAGGGAAGGAAGGAAGGAAGGAAGGAAGGAAGGAAGGAAGGAAGAGAAAGAGGGAAGGAAGGAAAGAGAAAGAAAGGAGGAGAGAAAGAGGGAAGGAGGGAGAGAAAGAAAGGAGGAGAGAAGGAGGGAAGGAATTAAGAAAGAAAGAAAGAAAGAAAGAAAGAAAGAAAGAAAGAAAGAAAGGAGAAAGGGAAGGGAAGGTAAGGGAAGGGAGGGAGGGAGAGAAAGAGGGGAGGAAGGAAAGAGAGAGAGAAAGAAGGAAGAAAGGAAAGAGAGAAAGAAAGGAGGGAGGGAAGGAAGGAAGGAAGGAAGGAAGGAAGGAAGGAAGGAGAGAAAGAAAGGAGGAGAGAAAGAGGGAGGGAGGGAAGGAAGGAGAGGATGAAGGAAGGAGAGAAAGAAGGAAGGAGAAAAAGAAAGGAGAGAAGGAAGGAAAGAGAGAAGGAAGGAAGAAGAAAGAATGAGAGAGGGAAGGTTGGCTACAGCAACGCATGGCAGATACAGCTAATATAAATATAAAACTGGAAGAGAAGATGTAAATGACTCCCACCTCCACAACATCGATGGATATCCAGAATTTACCTGATTTGGGCAACAAGTGAAACTTATGTACACAGTGTTGATCCGTTAGGCTCCTTTCTTCACACAACTGGTGCCCGTTACTCCAAAACTTGTAGCAATCTTCATGCAGTTGGAGGGCATACTTGTGGAAAGCCGGACCCCGGGCATGTTGGCTGTACACCCGCAAGGCCTGTGCCAGCTGGTTCTTGTGGACCGTCATGGTATAGTTGTGAGGCAGGTTGGATTGGTAGGCGCTGTGGGCCATCGGGAGAGCCTTCTGGCACCGGTTCTCAGAGAACTTGGTGTCAATGTCGAGGTATCCTTCCAAGACTTTGATGCTCCCCATGATCTTGGAAGTCAGCTCCCCAGTGAGAGATGAAGCGTCGCCACTGTCTTTGCCTTCGATGGCCACTTCGTACAGCTTCAGCGCTGTGGCTGCCCACTTCTGGTAGGTGGGCAGCTCAAAGTGGGATGGCTGGGGGTTCCTCCCCACGCTGTCGTCGAAGCCTTTCTTGCCGAGGACGAGCTCCACGTGTTGGAAGAGAAACTCTTTCAAGGTGCAGTCCACCAGCTGTCCGGAGGAGCTGTTGCTGCTGCTGCTGCTCTCGACGTGGAAGGACAGCGGCTGCCTCCCGTGCCTCATCATGTGGTACCTGAATATCAAGCAAAAAGTGGGCGCTAGAAATAATATAATACGAAAGCTGACTGGCACAACCTGGGGATCACAACCAGACACAGTGAAGGCATCTGCCGTTGCACTATGCTATTCTGCTGCTGAGTATGCATGCCCATTGTGGAACACATCTCACCTTGCTAAAACAGTGGATGTGGCTCTTAATGAGACATGCTGCATTATCACAGGGTGTCTGCGCCCTACACCACTGGAAAAGTTACACTGTTTAGCTGGTACTACATCACCTGGTGCCCGCCAGGGAGTAGCAATCAATAGTGAAAGGACCAAGGCAGTGACATCTCCAACTCATCCCATGTTTGGATATCAGCCAGCACGTCAACGACTTAAATCAAGAAATAGTTTTCTAAGATCTACAGAGATACTTGCAGGAACACCTCAGCAAACCAAAATCCAAAAGTGGCAGGCTAAAACCATAACCGATACCAAATGAGAGGCTCCCTCCTGAACACACAGAACACTGGGCAACTTGGAAGGCATTGAACAGACTGTGCTCTGGCACCACGAGATGCAGAGCCAACCTTAAGAAATGGGGCCACAAAGTGGAATCCACGAGTGTGGAGAAGAGCAAACCACAGACCACCTACTGCAATGCAGCCTGAGCCCTGCCACATGCACAATGGACGATCTTCTTGCAGCAACACCAGAGGCACTCCCAAGTGGCCAGCTACTGGTCAAAGGACATTTAATAGAATACCAAGCCTGCAAACTATGTGTTTTGTTTGTTTGTTTCTTTATAATGCAATACAACTGTTTTGGTTTGTTCCTGACACGATAAATAAATAATACAATATTATAATTATATATTTTATATTACATGTAATATTACTAACAATATTACAATATAATGGTATAGTACAATATAGTAATATATAATACTGATATTGTGCTACGCTAATAATGTAATATATTGCATGTATATGTATCTTGTAAGCTGCTCTGTGTTTTGCTTGTTTGTTTGTTTCTTTTGAATGCAATACAACTGTTTTGGTTCGCTCCTGACATGATAAATAATACAATATTATAATTATATATTTTATATTACATGTAATATTACTAATAGGTAAAGGTAAAGGTTTTCCCCTGACATTAAGTCCAATCATGTCTGACTCTGGGGTGTGGTGCTCATCTCCATTTCTAAGCCAAAGATCCGGCGTTGTCCATAGAAATCTCCAAGGTCATGTGGCTGGCATGACTGCATGGAACGCCGTTACCTTCCCACCGGAGCAGTACCTATTGATCTACTCACATTTGCATGTTTTCAAACTGCTAGGTTGGCAGAAGCTAGGGCTGACAGCTGAAGCTCATGCCGCTCCCCGGACTCGAACCTGCGACCTTCGAGTCAACAAGCAGCTCAGCCCTTTAACCCACTGAGGGCTCCATATTATTACTAATAATATTACAATATAATGGTATAGTACAATATAGTGATATATAATACTGATATTGTGCTATGCTAATAATTTAATATATTGTATGTATATATATATCTTGTAAGCCGCTCTGTGTTTTGCTTGTTTGTTTTTAATGCAATACAGCTGTTTTGTTTGCTCCTGACACGATAAATAATACATTATAATTATATATTTTATATTACATGTAATATTACTAATAATATTACAATATAATGGTGTAGTTGTTGTTTTCATTCGTTCAGTCATTTCCGACTCTTCGTGACTTCATGGATCAGTCCATGCCACATCTCCCTGTCGGTGGTCACCACCCCCAGCTCCTTCAAGGTCAATCCAGTCACTTCAAGAATACCATCCATCCATCTTGCCCTTGGTCTGCCCCTCTTCCTTTTTCCTTCCATTTTCCCCAGAATAATTGTCTTCTCTATACAATATAATGGTATAGTACAATATAGTAATATATAATACTGATATTCTGCTATGCTAATAATTTAATATATTGTATGTGTATATATAAATTGTAAGCACCAGGATTGTGACGCAGCTGGCTGAGTGTCAGCTGCATTAAGATCACTCTGACCAAAAGGTCATGAGATCGAAGCCAGCCCTGGTTGGAGTGGGTTTCCAACCAATTGTGTAGCCTGTTGTTGACCTTTGCAACCCGAAAGACAGTTGCATCTGTCAAGTAGGAAAATAAGGTACCACCTTAAAGTGTGGGGAGGCTAAATTAACTGATTTATGAGGCCATAAAGAAGACTCCAGCAAAGCATTCCAGCGGGGAAGCATGCGGGGAATGTGGAAGTGCTTCATCAGCGTCGCAGATGGACGATGAAAGCGACAGCTCCCCTGGCGGCCAGAAAAAGTTAAATAGCCTCTGCCTATGTCTGTATATGTTTGCATGTCAAAATTGGCATTGAATGTTTGCCATATATCCGCCCTGAGTCCCCGTGGGGTGAGAAGGGCGGAATATAAAAACTGTAAATAATAAAATAAATAATAAGCTGCTCTGTGTTTTGCTTGTTTGTTTGTATTTAATGCAATCCAACTGTTTTGGTTCGCTCCTGACAAGATTAATAAATACGTGGTACCTCCTGGGACCGGCCGGCGTCAAGGAGGAGGACTCGCTCTCCCGGGTGGTGCAGTTGCTCCTCAGCTGGTCCAGCAACACCGCGATGGGGTCGTCCCCTTCTTGGGCCCCGCCGGCCACGATGTAGACGAAGGCTTGGTTGGCCGGGACAGTGAAGAGGCAGTTGATGCTCTGGTTGGTCAGCACCCGGCTCTTGCGGAAGATGCGGTAGATCTGGTCCTCCAAGGCGTGCTGGAGGCGCCGTTTGGGGGAGTGCTTCTTGGGTGGGGGCTTCTCCGGGTGGCCCCGCGTCTCCGCCGGCGGCTCCACCTTGAGGGCCCCGTTGAGTTGGAAAAGGAAGAGGAGCCGGGGCGGGCAAGGCCGGCAGTTGAGCTTCCAGTCCTTGCCGACGGGGCAGTCCTTGATGGCGGCCTTGAGGGAGGGGAGCACCTTCTGCCGCAGGCCGTCCAGGGCGCGGAAGACGCGGTCGTAGGTGATGTCGAAGGAGCAGGTGGGGTGCACCATGAGGAGGATGTGGCAGACGGAGAAGAGGTAGAGCAGGCTGAGGCAGTGCAGCTTCTCCTGGTGCTTCCAGAAGTCGTGGGCCTCGGCGTGGGGCAGCGGGTGGGCCCCCCGAGCCTCCGCCATGGCCTCCAGGTCCTTGCAGGCGCGGAGGAGCTGGTGGCTGTCGCAGATGGAAGTCAGCACCACGTAGAGCACCTTGCAGTCCTGGCTGTAGTAGGCCTGGAGGAGGTTGTAGTCGCCCTGCGAGGAGGAAGAGGAAGTAGAGAAGGAAGAAGAGGAGGAAGAAGAGGAAGAGGAGGAGGAGGAAGGGGGCCCTGGCTCTGCCCCAGCCTCCCCCCCAAGGCCTGTCCCTTGCGGGGGAGGCTGGGCCTGGCTCTCCCTCTGGAAGAGCGGGAAGATCTGCTTGTCACACACGGTGTTGACCAGAGCGGCCTTCTCGGAGCTGAGCTGCAAGGCGGTCTTGCCGAAGACGCCCACCACGCACACCTCCTCCTCGTCCCTGGCGGCGGGGCTCGCCGGGGCCACTCCACCCGGGGCCACTTCACCCGCGCTGGAGGAGGAGGAGGCCGCCCCGCCTTTGCCGCCCAGCAGCAGCTCGTGCAAGGCCACGGGGCCCCGCGCCGGCCCGGCCCCCACCATCCTCCCGCTCGCCTTGGAAGGCCAGAAATGTGGTGCGCATGCGCGGAGTGTAGAGTTTAAGAGCCGCAGCAGCAACAGCCAATCCTCTTTCGACTTTGGAAAAGCTCTCACATGACTTCCGTAAACATAGAACAAGGAAAAGTAGCCTCCTTATCACTTGAATGAGAGAATATGTGCTGCGCATGCGTGGAGTGAAGAGTTTTAGAGCCGCAGCAGCAGCAGCCAATCCGCTTTCGCCTTTGGAAAACCCCTCATGTGACTTCCGTAATCACAGAGCAAGGAAAAATATCCCCCTCTCGCTTGGAAGAGAGGATATGTGCTGCGCATGCGCGAAAGGAGGCCAGCCGGACCGTGAGTGTAGCCGCAGCAGCAACAGCCAATCCGCTTTCGCCTTTGGAAAAGCTCTCACATGACTTCCGTAAACATAGAGCAAAGAAAAGTATCCTCCCTCTCACTTGGAAGGGAGAATATGGTCTGCGCATGCGCGGAGGGAAAGCTAAAGAGCCGCAGCAACAACAGCCAATCCGCTCTCGCCTTTGGAAAACTTCTCACATGACTTTAGTAATCATAGAGCAAGGAAAAGTATTCCCCCCTCTCCCTTGGAAGGGAGGATATGCTCTGCGCATGCGTAGAGGGAGACCAGCGGTATAGAGAACGAGCCACAGCAGTAACAGCCAATCTGCTTTTGTTTCGCTTGGAAGGGAGAATATGCGCTGCGCATGCGCGGAGGGCGAGCTAGGAGCGGCAGCAGCAACAGCCAATCCGCTTTCGTTTCGCTGGAAGGGAGGATATGCGCTGCGCATGCGCGGAGGGAAAGCTAAAGCGCCGTAGCAGCAACAGCCAACGCTAGGACGGGAGTATATGCACTGCGCATGCGCGGAGGGAAAGCTAAGCGCCGTAGCAGCAACAGCCAACGCTAAGACCGGAGTATATGCACTGCGCATGCGCGGAGGGAAAGCTAAAGAGCCGTAGCAGCAACAGCCAATCCGCTTTCGTTTCGCTTGGACGGGAGTATATGCAATGCGCATGCGCGGAGGGAAAGCTAAATAGCCGTAGCAGCAACAGCCAATCCGCTTTCGTTTCGCTTGGACGGGAGAATATGCGTTGCGCATGCGCGGAGGGAGAGCTAAGGAGCCGCAGCAGCATCAGCCAATCCGCTTTCGCTGAGGGGGAAACCTCTCACGTGACTCCCGTAAGCGTAGAGCAAGGAAAAGTATCCTGCCTTTCGCTTGAAAGGGACGATATGCGCTGCGCATGCGCAGAGACAGACTGAGTTAAACGCATTAGCAACAGCAAATCCACTTCCGCAGAAGTTTCGCTTTGGAAAGGAGGATATGCGCCGCGCATGCGCGGAGGGAGAGCGAGAGTGACAGAGAAGAGCCGCAGCAGCAACAGCCAATCCTCTTTCGCAGAGATTTCGCTTTGAAAGGGAGGATATGCGCATGCGCAGAGCGAGAGGAATGGCTGTAGCAGCAACAGCCAATCTGCTTTCGCATAGGGAAACCTTTCACATGACTTCCGAAATCGTAGAGCAAGGAAAACACAAGAGAAGGGAACATTGGGTTGTTGTAGGTTTTTTGGGTGTCTGGCCATATTCTAGAAGCATTCTCTCCTGATGTTTCGCCCGCATCTATGGCAAACATCCTCAGAGGCTGTGAGGTCTGTTGGAAACTAGATTTGGGTTTATATATCTGTGGAAGAATGTCCAGGGTGGGAGAAGGAAAGAACTCTTGTCTGTTGGAGCTAGGTATGAATGTTTCAACTGCCCACCTTGCTTAGCATTTGATGGCCTGGCTGTTTCTTGGTGTAGCTTGTTAGTGCCTGGGGGAGTCTTTTGTTGAGAGGTGATTAGCTGTCCCTAATTGTTTCTTGTCTGGAATTCCCCTGTATTTGAGTGTTGTTTTACTGTTATAATTTTAGAGTTAAATACTGCTAGCCAGATTTTCATGGTTTCCTCCTTTCTGTTGAAATTGTCCACATGCTTGAGGATTTCAATGGCTTCTCTGTGTAGTTGTTGGAGTGGTCCAGCAGTTCCGTGTCCTCAAATATTATGCTGTGTCCAGGTTGGTTCATCAGGTGCTCTGCTATGGCTGATTTCTCTGGTTGAAGTAGTCTGCAGTGCCTTTCATGTTCCTTGATTCGTGTCTGCATTTGGCACAAATACCCAATACACCCAAGAATGTGGACAATTTCAACAGAAAATGAACACAATCTGGCTCCTAGTATTTAAAAAAAAGTCTTAAAATCAGGACAGTGAATAAACAGTAACATACAGAAAATGGGAAATCCAGACAGTAAACAATCAGGGCCAGCTAACACCTCCTAACAAAGGACTCCTCCAGCCAGGAAGCAGCCAGGCTTTGAAGATGCCAGGCCATTAAATGCTAATCAAAGTCGCCAATGGTAACATTCACACTTGCATTTCATGACCGGAATCACTGGGTTGTTGTAGGTGTTGGTGTTCTAGAAGCATTCTCTCCTGATGTATCACCTGCATCTATGGCAGGCATCCTCAGAGGTTGATGGTTCAAATTCGGGGAGTAGGGTGAGCTTCTGCTGTTAGCCCCAGCTCCTGCCAACCTAGCAGTTTGAAAATATCAATAGGTACTGCTTCTGCAGGAAGGTAACGGTGTTCCATGCAGTCATGCCCATGGCCGCATGACCTTGGAGGCGTCTATGGACAACATCTGCTCTTTGGTTTAGAAATGATGAGCACGAACCCCCAAATTTAATGTCAAGGGGAAACCTTTACCTTTATATACAGAAGCCCTTCCCCTCTCTTCCTTCTCCTTGTAACAACAACCCATTCACACTTGCCTCAAGCAGACGAGTCCTTTCTTCCATCCTGGACATCATTCCACAGATATATAAACCAGCATTAATGTCTGGCTGCTCTTTGCCTGGGGGCATCCTTTGTTGGGATGGTAATCAAGCTGGTCAATATCAACATTCACACCTACCTCCAACAGACAATAGTCCTTTCTCCCACCCTGGACATCATTCCACAGATATATAAACCAGCTCCAATGCCTGGGTTTTCTCTGCCTGGAGGCATCCTTTGTTGGGATGATAATCAAGCTGGCCAATATGGTATATGGTAGACTCCTGCAGAGGTGAGAGGATCCCTTTTGTCCTTTGCTTAACGTTGCATTTGTTGGATTTTCTTAGTGGGTGTGTAGATTATTTGTTCTTTGAGAATAAGTTTATGGTTAAGCTATTGATAAGAAGAAGTAACTATAAGATTTAAGTTACCCAGTCAGGAGACTGAGAAAGAATTACATTTTAATGTAAAAGGAAGTTACTAAATTAAGTTAGCATAAGATAAGCCATTTTGAATGTTATATAGTAACAGTTTCATGTGTTCATAATAATAAAGATCTATTGTAGCAGTATCTAGGAAGTACTGTGAAGAAAAATACTGTGTAATCATTACGCTTTATGTGCCTGAGAATCCATAAACAAACATTTCTTTGTTACATTTTTATAATAAAGACTCGTGTCAAGTTACTGAAAGTTGGCATAAGATAAGCCATTCTGAATGTTATATAGTAACAGTTTCATGTGTTCATAATAATAAGGATCTATTGCAGTGGTTCTCAACCTGTGGGTCCCCAGGTGTTTTGGCCTACACCTCCCAGAAATCCCAGCCAGTTTACCAGTTGTTAGTTTTTCTGGGAGTTGAAGGTGAAAACAGCTGGGTACCCACAGGTTGAGAACCACTGATCTATTGTAACACTATCTAGGAAGTACTGTGAAGAAAAATACTGTGTAACCAATATGCTTTATGTGCCTGAGAATCCATAAATAAACATTTCTTTGTTCAATTCTTACAATAAAGACTCGTGCCAAGTTACTGAAAGTTGGCATAAGATAAACCATTTTGAATGTTATATAGTAACAGTTTCATGTGTTCATAATAATAAAGATCAATTGTAACAATATCTAGGAAGTACTGTGAAGAAAAATACCGTGTAACCAATATGCTTTATGTGCTTGAGAATCCATAAATAAACATTTCTTTGTTCAATTCTTACAATAAAGACTTGTGCCAAGTTACTGAAAGTTGGCATAAGATAAGCCATTCTGAATGTTATATAGTAAGAGTTTCATGTGTTCATAATAATAAAGATCAATCGTAACAATATCTAGGAAGTACTGTGAAGAAAAATACTGTGTAGCCAATATGCTTTATGTGCTTGAGAATCCATAAATAAACATTTATTTGTTCAGTTCTTACAATAAAGACTCGTGTCAAGTTACTGAAAGTTGGCATAAGATAAGCCATTCTGAATGTTATATAGTAACAGTTCCATGTGTTCATAATAATAAGGATCTATTGCAGTGGTTCTCAACCTGTGGGTCCCCAGGTGTTTTGGCCTACACCTCCCAGAAATCCCAGCCAGTTTACCAGTTGTTAGTTTTTCTGGGAGTTGAAGGTGAAAACAGCTGGGGACTCACAGGTTGAGAACCACTGATCTATTGTAACACTATCTAGGAAGTACTGTGAAGAAAAATACTGTGTAACCAATACGCTTTATGTGCTTGAGAATCCATAAATAAACATTTCTTTGTTCAATTCTTACAATAAAGACTCGTGACAAGTTACTGAAAGTTGGCATAAGATAAACCATTTTGAATGTTATATAGTAACAGTTTCATGTGTTCATAATAATAAAGATCAATTGTAACAATATCTAGGAAGTACTGTGAAGAAAAATACTGTGTAACCAATATGCTTTATGTGCTTGAGAATCCATAAATAAACATTTCTTTGTTCAATTCTTACAATAAAGACTCGTGTCAAGTTACTGAAAGTTGGCATAAGACAAGCCATCCTGAATGTTATATGGTAACAGTTCCATGTGTTCATAATAATAAAGATCTATTGTAACAATATCTAGGAAGTACTGTGAAAAAAATACTGTGTAACCAATAAGCTTTATGTGCCTGAGAATTCATAAATAAACATTTCTTTGTTCAATTCTTCCAATAAAGACTTGTGCCAAGTTACTGAATTGAAGATATTCTACAGGAAGACGGCTGAAGATCATATTGGAGCTGAATACAGTACAATATTGGGTTGCACATTAAAGTAACACATACAAGCATTTTAAAAGTGAAGCATCTCACAAATATATATAAATAATAAGTGCTCAGCCACACCACTCCTCTTCCTCTTTACCTCATTTATCATACCATATTTATTGGTGGCAGGGTCATCCCACAAGCAAATTCACAATCAATCAATCAGCAAAATCAAACTCGTAAATGTGAAGGGCTGGATGTGCAAACATCGTGAACTAGCATCTTTTGAGAGTTGTAGTCCAACAACCTCGAAGAAGAAGGAGAAGAAGAAACTATAAGATTTAAGTTACGTGTTAGGAGACTGAGAAACTTATTTAGGCAATCCCTCATCATCTGAGAAGGATAGTCTTCCAGGATCAGTATACTGGCAGTGGGTCTGTAGGTGACTGTGGAGCCCTATTCTTGATCTGGATCTTCTCCCGCAGTGAGGGCATTGATTTCCAGGTGGAAGGCGGTCTCGGTCGGGGTTGGCTTGACGTGCCTTCCTCTTGGCACGTTTCTCTCTTTCGCCCTCCATTCATGCCTCTTCAAATTCTGCAGCACTGCTGGTCACAGCTGACCTCCAGCTGGAGCGCTCAAGGGCTAGGGCTTCCCAGTTCTCAGTGTCTATGCCAGAATTTTTGAGGTTGGCTTTGAGCCCATCTTTCAATCTCTTTTCCTGTCCTAACATTCCATTTTCCGTTCTTCGGTTCGGAGTAGAGCAACTGCTTTGGGAGACGGTGGTCAGCCATTCTGAATGTAATATAGTAACAGTTTAATGTGTTCATAATAATAAAGATCTATTGTAACAATATCTAGGAAGTACTGTGAAGAAAAATACTGTGTAACCAATATGCTTTATGTGCTTGAGAATCCATAAATAAACATTTCTTGGTTCAATTCTTACAATAAAGACTTGTGCCAAGTTACCGAAAGTTGGCATAAGATAAGCCATTCTGAATGTTATATAGTAACAGTTTAATGTGTTCATAATAATAAAGAACTATTGTAAAAAAATATCTAGGAAGTACTGTGAAGAAAAATGCTGTGTAACCAATATGCTTTATGTGCCTGAGAATCCATAAATAAACATTTCTTTGTTCAATTCTTACAATAAAGACTTGTGTCAAGTTACTGAAAGTTAGCATAGGATAAGCCATTCTGAATGTTATATAGTAACAGTTTCATGTGTTCATAATAATAAAGAACTATTGTAAAAAAATATCTAGGAAGTACTGTGAAGAAAAATGCTGTGTAACCAATATGCTTTATGTGCCTGAGAATCCATAAATAAACATTTCTTTGTTCAATTCTTACAATAAAGACTTGTGTCAAGTTACTGAAAGTTGGAATAAGATAAGCCATTCTGAATGTTATATAGTAAGAGTTTCATGTATTCATAATAATAAAGATCAATCGTAACAATATCTTGGAAGTACTAAGAAGAAAAATACTGTATATCCGATATGCTTTATGTGCCTGAGAATCCATAAACAAACATTTCTTTGTTCAATTCTTACAATAAAGACTTGTGCCAAGTTACTGAAAGTTGGCATAAGATAAGCCATTCTGAATGTTATATAGTAACAGTTTCATGTGTAAATCTATCAGCAAAAATCAAACCCATAAACGTGGAGGGCTGGATGTGCAAGCATTGTGGGCTAGCATCCTCTGGGAGTTGTAGTCCAACAATCTCAAGGCGTGCCAACTTGGCCAAGGCTGCTCTAGAGCAGCAAGAGAAGCAAAGTCTGTTCTTACAAATCTTGCTGGATCGCAACTTCAAACAATCCTCAACAACGCCTATGCTATTTAGGATTGCTGGTAGTCACATTCAGTAATATATGGGATCAGCCACTGTTCAATCCTCCTTGAGAGAGCTTCTAAACTCAAATTCCTTCATGGCCGTGGTTGGACTTCGTATCAGGAGATCTTCTGTTAACTTTGCTCTTCAAAGCTGCCTCTTCGAGGTAACTGAGCTGGAGATGGGCTCTTTGGGTGAGCAAACTATTGAGAAAAAAAGAAGAGTAGCAGATAGCAATAGTTGTTGTAAGTTTCTGACTTACGGCAACTCTATCACAGTGGCTTCTATATCTGAGAGAACTCTGGCTGCTGGTTAGTGTGGACATGTGATTGTATGAGGGTTGAATGAAAACTAATGCCTCCACCTTAATAACTCCTCAACAGATGGCAGTACTGGTATGCGGCAGGTACCGGCTTGTTTAGTGGACTCTCCTCTACAGTTTGGCGAGAAGCGTTAGCATTGAATAGTTGTGTTGTTAAAGTGCGAAGTATGGAACCCTGTGCAATGTGACTTAAACAGCGTGCAGTCATTGAATTATTGACAGCAAAATGTGTCGCCCCAAAGGAGAGTCATCAGAGAATGCAAGCTGTTTATGGTGATTGTGTTGAGGTGAGTACTGTGCGTCGTTGGGCAAGTAAGTTTAAAGCATACTGATAACAAAATGGAGTCTCGAGTCTAAACATGCTCACTACAAGGGTTGAAGAAGTTGGGAACATCTGACTTGCGTGACAAACAAAGAGTTGGACGTCCTGTGACAGCAACCACCGAGTTTCACAAGCAAAAGATTGACAGATTGATTCAGGACGATCGTTGTATCACTCAGAGAGAAATTTCAAGCATAATCGGCATTTCACAAGAATGTGTGGGTCACATTATTGCTTTGCTTGGCTATCGGAAGATCTGTGCACAATGGGTTACGGAAACAGAGTGTCGACTTCTTTGGTGACGGCTTCAAAAAATTATTTATTGTTGGCAGAAATGTATCCAATTAGGTTGTTTTTTCGGGCTATATGGCCATGGTCTAGAGGCATTCTCTCCTGACGTTTCGCCTGCATCTATGGCAAGCATCCTCAGAGTTCTTTCTTTCTCCCACCCTGGACATCCTTTCACAGATATATAAACCTCTCAACAAAAGATTCCCCCAGGCTCAGCCAGGCCATCAAATGCTAATGAAGGTGGTCAGTTGAAACATTCACACCTAGCTCCAGCAGAGAAGAGCTCTTTGCCCCACCCCAGTCATTCAACAGATATATAAACCCATATTCCTAATTCCAACAGACCTCACAACCTCTGAGGATGTTTGCCATAGATGCAGGCGAAATGTCAGGAGAGAATGCCTCTAGACCATGGCCATATAGTCCGAAAAAACCTACAACAACCCAGTGATTCCGGCCATGAAAGTCTTCGACAATACAATATATTCAATTGTCCAGTGATTTTTTGGAAAAGTGAATAGTGGTAATTAAAGAGCACATTCTAAGGATTATTTCTGTTTTTATTAAAATATTCCCATCCAAACCCAAGTAACGAAGGTGGAGGCATTACTTTTCATTCAACCCTTGTACTGAGCATGTTTAGACCCAAGACTCCATTTTGTTATCAGTATGCTTTTGGAATTCAATGGGAGAAGATGTTTTTGGACACATGAAGGAATAGTTTACTATATGTTTGCTTTGAGAAGCAGCGAGTCCAATTATACAGTTTGGACTTTCATTAGATGTATACGGTACTTAAAGACTTTAGACTATGGACTATTGATTAAGAATGATGCCCTTCTATAGGTAAAGGTTTTCCCCTGACATTAAGTCCAGCCGTGTCCAACTCTGGGGGTTGGTGCTCATCTCCATTTCTAAGCTGAAGAGCCGGCGTTGTTCTTAGACATCATGTGGCCAGCATGACTGCATGGAGTGCTGTTACCTTCCCGCCGGAGTGGTACCTATTGATCTACTCAGATTTGCATGTTTTCGAACTGCTAGGTTAGCAGAAGCTGGGGCTAACAGAGGAAGCTCACTCCGCTCTCTGGATTTGAACCTGCAACAAGTTCAGCAGCTCAGTGGTTTAACCCACTGCGGCACCGGGGACTCCCTCATCCTACTTTTAACTGTACTTTAATAAGAAATGTGCCTATATGGTGAATTAATACAAGATGCTTGTGAGTAAACAAGATATATTTCAAAGAAGACTTAGCATTTTTTGTCTCTGATTGCATATTTTAAACTAAGAGGTTTCAAAGGAGGGCAACTTCAATTTCAAAGAAACATTTGAAAACTCTGCTAGTCAAATATATTTTTATGTAGTGGCGTGTCTTTGTCCCTGACAGTTCAAAGACATGGTTTATCAGTTTAACAGCTGAGTTACCTGTGTGCCATTACATAAATGCTTGTTCAAAGGGTTGACTTCTAACAACGTTATGTCTTTCCTTGACTAGTGTTTTCAAAAGGTGGTCTCCAGATGTTCATGGAGATTCACATTTGCCAAAAGGATATGACATCATATTTCCTTTTTAAAAAGGTTATGATTGCCATTTTTTTTTCCAAAATGGAAAGGTCTCAGAGTCAGGGATTTGGTACAATTGCACTGCAACTTTAAAGTCTATCAGCATCTATAGATGGGAGAGACTTATTTTGCATAGAATTATGGAAAATATAGACCCCTGTCTGATTCCACAGCAAGCTGGCTTCAGGAAAGGCAAAAGCTGCACATCGCAAGTGCTGAACCTGACTAAGCACATAGAAGATGGCTTTGAAAGGCAGCAGATCACAGGAGCTGTCTTCATAGACCTGTCAGCAGCCTATGAGACTGTGAACCACCGCCTCCTCCTGAGAAAAATGTATAATATCACAAAGGACGACCACCTCACCCGCCTCATAGGAAACCTGCTACAAAACAGGAGCTTCTTTGTTGAGTTCCAGGGCCAGAGAAGCAGATGGCGGAAACAGAAGAACGGCCTGCCTCAGGGGAGCGTGCTTGCTCCAATCCATGTTCAACATCTACACAAATGACCAGCCACTGCCAGAAAGGACAGAAAGCTTCATCTATGCTGATGATCATGTCATCACCGCTCAAGCAGGGAGCTTTGAGACGGTAGAACAGAAGCTCTCCGAAGCTCTAGGTGCTCTTACTTCCTATTACAGGGAAAACCAGCTGATCCCTAATCCATCTAAAACACAGACATATGCTTTTCACCATAAGAACAGACAAACATCCCGAGCTCTGAGGATCACCTGGGAAGGAATCCCACTGGAGCATTGCAGCGCACCCAAGTACTTGGGAGTCACTCTGGACCGTGCTCTTACCTACAAGAAGCACTGCCTGAACATCAAGCAAAAAGTGGGCGCTAGAAACAATATCTTACGAAAGCTGACTGGCACAACCTGGGGATCACAACCAGACACAGTGAAGACATCTGCCCTTGCGCTATGCTAGTCTGCTGCTGAGTATGCATGCCCAGTGTGGAACACATCTCACCACACTAAAACAGTGGATGTGGCTCTTAATGAGACATGCCGCATTATCACGGGGTGTCTGCGCCCTACACCACTGGAGAAATTACACTGTTTAGCCGGTATTGCACCACCTGACATCCGCCGGGATGTAGCAGCCGAAAGGACCAAGGCAGAGACATCTCCAGCTCATCCCCTGTTTGGGTATCAGCCAGCACGTCAACGACTTAAATCTAGACATAGTTTTCTAAGATCTGCAGAGACACTCGCTGGAACACCCCAGCAAGCGAGAGTCCAAAAGTGGCAGGCTCAAACCATGGCTGATACCAAATGAGAGACTCCCCACTGGGCACACAGAGGACTGGGCGACTTGGAAGGCGCTGAACAGACTGCGCTCTGGCACCACGAGATGCAGAGCCAACCTTCAGAAATGGGGCCACAAAGTGGAATCCACAACATGCGAGTGCGGAGAAGAGCAAACCACTGACCACCTGCTGCAATGCAACCTGAGCCCTGCCACATGCACAATGGAGGACCTTCTTGCAGCAACACCAGAGGCACTCCAAGTGTCCAGATACTGGTCAAAGGACATGTAATCCACTACCAAGCTTGCAAACTTTGTGTTTTGTCTGTTTGTTTGTTAAAAATGTAATACAAATGTCCGATTGCTCCTGACACGATAAATAAATAAATATAGGCGGGCTTACCTGGAACTTGCGCCGTAGAGCCTGGGTCATGAGTGGGGTCAGTCCCGTACCGGTTTCAGCATTCTCTTTGTTAGTTAAGGGGGTTCCCCCTGGGCTCCTGGAGAAGTAAGAAAGGCAAAGAGTATTTGTAACGGAATAATTAATTATAAGGGAGGTTTTGCCTATGTTTATTACTGTCAATAGAAGGACAAGGGCAGGCGGAAGTGATGCATATGACTGGTTGATGGATTGCCATGGTTGCGAAGCCACTGCAGTAGAAATGTATCCATTTTAGAGTGGCTAGCAGGCAAAAGGGGGCGAAGCTAACTAAAAAGGAAAAGAGGAGACATTTTAAAAATAAGGCAGTCTCTAGCCGGGAGAGCTATAGCAGTGATTCTCAACCTTCCTAATACCGCGACCCCTTAGTACAGGTCCTCATGTTGTGGTGACCCCCATCCATAACGTTATTTTTGTTGCTACTTCATAACTGTAATTTTGCTACTGTTATGAATCATCATGTAAATATCTGACATGCAGGATGTATTTTCAGTCACTGGACCAAATTTGGCACAAATACCCGATAGGCCCAAAATTTGAATACTGGTGAGGTTGGGGGTGATTGATTTTGTCATTTGGTAATGCTGGAGTTGCTGGGATTTATAGTTCACCTAAAATCAAAGAGCCTTCTGAACTCTACCAATGATGGAATTGAATCAAACTTGGCACACAGAATTCCCGTGACAAAGAAAATACTGCAAAGGCCTGGTGGACATTGACCTTGAGTTTTTGGAGTTGTAGTTCACCTACATCCAGAGAACACTGTGGACTCAAGCAATGATGGATCTGGATCAAACTTGGCACAAATACTCAATATGCCCAAATGTGAACACTGGTGGAGTTTGGGGAAAATAGACCTTGCCATTTGGGAGTTGTAATTGTTGGGATTTATAGTTCACCCACAATGAAATAGCATTCTGAACCCCACTGATAGAATTGGACTAAACTTTCCACACAGAACCCCCATGACCAACAGATGGTCTTTGGCGACCCCTCTAACACCCCCTCGCAACCCCCACAGGGGTCCCGACTCCCAGGTTGAGAAACACTGAGCTAGATGGAAGAAGTTCCTAGTCTTCAGCTGTCATATGAAAACAATAAAAGGACCAGTTTGAATTAATTAATCTCTAGTCTGGGAGATAGGGAAAAGGATCCTTGTATAGGATTGTGCCTTCAGTTGGGATGCCGAAGTAATAGAGACTAAACTGAGTCCAAGTCCTCAGTCAGATGAAACTGGGAGACAGAGAATTCTTTGAGAATAAGTTTACAGTTAAACTATTGATGAAAAGAAATGACTATAATATATAAGTAATCCGGTCAGAAGACTGAGAAGGAATTACATTTGAAAGAAAAGGAAGTTACCTAAGCAAGTTGACATAAGCCAAACAGATGTAACAATATCCAAGTGGAACTGAAGTACAGTACTGTGTAACAAATACGCTTTATGTGCCCAAGAATATATAAATAAACATTTCTTTGTTTCATGCTGAGTTTCTGAGAGGTTTATTCTTCTTTCTCCCCTTTACCAGCGTCATTGCCTGCTGCCTACGTATACGTATCCCATATATACTCAAGTATAAGACGACTCAAATATAAGCCGAGGCACCTAATTTTACCACAAAAAACTGGGAAAACGTATTGACTCGAGTATAAGCCGAGGGTGGGAAATGCAGCAGCTACTGATCAATTTCAAAATAAACATAGATACCAATAAAATTATATTAATTTAGGCATCAGTAGGTTAAATGTATTTGAATATTTACATAAAACTGTAATTCAAGACAAGACTGTCCAACTCTGATTAAACCATTATTCTAACCTTCTTCAATGTAAATATGCTTACATATCCTTCCAATAATAATAGAGTCAACTAATAACAATAATAATAATAATAGTGTAAAATAATAAGTGTAATAATAACAATACTGTAAAATAATAAATGTAAAAATAACAAAGTAAAATAATAAATAACCTTGACTCGAGTATAAGCCGGGGGAGACCTTTTCAGCATAAAAAAGGACTGAAAAACTAGGCTTATATTCGAGTATATACAGTAATTTTACTGGTGGCAGAAGGTGGCATATTAAAAAATAAAATATAAAAGAAACAAGTTTCCTGCCAGAAACAGTTTATATATTATATACATAGACGCTTCTTCTCCTCTTCCACACGTATACCATACCACATATGGTATACTCCAAGTGGTGCCTGGAGAAAGGTGCCCAAACATCACAAAAACTGGACAACGACATGGGAGACAGAGAGTTCTTTGAGCATAAGTTTCAGTCAGAATATTGATGGAAAGAAGAGACGCAAGTTATACTATTCTGAAAGTTATATAGTATCACTTTGATGTATTCACAAGAGGAAAATACTGATGTAACATTATCCAAGTGGAACTGAAGAAAAGTACTGTGTAACCAATACGCTTAAAGTGCACAAAATTCATTGTTTCAAATAATACATTGAAGTCTCATTCTTCAGACAGAATCCCTCTACTGTTTCCCACTAATGTGCAGAAAGGAGAAAGGGAGTAGTCATTACCTCTTAATAGCAAGCTTTTTGAGGTGTTTTCGAAAGTCTAAAGCACTTTTGCTAGGAGTTCTGGGTGGAGAGAGAGCAAAGATTAAAATTAAAGACAGGATTTAGGAAACATTAAATATCGGTCACCTTTAAGTAGGTAATTGATAAAATAATCTTATTATTTACTAGACATCCCCTGCCACGCATTGCTGTGGCCCAGTCTGTGTATATTGTAATATTACAATATAATGGTATAGTACAATATAGTAATATTTAATCCTGATATTGTACTATGCTAATAATATAATATATTATATGCATATATATCTTATAAGCCGCTCTGAGTCCCCTTCGGGGTGAGAAGGGCGACATATAAATGTTGTAAATAATAAATAAATAAATAACTAAATATATGTGTTTTGTGTGTACATATCTGTATGTATATATTTGTGTATATGTGTGTTTGGGTGTGTATATATATACATATATATATATATATATATATGGGTGTATATATGTGTGTATATATATTTGTGTATTCATGTGTTTATATGTGTATAATTTTATTTATTTATTTATTTATTTATACGCTTGTATACCGCTAATATCTCAGCTTAAGTCAGCGACTCATTGCGGTTTACAACATTTAAAAAACAGTATTCAGTTTAAAAGCATAAAACACATATACAATACAAATTATTGGGCCACCAATAATAATCCCATGCATCTCATAACTGGAATCGCAGTCCAAAATTCATCGTCCATGATTACCAATCCTTTAGTCAACAAAATTCGTTGCAACGGATTAACCGAATGCTTGTTTAAACATCCATGTCTTCAATCTATTCCGAAACACCATCAGCGAGGGGGCTGATCGTACCTCTACGGGGAGGGTGTTCCAAAGCCGAGGGGCCACCACAGAAAAGGCCCTGTCTCTCGTTCCCGCCAGCCGCACGTGTGAAGCCGGCGGGATAGAGAGCAGGGACTCCCCAGAAGACCTTAGGGTCCTGGTGGGCTGATAGGCTGAGATACGTTCGGATAGATAAGTTGGGCCAGAACCGTTTAGGGCTTTAAAGGCCAACGCCAGCACTTTGAATTGAGCCCGGTAGCAGATCGGCAGCCAGTGGAGCTGGTGCAGCAGAGGAGTTGTGTGCTCCCTGCGCCCCGCTCCTGTTAGAATCATGGCTGCCGCCCGTTGGACTAGTTGGAGCTTCCGGGCTGTCTTCAAAGGCAACCCCACGTAGAGAGCGTTGCAGTAGTCAAGACGGGATGTAACCAGAGCGTGGACTACCGTGGCCAAGTCAGACTTCCCAAGGTACGATCGCAGTTGGCGCACAAGTATATAAGCATATTGTATATACATGTGTGCTTGTTTATATGCATACTTGTGTTTTTTATGTGTACGTATGTTTATATGTGTGTGCATATGTATACGTATGTGTGTATATATGTATATTTGTATTGCATGTGTTTATGTGTGTATATGCATATTGTGTATACATGTGTGCTTGTTTATATGCATATTTGTGTGTATATATGTATGTATGTGTATATGTATATTGTGTGCATGTGTTTATATGTGTATATGCATATTGTGTATACGTGTGTGCTTGTTTATATGCATATTTGTGTGTATATATGTGTATATGTATATGTGTGTGCATGTGTATACGTATATGTGTGTATATATGTATGAATATTTGTGTGTGCATGTGTTTATATGTGTATATGCATATTGTGTATACGTGTGTGCTTGTTTATATGCATATTTGTGTGTATATATGTGTATATGTATATGTGTGTGCATGTGTATACGTATATGTGTGTATATATGTATGAATATTTGTGTGTGCATGTGTTTATATGTGTATATGCATATTGTGTATACGTGTGTGCTTGTTTATATGCATATTTGTGTGTATATATGTATGTGTATATGTATATTTGTGTGTGCATGTGTATATGTACAGTATATTCTGGCGTATAAGACTACTTTTTAACCCAAGAAAATCTTCTCAAAAGTCAGGGGTCGTCTTATACGTGGGTGTAGTTTTATGCATGGGAGTCGTCTTAACTCTATATTTTAACTGGAAAAGTTGGGGGTCGTCTTATACGCCCAGTCGTCTTATATGCCGGAATATACGGTATATATGTATGTTTTATGCATGTGCTGTAGTGCCTTTTGGAGTTTTTTGACTTTTTAAGTCTCTTCTGCTGTGTTTTTCAGTTTTTTTATGAATAATGGTCACTTGTTGGCCTAATCGTTGTATTGTGTCCAAATTTGGTGTCAATTCGTCCAGAGGTTTTTGAGTTATGTCAATCCCACAAACTAACATTACATTTTTATTTATATAGATGTGTACATTGCCAATACAGCCAGACATGAGTAGAGGCTGCAAGCCTAACCATTAACACACTATATATATTGATGAAAGGATTCAGTCAATCAAGAACCATCTATTTGTTTGTAGTACATGTTGTTAATTATTTGTTGATTTCAATAAAAAATGAAGCTAGAATTGCTTTGTGGCCCAAGATTAATGTTGACCAAGATCACCCGTAGCAGAAAGATCCTTACATTAAATGATTAGTGACACGAACAAGCGGACGTGGGGCTTTGGATTTCAGGTTCATACTTTGCAAATCGGAGACAGTGACTAGTGCCTTGCGGTGCTCCAATGGCGACCCCTTCTGCAATTTAGAAAGAAAACAAAGTGTTGTTATAGGAGCCCCCAGTGGTGCAGTGGGTTAAACCGCTGAGCTGAACTTTTTGACCGAAAGATCGCAGGTTCGAATCCGGAGAGAGGTGTGAGCTTCCTCTGTTAGCCCCAGCTTCTACCAACCTAGCAGTTCGAAAACATACAAATGTGAGTAGATCAATAGGTACCGCTCCGGCGGGAAGGTAACAGCGCTCCATGCAGTCATGCTGGCCACATGACCTTGGAGGTGTCTAAGCACAACACCAGATCTTTGGCTTAGAAATGGAGATGAGCGCCAATCCCCAGAGTCGGACATGACTGGACTTCGTATCAGGGGAAAACCTTTGCCTTTAACCTCTATTTCAAATGAGGGCACTTCAGACTCAGGAGTCAAATTTGCATGGAATGATTGGACGATGTGATTGAATAATGATTTTAGTAAGGAGACACTGAAGATATATGTTTTTATTGACTTTATATGAATTTATATTCTATATGCTATTAGCCACCTTGATTCGCATTGAATAGCCTTGCAGCTTCAAAGCCTGGCTGCTTCCTGCTTGGGCGAATTCTTTGTTGGGAGGTGTTAGCTGGCCCTGATTGTTTCCTGCCTGGAATGATGTCCAGGGTGGGAGAAAGAACTCTTGTCTGTTGGAGGCAAGTGTGAATGTTGCCATTGAGCAACTTGATTAGCATTGAATGGCCTTGCAGCTTCAAAGCCTGGCTGCTTCCTGCCTGGGGAAATTCTTTGTTGAGAGGTGTTAGCTGGTGCTGATTCTTTCCTGCCTGGAATTCTCCTTTTCTGAGTGTTCCTCTCAATTTACTCTCCTAATTTTTAACAGGCCTCGAATAATATGCTGTGTCCAGGTTGGCTCATCAAGTGCTTTGTTATGGCCGCAACTCGGTGATTCCGGCCATGAAAGCCTTCAACATCAAATTGCAAATATAATTTATTGGTACGATGTTGGAAAAGATACCCCATCATCCAGCAGTCAGCTCAGAATATCAAACACTAATCACACCGTTTCAGAATTACCTTGTCAATCCCAGTGTTGTTTTGTGTTTTCTTTAGTTTTACTTTCAGGAGGTCCTGGAGTGTTATTTGCATGGGGACATCTTTTCTCGACGAGGTTGCCTGCGGCTAAGCGGGACGGGAGAAGTCAACATTTAGTCGTAACGTTCTCCACTTTGTCACGGCACTAATACACGGACCTGCTGTATTCTCACATACATTACCTGTGTCTTGATCCCACCAGTCTTTTTGAAGCAAAGAGGTGCTGGTGGAGGTGGTGGTGGAGGCAGCGGTGGAGGTGGAGGAGGAGGTGGCACCATCAGTTGGGAAGGAAGAGACCCCAGGCCTGGTAAGCCAACTTCTGTCTGTGCAGGAAAAGCCAGCAATGGACTCCCTGAGCCTTGGCAAGCAACCATCTCAGCAGAAGGAGCAGCAACTCCATTCTGGTAAACAGAAGAGAAAAACAGAGGAGGCTGACTGGGTTGCTGTGAGGTTTTCGTGCTGTATGGCCATCTGTCCAAATGCATCTCCTCCTATGAACCAGTTACGACATTAAGATCGTCTGGGGAGGCCCTGCTCTCGGTCCCACCGGCTTCTCAAGCACGCCTGGCGGGGACGAGAGACAGGGCCTTCTCAGTACTGGCCCCCCAGCTGTGGGACGCCCTTCCCACAGACATTAGATCGGCCCCCTCCTTATTGGCATTCAGGAAGAGACTGAAGACCTGGCTCTTCGATCAGGCTTTCAACTAAGCAGCACAATTGATTGATTACTGGAATATGGATTAATGGACAACGAGATCGGATGCTGATTCTATTGATGAGACGTGATGGATTGTTGTTTTCTGTACTGCTGTATTGATGTTGATGTTAATTGATTGATATTACTGTTTTAAATGATTATGATTTTGTACTGTATTGCTGATACTGGTTGTTAACCACTCTGAGTCGCCAAATGGCTGAGAAGAGCGGTATACAAGTAAAGTAAAGTAAAGTAAAGTAAATAAATAAATAAATGTTCCAGAAGCATTCTCTCCTGAGGTTTCACCTCCATCTATGGCAGGCATCCTCAGAGGTTGTGTGGGTTTGTTGGAAACTAAGCAAGTGGGTGAATATATATATATATATATATATATATATATATATATATATATGTAAAGGTAAAGGTTTTCCCCTGACATTAAGTCCAGTCGTGTCCGACCCTGGGGTTTGGTGCTCATCTCCATTTCTAAGCCGAAGAGCCGGCGTTGTCCATAGACACCTCCAAGGTCATGTGGCCAGCATGACTGCATGGAGTGCTGTTACCATCCCACCGGAGCGGTACCAATTGATCTATTCACATTTGCATGTTTTCGAGTTCTTTCTCCCACCGTGGACATTCCACAGATACATAAACCCCACTTGCGTAGTTTCCAACAGACCTCACAACCTCTGAGGATGCCTACCATAGATGGAAGCGAGACGTCAGAAAAGAATGCTTCTGGAACATGGCCATATAGCCCAAAAAACCTACAACAACCCTGATTTCTTTCTCCTACCCTGGACATTCCACAGATATTTACCTTTCCATGATTGATAGATAGATGGATAGATAGACAGACAAACATACACACCCCACTTGTCTAGTTTCCAACAGGCCTCAAAACTTCTGAGGACGCTTGCCACAGATGCAGGCGAAATGTCAGGGAATAATACTTTTGGAACATGGCCAGACAGGCCGGAACATTTACCGCAACCCAGTGATTCTGGCCATTTTTTAAATCGTGTCATCAGCAACCAGACATTTGTATTACATTTTTAGCAAAAACAAACAAACAGACAGACAAAACACAAAGTTTGCAAGCTTGGTAGTTGATTAAATGTCCTTTGACAAGTATCTGGCCACTTGGAGTGCCTCTGGTGTTGCCGCAAGAAGGTCCTCCATTGTGCATGTGGCAGGGCTCAGGTTGCATTGCAGCAGGTGGTCAGTGGTTTGCTCTCTCCACACTCGCATGTCGTGGATTCCACTTTGTAGCCCCATTTCTGAAGGTTGGCTCTGCATCTCGTGGTGCCAGAGCGCAGTCTGTTCAGCGCCTTCCAAGTCGCCCAGTTTTCTGTGTGCCCAGGGGGGAGTCTCTCATTTGGTATCAGCCATTGGATTGAGGTTCTGGGTTTGAGCCTTCCACTTTTGGACTCTCGCTTGCTGAGGTGTTCCAGCGAGTGTCTCTGTAGATCTTAGAAAACTATTTCTTGATTTAAGTCGTTGACGTGCTGGCTGATTCCCAAACAAGGGATGAGCTGGAGATGTCTCTGCCTTGGTCCTTTCACTATTGGCTGCTACTTCCCGGCGGATGTCAGGTGGTGCAATACCGGCTAAGCAGTGTAATTTCTCCAGTGGTGTAGGGCACAGGCACCCTGTGATAATGCGGCATGTCTCATTAAGAGCCACATCCACTGTTTTAGCGTGGTGAGATGTGTTCCACACTGGGCATGCATACTCAGCAGCAGAGTAGCATAGCGCAAGGGCAGATGTCTTCACTGTGTCTGGTTGTGATCCCCAGGTTGTGCCAGTCAGATATTGTTTCTAGCATCCACTTTTTGATTGATGTTCAGGCAGTGCTTCTTGTAGGTCAGAGAACAGTCCAGAGTGACTCCCAGGTATTTGGGTGTGTTGCAATGCTCCAGTGGGATTCCTTCCCAGGTCATCCTCAGAGCTCAGGATGCTTGTCTGTTCTTAAGGTGAAAGGCACATATATGTGTTTTAGATGGATTAGGGATCAGCTGGTTTTCCCTGTAATAGGCAGTAAGAGCACCTAGAGCTTCGGAGAGCTTCTGTTCAACCATCTCGAAGCTCCCTGCTTGGGCGGTGATGGCACGATCATCTGCATAGATGAAACTCTCTGTCCCTTCTGGCAGTGGCTGGTCATTTGTGTAGATGTTGAACATGGATGGAACAAGCACGCTTTCCTGAGGCAGGGAAGGTTCTTCTGTTTCCGCCATCTGCTTCTCTGGCCCTGGAACTCAACAAAGAAGCTCCTGTTTTGTAGCAGGTTTCCTATGAGGCAGGTAAGACGGTAGTCCTTTGTGATAATATGCATTTTTCTCAGGAGAAGGCGGTGGTTTACGGTATCATAAGTTGCTGACAGGTCTATAAAGACAGCTCCTGTGCCATGGCACACAGAGCTCCCATGACCCACTCTACATCCTGCCATGAAAGCCTTCGACAATACAGAGGAGGATGAGTTCAAAAACTCCAGGAACAGGAAGCTCATCTTCCCAGTGGCACAGTGAGCTGGAGAGCTTGGGAAAGTTACTTTTTTGGACTATGGTTTCTTACAAAATCGTTTGTTCCCTCAATGCCACAAAGTTTGAAGCTTTTCTAGGCTCTGCAGCCACCATGGAAGCCAAGGAGAATAATTGTGGATTGAAAAACAAGGTTGAGAACGATATTCCTTCAGATGTTGTAAAGGGGAACGGACCTGAACCAACGATTGCAGCCTGGAAAATTCCGCTTCCAGCTTTTCTAACCGCTCTCTGAGTGTGCGGAGCTCCTGCCGATATGCAGCTGATGGGAAGACTGAGCTTTTCATGACTTCGAAAATCTGGTTAATAGAAGAGAAGGAAAAGAAGTGATTAATTATTTCCTGTGTTTCTAAATGTGGGGGTCAGGACCCTTGGGGGGTTGCGAGGGGGTTTCAGAGGGGTCACCAATAGAGGCGGCCCTAGGTAATTTTCAACGGTAAGCAAACAGTATTTTGGCGCCCCCCCCCAACCAATCATTGAGATATATTTTCTGTTCGTCGTGGGAGTTCTGTGTGCCATATTTGGTTCAATTCCATCATTGGTGGAGTTCAGAATGCTCTTTGATTGTAGGTGAACTATACATCCCAGTAACTACACTTGCCGCACTTGCTCCCTTGCCTGGCCCGCTTTGGGTCCGGAGGCGTGCCTGAAGACCCCGGTGTGCACCAAAAGTCACCTCTTCTCCTGACTTTCTCCTCAGCCATTGGGACCAAGAGAGAGAGAGAGAGAGAGAGAGAGGTGGAGATGCCCACCTTTTCTGAAGGTAGGCGCAAAAACAAAGGAGGGAGCGGAGGTGGGAGATACCTCCAGCCGGAGGTCTCTCTCTCTCTCTCTCTCTCTCTCTTGGTCCCAATGGCTGAAGAGAAAGTCAGGAGAAGAGGCGACTTTTGGTGCGCACGCTGGGGTCTTCAGACACGCCTCCGGACCCAAGCGGGCCAGGCGTGGTGGCTCCGCCACCTGTGGATTGGGGAGAGGAGAGGAGGAGGGTGGAGCGCCGGGGGATCGGGAAAGGGAGCCGGTCATGGGGAAGGGATCGAACGCGGAGAACGATTGAGCGCCGGCTCTGCTCGCGCACCCGGTGGCCGGGTGGAGCAGGAACAAGAGGGGCTAGGCGAGGCTCAAGGGCCCGGCCCCTTTGGGAAGAGGATCGCCCGGCAGCAAGGCAAGAAAGCCGAGGCTCCCCCCGGACTGCTAGGGCTGTTGTGAGCTGAGGGGGCGCTCCTCAAGTGGCGGTCGAGGGGCATTTACAGAGGCGCCTCTGCGCCCCTGGCAAAAAAAAGTGTTCTGCGACCGCTTACTTCGCGTAATGGACGAGCCGCCCCTGGTTACCAAAGACAACCAGGAAACATATATTTCTGATGGTCTTAGGAACCCCTTTGGCAAAGAAGGCTGACGCTCTCTCCGCCTGTCCTTCTCTTCTTTTTTGGAAACAAGCTAAACCCCATTTTCCTAGCTTCCAAGAAATCTCACAACCTCTGAGGATGCCTGCCATAGATGGCGGCGAAACATCAGGAGAGAATGCTTCTGGAACATGGCCAGACAGCCTAGAAAACTCATAGCAACCTAATCTCGGAATATTGTTTAGAAAGTGAGATATAAGTATACAAGTTTTATATCTCGTATTGAATATCTGCTGTTTTCGTTGGTTGTGAACCGCTGTGAGTTGCCTTCAGGCTGAGAACAGCAGTATATAAGTAAAGTAAATAAATAAATCTATACACATAATAAAAGTGTAAATCTGTATGTGTGTATGTGGCATAGGTGTCTGTTCACACAGACAGCCTTTGGCCTCCACAAATAGGCTATTGAGAAGACAGCAAGTCACTCTGTCGAAGGACATTGCAGGTTATAGCGAGCACATCCCAGTGTTCCTTTCTCTCTTCATTTGCATGACCCCACCCACTGCTTCTCCCTTATCCCTTTCCAACCCTTTCCTATGGCACACAGCAAACAGAGGCATTGATCTGCAACTGATCATACTGGAGACGTTTGGAGAGAAATCACCATGATTTATAGTTGTAGGGACTGGGATGCATAGTTCACCTGCAATCTAAGAGCACTCTGAACTGCACCAACAATAGACCTGGAACTCACTTGGCACACAGACCCACCATGGGCAATTGTCCATACTTGCAGAGTTTAGGGGTGATTACCCTGGGAGTTGTAGTTCACCCTTATCCAAAGAACAGTGAACCCAGCCAACAATGGATCTGGGCCAAACTTGCCACACAGAACCAACATGGCCAATTGTGCATACTGGCTGGGCTTGGGGGTGATTGCCCTGGGGATCTGGGAGTTGTAGTTCACCCTTATCTAGATATCACTGAACCCAGCTGCTGTCAGATCTGGACTAAACTTGACACACAGACCCAACATGGCCAACTTTAAGTAATGGCAGGGTTTGGGAAGGACTGACCCACGATTCTGGAAATTGTAGTTCACCCACAACCTTATGCATTTTCTAATGGGACCATTCATTTTTTAAAAACCCAAAAAAGTAAGACTGTTTTCCCCTAAGAAATAGCATTACACATTACCAAACTGATATTACCAAACTTCACAAAACAAACAACGCCTTTCTCAAATAACCCGGGCAGCACCGGGTCCCCAAGCTAGTAATAAATAAATAAGTATTCCATCAACAGTTTACCTGCAAAACCATTTTCCAGCACCACAGACAGCAACCCGAGACCGCGGTCAGCAAAGGTTTCACTGCTCCTGTTAGGCTCAGGAAAGCTGAAGGCCGAGAGCAGCGGGATCCATTCTGAATATGAGTACTTTCTGTAGGCCTGCAGAAAATCAAGAAAAGATTTCCTCAGCACAGAGCTTCTGATTTTACATTGATCCATAAATGAGCGTATCTCAAGCTCTCTTCCGTTAGGGGACTCGCAATTATATTTTTCCCAATGTAACAGGGAGAAGTACCCTATTTGCATCCATGCTTGATCCCAAGCTTGCAGGCGGAAACCATGTCATTTGTGTTACTTGTAAAATGGGCTGGGGGTCATTCTGTGTAAAGTACGGAATGAGGAAACAAGTTGGGGGAGGGAGTGTAAATAAGATTGAAACTGCAGTGAACAGACTGTGAGCACAGTGTTTGGGAGTTGGGGCTGATATAGAAAGGAGGTTTGAGCGAGAAGACTTTAGAACTGTCTTTTTAGGATTGTGGAAAGAAGGAATAAACCACTTGTCTCCAGCGTTTTGATTGTTGTGAGCTTGATTTCATTTATTTACTAGCTTGGGGACCCGGCGCTGCCTGGGTTATTAGAGAAAGTTGAATCCAGACAAGACAGAGGTACTCCTGGTCAGTCGCAAGGCCGAACAGGGTATAGGGTTACAGCCTGTGTTGGATGGGGTCGCACTCCCCCTGAAGACGCAGGTTCGCAGCTTGGGTGTGACCCTGGACTCATCTCTGAGCCTGGAACCCCAGGTTTCGGCGGTGACCAGGGGAGCATTTGCACAGCTAAAGCTTGTGCGCCAGCTGCGCCCGTACCTTGGGAAGTCTGACTTGGCCACGGTAGTCCACGCTCTGGTTACATCCCGTTTAGACTACTGCAACGCTCTCTACGTGGGGTTGCCTTTGAAGACAGCTCGGAAGCTCCAACTAGTCCAACGCTCGGCAGCCATGATTTTAACAGGAGCGGAGCGCAGGGAGCATACAACCCCCCTGTTGCGCCAACTCCACTGGCTACCGATCTGCTACCGGGCTGAATTCAAAGTGCTGGCGTTGGCCTTTAAAGCCCTAAACGGTTCTGGCCCAAGCTACCTATCTGACCGCATCTCTGCCTATGAACCCACCAGGACTTTGAGATCTTCCGGGGAGACCCTGCTCTCGATCCTGCCTGCTTCTCAAGCTCGGCTGGCGGGGACGAGAGATAGGGCCTTCTCGGTGGTGGCTCCTCGGCTGTGGAACGCCCTTCCTACGGACATTAGACTAGCACCATCTCTAATGGTATTCCGCAAAAAGGTGAAGACCTGGCTGTTTGAGCAGACGTTCGAATAATTAGTGCAATGATTGGTTAATGAACACTGGAATGGAACAATGGATGACGAATCTGGAACATGTTTTTGATGACGAGACGACAGTGAATGGGTATTGTAGTAACTGTTTATTAATTGTGTAATGTGTTAGGTTGTTAACTGTTTCTATACTGTAGCACTGAATTTTTGCTGTTCGTATTTGTTGTGAACCGCTGTGAGTCGCCTTCGGGCTGAGAACAGCGGTATATAAGTAAGGTAAATAAATAAATGAATAAAGTGGGTAATGGCGGTTCTGTATGGCAAGTTTGGTCTTTATTGGTCAATGGATGATGGTTGCATTGTTTTTAGGAAGTGAGTGTAGGTACTTGAAGTCCCGTCATCTATGGTCCACCCTCCTTCAAACTGCAGCAGGATGTAGAGTGGGTCATGGGGGCTCTGTGTGCCAAGTTTGGTCTTTATCAGTCATTGGATGAGGGTCGCAGTGGTTTCAGTAAGTGAGTGAAGGTACTACAAGTCCCATCATAGCTGGGGGGCATCACCGAGAAGGCCCTCTCTCTCGTCCTCACCATTCACGCTTGTGACAATGGTGGGATGGAGAGCAGGGCCTCCCTGGAGGATCTTAATCTCCGCAATGGTTCATAGGGGGAGATACATTCGGACAGGTAATTGGGCCGGGGCTCTTTAGGGCTTTAAGGTCAAAGCCAGCACTTTGAATTGTGCCCAGTAGCAGCCAGTGGAGCTGGCGTAACATGGGAGTTGTATGATTCCTGTATACCAACCCCAGTTATTAACCTGGCTGCCTCTCGTTGGACTATTTGAAGCTTCCGAGCAGTCTTCAAAGGCAACCCCACGTAGAGTGTGTTGCAGTAGTCTATCCTAGATGTAACGAGAGTGAGGACTACCGTGGCCAAGTCTGACTTCCCAAGGCAAACTACCACTCCTCTTGGCGTCCCCCCGGCAACAGCAAGGGTATCCCTCTGGGCAGCTCAACCAGGAAATCCCAATTGCATAGCCCCCCCCCAAGGGAGGGTCTTCCACCAAGAATGGGCAACTTGGAAGTCCCTGAACAGACTCAAAAGTGGAGTGGGCAGATCAAGAGACAACCTGGCAGAATGGCACTACCTAAAAGAATCCCACACCTTGTGTGACTGTGGAGCAGAACAGACAACTCAGCATCTGGATGCTTGTCCACTATGCCCTGCCTCATGTACGGAGGAAGAATTGTTGGAGGCTACAGACAATGCCGTTGCTGTTGCCCGCTTTTGGTCAAAAGATATTTAGCCACCTGCGCTCCTTCTATCATTTTTATACTAATTTATGCAATGCTTTTGATATGAAATAAATAAAAAAAGAAACAAGTGAAACAATAGTGGAGCAAACCGATTTTGACCGAAATTGCAGCAAAACAGCGAACAGAATAATTAAGACAAGATCCCAGAGCACTTACTCTGGAGGGAGAGCTTTTAGGCACGGAGGCTGAATGATTCCTTGCCTCCTTTTCCTCCAATATTTCCTCCTGGCTCTCAATTTATGTTGTCGTTGCTTACTTTTGCACATCTTTTTTTTCCCAAGACTCGGTTTACTTTACAGTTGTACTAACGCTGTTCGCTTGAAGTCCTGCTTGGAGAAGAGTGTCATTAATCCTGTTACCATTAATAATCAAAATAGTGATGGTAGTTTAAATGATAACAGCAGTTTAGATGACTGTAGTTCAGTTCTCAAATGACATATTGCACAATTTAGAATCAGGCTAAAGAAAAAAGGGAAAACACACAGAGCAGTTAGACATGATCTCACTAATACTCCAGTGTAGGTGAAGAATAGGGACTAGATTTAATAAATAGAGTACTAGAAGAACTACGAACATTGTTCAGGAGGCGGCAACAAAGTACATCTATATAAATAAAAATGTAATGTTCATTAGTGGGATTAACATAACTCAAAAACATATACACACATATATGGAAACACACATATATATATACATTTGCACACACAAAACACATATACACAGACTGCACCACAGCAACGAATGGCAGGGGACGGCTAGTTGAATTATATATAGAGAATTATACATATAATTCTATATATAATATATAGAATATAATTTTATTTCTCGTGTCAGGAGCAACTTGAGAAACTGCAAGTCGCTTCTGGTGTGAGAGAATTGGCCGTCTGCAAGGACATTGCCCATGGGACGCCCAGATGATTTGATGTTTTTATCATCCTTGTGGGAGGCTTCTCTCATGTCCCTGCATGAGGAGCTGGAGCTGATAGAGGGAGCTCATCCGCCTCTCCCCGGATTTGAACCTGCGACCTGTTGGTCTTCAGTCCTGCCAGTACAGGGGTTTAACCCACTATGCCACCGGGGACTCATATATAGAATGATATATGTATATATCATATATGTATATATCATATGTATATATCATTTGGGACGGTTCCTACCATCCCAAAAAGCGGTGATCAGGCCCCTTCAGCCAAGGTTTTTCAGAGCTATTTTGCAGACAAGATCTCGCTACTTCACCGGGACTTCCCTGCCACAATTGACACAGTGAGAGAACTTGAAACTCGGTGGCCACTTGCTGGGCCTGTCCTCGACTGGTTCATCCCACTGGATGCAAAGGCTGTCAATAGGCTCATGGCTGCAGCTAAACTGACCACTTGCTCCCTCGATCCATGTCCCTCTTGGTTGGTGAAATCCTGCTTGGAGGGATTACGCGACCCTCTGTTGAAGATCATAAACAGCTCCCTTGAGCAAGGAGTTTTTCCAGAGGGTTTAAAAGAGGTGGTGGTCTCTCCCCTGCTGAAGAAACCAGACTTAGATCCTTCGGTTCCCTCCAGTTACCGCCCAGTTTCGAATCTCTCGTTTCTGGGCAAGGTGATTGAGAGGGCAGCAGCGGAGCAGTTGCAGCAATTCCTAGACGACACAGCCGGACTAGATCCCTTCCAGTCCGGCTAGACTGTGCTTGTCTCCATCACAGATCACCTTCGATGCCAGCGTGACCAGGGCGGGTCAGCGCTGCTTGTGTTATTGGATCTCACAGCTGCATTTGACACAGTCGAGCACAATCTTTTGACCCACCGCCTTGCTGTTGCTGGAGTCAGGGGGAGAGCTTGAAACTGGCTGTCCTCCTTTCCTCACAACCGTGGACAGCGAGTGGAGAGGGGAGGCCTGGTCTCTGAGAGGTCCCCTCTATCTTGTGGGGTTCCTCAGGGGGCCATTCTCTCCCCTCTGTTGTTTAACATCTATATGCGACCACTTGCTCAGCTGGTTCGAGGTTTTGGGCTTGAGTGTTACCAGTACGCCGATGACACTCAGCTGGTGCTGAAGATGGAAGGCCGACCGGACTCTGTACCCGATTGTTTCCATCAGTGCCTCGAGGCCGTACTGGATGGCTGCGTGCCAGCAGGTTGAGGGTGAATCCAGCAAAGACGGAGATCCTATGGCTGGGTCGACCGGGCAGTGGGGATATCCAGCTGCCTACCCTGGATGGCGAGGCGCTACGCCCGTCATCATTGGTAAAGAGTCTGGGAGTCCTTTTGGACCCTCTGCTGACGATGGAGGCCCAGGTCTCCGCCGTGAGCAGAACCGCCTTCTTTCACCTGCGGCAGGCTAGACGGCTGGCCCCCTCCCTGTCCAGGGACGACCTAGCTACGGTGATCCAGGCCACAGTCATCTCAAGACTGGACTACTGTAACGCCCTCTACATTGGCCTTCCTCTGTCGGTGATCCGGAAGCTCAAGTTGGTACAAAACACAGCTGCTTGGCTTCTTGCGGGAATTCCGATGAGATGCCACATAACCCCAATCTTACTGCAGCTGCATTGGTTACCAATTGAGCACTGGATCACTTTCAGAGTTATGGTACTCACCTTTAAGGCCTTGCATGGTCTGGTGCCGATGTACCTGAGAGACCGCCTCACCCCCTACCAACCCCAGAGATCCCTCTGCTCTGAGGACCAAGATCTATTGGAAATTCCTGGTGTCAAGACCTTGCGTCTAACAGCAACGAGACGCAGAGCCTTCACAGCAGTGGCACCATCACTCTGGAATACTCTGCCACCTGAAGTCCGTGCCTTGCGGGACTTACCAGCTTTCCGCAGGGCGTGTAAGACATATCTGTTTAGATGGGCTTTTGATCTCTGACATTGTTGTTTTAAATTGTGTTAGATTTTAGCCTGTTCTTGTAAGCCGCTCCGAGCCCCAGCGGAGTGGCGGCATATAAGTTCGAATAATAAATAAATAAATAGAATTCTACATATAATATGATTATATTGAATTGTATATATAATATATATAGAATTATATTTATTATATATATAGAATTATATGTATATATAGAATTCTCTATATAACGATATAGAATTCTCTATATAATATATATCAGATTAATTTATATATAGAATTCTGTATATAATGTATATAGAATTGTATTTATATACAGAATTATATATGTATATATAGAATTCTGTATACAATTAATTCTAGATATAATTCTATTTATATAATACAGAACTGTATATAATATATAGAATATATAGAATACATATAAACTATATAATATATAGAACTATAATATATTTTGTTGTTGTTCATTTGTTCAGTCGTCTCCGACTCTTCGTGACCTCATGGACCAGCCCACGCCAGAGCTCCCTGTCGGCCGTTACCACCCCCAGCTCCCTCAAGGTCAGTCCAGTCACTTCAAGGATGCCATCCATCCATCTTGCCCTTGGTCGGCCCCTCTTCCTTTTGCCTTCCACTTTCCCCAGCATAATTGTCTTCTCTAGGCTTTCCTGTCTCCTCATGATGTGGCCAAAGTACTTCAACTTTGTCTCTAGTCTCCTTCCCTCCAGTGAGCAGTCGGGCTTTATTTCCTGGAGGATGGACTGGTTGGATCTTCTCGCAGTCCAAGGCACTCTCAGCACTTTCCTCCAACACCACAGCTCAAAAGCATCGATCTTCCTTCGCTCAGCCTTCCCTATGGTCCACCTCTCACATCCGTAGGTGACTACGGGGAATACCATTGCTTTAATTACGCGGATCTTGGTTGCCAGTGTGATGTCTCTACTCTTCACTATTTTATCGAGATTGGACATTGCTCTCCTCCCAAGAAGTAAGCGTGTCTTCTGATTTCCTGGCCACAGTCTGCATCTGCAGTAATCTTTGCACCTAGAAATACAAAGTCTGTCACGGACTCCACATTTTCTCCCTCTATTTTCCAGTTGTCAATCATTCTTGTTGCCATAATCTTGGTTTTTTTGATGTTTAGCTGTAACCCAGCTTTTGCGCTTTCTTCTTTCACCTTGATTAGAAGGCTCCTCAGCTCCTCCTCGCTTTCGGCCATCAGAGTGGTGTCATCTGCATATCTGAGGTTGTTAATGTTTCTTCCAGCAATTTTCACCCCAGCTTTGCATTCCTCAAGCCCCGCACATCCTCGCATGATGTGTTCTGCATACAAGTTAAAAAGGTTGGGTGAGAGTATGCAGCCTTGCCGTACGCCTTTCCCAATCTTGAACCAGTCTGTTGTTCCGTGGTGAGTTCTGACTGTTGCTACTTGGTCCTTGTACAGATTCCTCAGGAGAGAGACAAGGTGGCTTGGGATGCCCATCCCACCCAGAACTTGCCACAATTTATTATGATCCACACAGTCAACTTTTTTTATTTATTTATTTATTTGGTACACTTATATACCGCTAACTTCTCAGCCTGGATCGGCGACTCAGTTGCGGTTTACAGCATTTAAAATCAATCTCCAGTTTAAAAACATATACAAAATACAATAACAAATTATTGGGCCACCAATAATAATCCCATATAGCTCGAGTTAAAATCACAATCCAGAGTTCGTTGTCCAAGTTTCCTGTCCTTAGTCATCAATATTTGAATTGCCACAGATTAGCCGAATGCTTGTTTGAACAGCCAAGTTTTGAGTCTCTTCCTAAACACCATCAGCGAAGAGGCTGATCGTACCTCTATAGGGAGGGTGTTCCAAAGCCGGGGGGCCACCACAGAGAAGGCCCTGTCTCTCGTTCCCGCCAGCCGCACTTCTGAAGCTGGAGGGATAGAGAGAAGGGACTCTCCAGGAAGATCTTAGGGTCCTGGTGGGCTGATAGGCTGAGATACGTTCGGATAGATAAGTTGGGCCAGAACCGTTTAGGGCTTTAAAGGCCAACGCCAGCACTTTGAATTGAGCCCGGTAGCATATCGGCAGCCAGTGGAGCTGGTTCAGCAAGGGAGTTGTATGCTCCCTGCGCCCCGCTCCTGTTAGAATCATGGCTGCCGCCCGTTGGACTAACTGGAGCTTCCGGACTGTCTTCAAAGGCAACCCCACGTAGAGAGCGTTGCAGTAATCAAGGCGGGATGTAACCAGAGCGTGGACTACCGTGGCTAAGTCAGACTTCCCAAGGTACGGTCGCAGTTGGCGCACAAGTTTTAACTGTGCGAAAGCTCCCCTGGTCACCGCCGAAACCTGGGGTTCCAGGCTCAGCGATGAATCCAGGATCACCCCCAAACTGCGAACCTGTGTCTTCAGGGGGAGTGCGACCCCGTCTAACACAGGTTGTAAACCTATACCCTGTTCGGCCTTACGACTAACCAGGAGTACCTCTGTCTTGTCTGGATTCAATTTCAATTTGTTCGCCCCCATCCGAGACCGTCACAGCGGCCAAGCACCGGTTCAGGACCTCGACAGCCTCCTTAGTAGCAGGTGGAAAGGAGTGACAGAGTTGGACATCATCTGCGTACAGATGACATCGCACTCCGAAACTCCGGATGATCTCGCCCAGCGGCTTCATGTAGATGTTAAACAACATGGGAGACAGTATTGAACCCTGAGGAACCCCACAAGACAAAGGTTGTGGGGTTGAACAGGAGTCTCCCAGTAACACCATCTGAGACCGACCCTCGAGGAATGAGCGGAGCCACTGCAAAACAGTACCTCCAAGTCCCATCCCCGCGAGGCGTCCCAGAAGGATACTTTAGAATAGTCAATGAAGCAGAAATAGATGTTTTTCTGAAACTCTATATATAATTCTATATATAATATATAATAATATATATTGTACATAGAATTATAAATATATAATTGTAGTAACAATAATAATTATTATTATATCATCTCTTTGTTATTACATTGCGTTGGCCTCTGGCTCTAAGCTGAATGGTGCCTTACCTCTTTAACCAGCCTCGCCCAAAGCTGCCTCTCTTTACCCTAGCTAACAATTCAAACTGATTGTTACATCCACCCCAGCCAATCACACAACAGCACTGGAGAGCTAATTGGTTGGACCTCTCATTCATCCCCTTTCCTTAGCCAGTTAGATTTGAAAGATGGAAGCAAAAGGACCAATAGAATACGAGGATTGAGTGACTGGCAGGCAAAGACCCGCCTTCAATTCATAAAAAAAAGCAGCCGCTTTTTCAGAAGAAGAAAAGGTCCTGCCTCCGTGCTGAAGCGGCCTATCAGAGGACGCATAAGCTATGAGTCGTCCAATAGACGTTGCTGTTTTATTCCCCAATCGCGTTTTGAGCGGAGCCAATCAGAGGACGGGGTTGGTGACAACGGACCAATGGGAGCCGGCGTCTCTTTTGTCCACGGCATAAAAAGGGTGGGTCTGCGCCGGGGAGGGGAGAAGCGCCACCGCCTGAGGAATTTCAACTATTCAACATGGAGGCGACGGTTTCGAAGCTAGAGACCCTGGTGAGTCTCCGGGCCGTGGCGGGGCCTCTCGGGGAAGGAGCCGCGGCCGGGAAGGGCGCCAGGGAGGGAAAGGAAGCGGCGGAAACGTCCAAAGGCCGGGAGAAAAGGGGAGAAAGGGTTCCCCCTCTTTCCCCCCTCAAAGTGGGCCCGTCCATTTCTCTCAGGTTGGGGGAAATGGAGAAGGCGGGCGATACCATTACTTTGCAGGGAGGTTGAGAACCCAAAAGGGGGCGTGTGGTGGTTGGGTCCATTCCTTTCTTCAGGCTGGCTCCAGGGGGCGGGGCTTCGCGTTGGGGGCGGGGCTTGTGGACTAGCCCATTCTTTGGAACCCTGGAAAGGGGGCGGGGCCAAGAGGAGGGGCGGGGCTTGGTTTAGAAAGCCCACTTCTAATGCTCCCTTTTCTTTTGAACACACACACACATACATATGTATCTTGAACTAATATAATATATTATATATTATTATTATTATTATATTATATATATAATTATATTTAATTATATTAAATAATATAGTTAATATATTTAGCAAATATAATATCCTTATTAAACAATATATCTCTAGAAATAAAAATGTAATATTAGTTTGTGGGAATACAAACTAATACAAAGGATAATTATATATATATAATTAATAATAATCTATAATATATAATATTAGTTAAAGATACACTATTCCCACAAACTAATATTACAGATATACAGATATATTGTTTATTAAGGATATTATATTTGCTAAATATATAAACTATATTATATATAATATAATATATATAATAATATAATAATAATATATAATATATTATATTAGTTAAAGATACATTATATATGTGTGTGTGTGTTTGAGTTATGTGAATCCCACAAACTAATATTACATTTTTATTTATAGCAAATATAATATCCTTAATAAACAATATATCTGTATATCTGTAATATTAGTTTGTGGGAATAATGTATCTTTAACTAATATTATTATTATTACTATTATTATTATATATATTATATATATTATATATAATATAATATATTATAGTTTATATATTTAGCAAATATAATATCCTTATTAAACAATATATCTGTATAAATAAAATGTAATGTTAGTTTGTGGGATTAACATCACTCAAACACACACAGATATATATAATGTATATTTAACTAATATAATGTATTATATATTATTATTATATTATTATATATAATATATTATAGTTTATATATTTAGCAAATATAATATCCTTAATAAACAATACATCTGTATAAATAAAAATGTAATATTAGTTTGTGGGATTCACATAACTCAAACACACACACACACATATATAATGTATCTTTAACTAATATAATATATTATATATTATTATATTATTATATGTTGTTGTTGTTCATTCGTTCAGTCGTCTCCGACTCTTCGTGACCTCATGGACCAGCCCACGCCAGAGCTCCCTGTCGGCCGCCACCACCCCCAGCTCCTTCAAGGTCAGTCCAGTCACTTCAAGGATGCCATCCATCTTGCCCTTGGTCAGCCCCTCTTCCTTTTGCCTTCCACTTTCCCCAGCATCATTGTCTTCTCTAGGCTTTCCTGTCTCCTCATGATGTGGCCAAAGTACTTCAACTTTGTCTCTAGTATCCTTCCCTCCAGTGAGCAGTCGGGCTTTATTTCCTGGAGGATGGACTGGTTGGATCTTCTCGCAGTCCAAGGCACTCTCAGCACTTTCCTCCAGCACCACAGCTCAAAAGCATCTATCTTCCTTCGCTCAGCCTTCCCTAAGGTCCAGCTCTCACATCCGTAGGTGACTACAGGGAATACCATGGCTTAGTAGTAATGATAATAATAATCTTTCTTTATACCCCACCACCATCTCCCATATGGGGACTCAGAGAGGCTTACATGAGGCCAAGCCCAAACAACAAATTACAATCCAATGAGATACAAATTGCAATAAAATAAACAACATAACATTAAAGTATTAAACATATAAACAATAAACACAAAACATTAAAAAAAACAGAATGCTATTTGTGGGTGAACTATAAATCCCAGTAACTGCAACTCCTAAATGTCAAGGTCTATTTCCCCCAAACTCCATCTGTGTTCACATTTGGGCATATTGAGTATTTGTGCTAAGTTTGGTCCAGATCCAGAGGCGGCCCTAGATAATTTTCAACGGTAAGCAAGCAGTATTTTGGCACCCTCCCCAAACCAATCACTGATATATATTTTCTGTTCATCGTGGGAGTTGTGTGTGCCATATTTGGTTCAATTCCATCATTGGTGGAGTTCAGAATGCTCTTTGATTGTAGGTGAACTATACATCCCAGTAACTACAACTCGCATATGTCAAGGTCTATTTTCCCCCAAGAGCGCCTCAAGAGCGCCCCTGGGCAAAATCAACTATACTGCAAATGCTTACTTTGCGTAGTGGGTTGAGCCGCCCCTGTCCAGATCCATAATTGTTTGAGTCCACAGTGCTCTCTGGATATAAGTGAACTACAACTCCCAAACTCAAGGTCAATGCCCACCAAACCCTTCTGGTGTTTTCTCTTGGTCTTTATTATTATTACATTTATTATATTACTCTATTATTACTATTTTTATTACATTTTCATGACTTTATTATTATTTTTATTACATGTATCATTTTACTCTCTTATTAATGGAAGGATATGTAAGCACATTTACATTAAATCGAATAATGGTTTAATCAGAGTTGGACAGTCTTCTCTTAAATTACAGATTTATGTAAATATTCAAAAACATTTAACCTACTGTATATAATATAATATATTGTATATACCTATAATATTGATAATATTATAATGTAATACAATACTACTAATGATATGATATTATAATTATATATTTTATATTAAATGTAATATTACTAATAATATTGCTGTATAATGTTATAGTACAATGTAATATATAATATTAATATTGTGCTATGGTAATATAATATATTGTATTTACTTTTTACTTGTAACCCGCTCTGAGTCCCCTTTGGGGTGAGAAGGGCAGCATATAAGTGTCGCAAATAAATAAAATAATACTGATGCCTCAATTAATGTCATTTTATTGGTATCTATTTTTATTTTGAAATTGACCAGTAGCTCCTGCTTTTCCCACCCTTGGCTTATATTCGGGTCGGCTTATACTTGATTATATACAGTATTTGCTCCCTAAAGTGTCCTGCTTCCTTCCGGATGGTACTAGGTGTCTGTCCACTGCCCTTTTTATGTTGTACTACTAGTGAACATGCGCAAAAAGCAGTGCAATGTTAAAAGGGCATTGGCCAACAATGCTCAGTCGACTGAAATCCAACTATGGGAGTATGCGGTCCCTACTCCGATTTGCAGACGGTGAGGGCGTCTTTTCTCCGAAATTGTTAAACCAACCTATGTGCGGGAACATTGGAGCATGTATTACGGTGGCCTTGCAAATGAGACCGCGCACATTTTATTAGTAGGCTGTGCATACCAGCATAACTCTGGAGGCCCATCAGCCTGGGAGATAAGAGCCAGATATCTCTCTCGCTTGGTCAAAACATTCCAACCTGATGACCTGGAGGTAGGTTGGGTGACTGTTTACAAGTCCGATGCACAGGAATGTGCCTCTCGGATCCCCTATGTATGTGTGCGCATGCCCCCAGAACTAAGTTGACATTGTCGAAGGCTTTCATGGCTGGAATCACTAGGTTCTTGTGGGTTTTTTCGGGCTATAGATCCATGTTCTGCATCTATGGCAAGCATCCTCAGAGGTAGTGAGTCCACTACCTCTGAGGATGCTTGCCATAGATGCAGGCGAAACATCAGGAGAAATGCCTCTAGAACATGGCTCTATAGCCCAAAAAAACCCACAAGAACCTAGTAAGTTGACATTATTACTACCTTGGCAATTCTGTGGAGGATCTTGCTGTTAACAGTATCCTCCCATGGATGAGAAAATATACCATAAATGCAGTAAATACATAAATAATAATTCTTAGTGTGTTTCCAAAGGCTTTCATGGCCGGAATCACTAGATTGCTGTGACTTTTCCAGGCTGACTGGTCATGTTCAAGAAGCATTCTCTCCTGACGTTTCACCCACATCTATGGCAGGCATCCTCAGAAGTTGTGAGGTCTGTTGGAAACTAAGCAAGTGGGGTTTATATATCTGTGGAATAATGTCCAGGGTGGGAGAAAGAACTCAGAGATGATAGTTTGGTGAAGTTTATTTTTTAAGAAAATGCAAATGAGATACTAAATCCTTGCTTCCCCCCCCCCCCCCCCCCCCCCGAGACTTATTTCCTGCTGCTGACAAGGGCTCTGACTTCATTGCACTACTGTACTTCCCAACTAGCAGTGCAATAGTATTGTCAAAGCACTTGCAAGCAGAACCGACAACGTGGGTCTTGGAATTTCGGTTGGCTTCTCCCCATCTTTGCAAATGGATTGGAGCATTGATGTTGAATAAGTTAGCGTTCGCTTGACCCCTGTTCCTCAGGCATGCTTTCGCTGATACATTAATCAGTGCTGAAACAATGCAGGGCGTCATTTTTTAAACAACTGCAAGGTTTATTGCTTTCTTTATTATATGACAACTCAAGTCATAAAACTGCCTGAAGAAGTTAATTCCTTCATCTTCGTTGGGTAATACAATGCATGATGTGAACTGTAATGCTTTATTTTGTGCCTTTTAGTTCCTGAATGCAGAATCTGATCTCAATTACATCCAGGCCAAGTTGGAGTTTGAAGTGAGCAAAGGACTCCCGGATGGACTTTCTCAAGAGGTAGTGTTCTCATTTTAAAGTGTGAGACTCTGGCTAAAATCGTTGCCATTATTGGGTTGCTGTGAGTTTTCCGGGCTGTCTGACCATGTAATTATAATTATATGATATTATAATCATATATTTATATTACATGTAATATTACTAATTATATTACAATATAGTGGCATAATTCATTCATTTATTTTTATTTATTTATCGTGTCAGTGCAACCAGTCGATTATATTACATTTCTAACAGAACAAAGCAAAAAAACCAGACAAAATACGAAAATTGTGAGTTTGTTAGTTGATTAAATGTCCTTTCACCAGTATCTGGCCACTCGGAGTGCTTCTGGTGTTGCTGCAAGAAGGTCCTCCATGGTGCATGTGGCTGGGCTCAGGTTGCATTGCAGCAGGTGGTCAGTGGTTTGCTCCTCTCCACACTCGCATGTCGTGGATTCCACTTTGTAGCCCCATTTCTGAAGGTTGGCTCTGCATCTCGTAGTGCCAGGGCGCAGTCTGTTCAGCGCCTTCCAAGTTGCCCAGTCTTCTGTGTGCCCAGGGGGGAGTCTCTCATCTGGTATCACCCATGGATTGAGGTGCTGGGTTTGAGCCTGCCACTTTTGAACTCTCGCTTGCTGAGGTGTTCCAGCGAGTGTCTCTGTAGATCTAAGAAAACTATTTCTTGATTTAAGTCGTTGACGTGCTGGCTGATACCCAAACAAGGGATGAGCTGGAGATGTCTCTGCCTTGGTCCTTTCACTATTGGCTGCTACTTCCCGGTGGTGTCAGGTGGTGCAATGCCGGCTAAGCAGTGTAATTTCTCCAGTGGTGTAGGGCGCAGACACCCCGTGATAATGCGGCATGTCTCATTAAGAGCCAGATCTACTGTTTTAGCGTGGTGAGATGTGTTCCACACTGGGCATGCATACTCAGCAGCAGAGTAGCATAGCGCAAGGGCAGATGTCTTCACTGTGTCTGGTTGTGATCCCCAGGTTATGCCAGTCAGCTTTCATATGATACGCACCCACTTTTTGCTTGATATTCAAGCAGTGCTTCTTGTAGGTCAGAGCATGGTCCAGGGTGACTCCTATGTATTTGGGTGCGCTGCAATGCTCCAGTGGGATTCCTTCCCAGGTAATCCTCAGAGGTCGGGATGCTTGTCTGTTCTTAAGGTGAAAGGCACATGTCTGTGTTTTAGATGGATTAGGGATCAGCTGGTTTTCCCTGTAATAGGCAGTAAGAGCACCTAGAGCTTCGGAGAGCTTCTGTTCAACCATCTCAAAGCTCCCTGCTTGAGCAGTAATGGCACGATCATCAGCATAGATGAAACTCTCTGTCCCTTCTGGCAGTGGCTGGTCATTTGTGTAGATGTTGAACATGGATGGAGCAAGCACGCTCCCCTGAGGCAGGCCGTTCTTCTGTTTCCGCCATCTGCTTCTCTGGCCCTGGAACTCAACAAAAAAGCTCCTGTTTTGTAGCAGGTTTCCTATGAGGCGGTTGAGGTGGTCGTCCTTTGTGATATTATACATTTTTCTCAGGAGGAGGCGGTGGTTCACAGTATCATAGGCTGCTGACAGGTCTATGAAGACAGCTCCTGTGATCTGCTGCCTTTCAAAGCCATCTTCTATGTGCTGAGTCAGGTTCAGCACTTGCGATGTGCAGCTTTTGCCTTTTCTGAAGCCAGCTTGCTGTGGGATAATACAATATAGTAATAATTAATATTGATATTGTACTATGCTAATAATATAATATATTGTATGTATATACTGTATATACTCGAGTATAAGCCTAGTTTTTCAGCCCCTTTTTTAGGCTGAAAAGGCTCCCCTCGGCTTATACTCAAGTCAAGGTTATTTATTCTTTTACTCTGTTATTAGTATTTTATTATATATTTATTTATTTATTTATTTAGAACTTTTATATACCGGTCTTCTCACCTCCGCAGAGGGACTCAGGCCGGTTCACAACAACAATAACACAGACAATCATTTAAAAACATCACATCCCATAATACACTAAAACATTAAAATACTAAAATACAGTCATATCATTACAATGGCCAAGTCGTCAAAGTAAAATCGTATTTTACTCTATTATTATTCTATTTATTATTTTGCTCTATTATTATTACATTTACAGTATTTTACCTTATTATTATTATTATTACATGTATTATTTTAATCTATTATTATTATTAAGTTTACAGTATTTTACCCTATTGTTACTACATTTATTATTTTACTCTATTATTACTGTTTTTATTGCATTTTCATTATTTTACGCTATTATTTTTATTAATAATAAGTACATTTACGTTGAAGGAGATTAGAATAATGGTTTAATAAGAGTTGTATAGTCTTATCGTAAATTACAGTTTTATGTAAATATTCAGAAATATTTAGCCTATTGATACCTCAGTTAATGTTATTTTATTGGTATCTATTTTTATTTTGAAATTGACCCATAGTGAATGCATTTCCCACACTCGACTTATACTCGAGTCGATACATTTTCCCAGTTTCTGTGATAAAATTAGGTGCTTCGGCTTATATTCGGGTCGGCTTATACTCGAGTATATACGGTATATCTTGCAAGCCGCTCTGAGTCCCCTTCGGGGTGAGAAGGGTGCCATATAAATGTCGTAAATAATAAACAAATAAATGTTCCAGAAGCATTCTCTCCAGATATTTTGCCCACATATACGGCAGGCATCCTCAGAGGTTGTCAGGTCTATTGGAAACAAGGAAAATGGGATTTAGAGTGTTCTCTCACTACTTTGCGGTTCGCTTTTCGCAGACTCGCTGTTTCGCGGGTTTTTGCCTCCCAGTTGATGAATCGTTGCCGTTGCCTAAAGTAGATATCAGATATTTACATTACGATTCATAACAGTTACAAAATAAAGTATTTTGATACCAATTGTACAAGTTCACCCACTTAAAAAGACGAGAGAGGCCTGTAATTGACATCCTAGGTAGATCTCAACTATGAGAGACAACATGAGAAAACACATCCAGAAAATCACATTGTCTGATTTTTATTGAATTTATTTGCAAATTATGGTGGAAAATAAGTATTTGGTCACCTCCAAACAAGCAAGATTTCTGGGTCTCCCAGACAGGCTCCTCTGTCCTCCGCTCATGACCTGTAGGAATGGCACCTCTTTGAACTGGTTTTCAGTCTACAACCTCAAGCAGTCCCACTCCAAATTCCACTCTGGTGAAGGCCAAAGAGCTGTCGAAGGACACCAGAAACAATATGGTCTCCCTGCACCAGAATGGGAAGACTGAATCTGCAATAGGCAAGCAGTTGGTGGGAGCAAGTGTGCAGAAGTCATTGATACTATGTATGTGTTTAACTGTTAAGAGTATATGTTTGTGTTTGTAACAGTAGCCAAAACTAGAGTTATCTGGTTTGAATCCACAGTGAGCGTTGCCAAGGAGACCGGGCAGGCTAGCTCAGGAGAGTGAGAAGTGGGCGGAGCCAAGCAGGAAAAGTTATGTGCGTCTTTGGAAAAAGGGGCAGTGTGTGTGTGTGTGTGTGTGTGTGTGTGTGTGTGTGTGTGTGTGTGTGTGAGTGAGTGTGGAGGCTTGAAAAGCCTGGGAGAGAGGTGTGTGTGAGCAGCTGGAGGTTTTTCAGTCTAGAAGGGCTGAAGAGAAAAACCTGGCCAGTTTCTTTAGTCAAGGAAGACTAAAGGAAGCTTGTTAAGATCCCTAGTCAAGGAAGGACTAGAGATCAGAGATTTGATCAAGGAAAGATCAAATTGGAAGGCTATTCATAGTAGGAAACATTGTTCACTAAAGAGCTTCACCTCAGTAAAAGTTAGCCACGAGCTGTGTTATTTGGAAGAGTGGACTGTATTACAAACCAAGTGATATTCAAAGTTCTATAAGTTATTTAACAGCCTGCAACCATACGCTTTGTACACAATAAACTTGTTATCTTTTTTTGAAGACCGTCTCATCTCAATTAATCTGCGTCTGTAAAGCCAGATCTCATCGGTGGTACCTCAAATACCTCACGTTGGTGGCAGTTACCTTAATTTACAAGTAATAATTGGCCTCCTCTATAATATATTCTTATACACAATTGAGGCCTGAGATTAATTCCCTCTATAATCATCCACACCTGTACAATTGGTTCGCGCATAACTGTACAGCAAGAATTAGAAAATGGAAGAGATACAAGACCACTGATAATCTCCCTCGATCTGGGGCTCCATGCAAGATCTCACCCCATGAGGTCAAAATGATCACAACGGTGAGCAAAAATCCTAGAACCACACGAGGGAACCTAGTGAATGACCTGCAGAGAGCTGGGACCAATGTAACAAAGGCTACCATCAGTAACACACTACGCCGCCAGGGACTCAGATCCTGCAATGCCAGGCATGTCCCCCTGCTGAAGCCAGAACATGTCCGGGGCCGACGGAAGTTTTCTAGAGAGCATTTGGATGATCCAGAAGAGTATTGGGAGAATGTCAGATGAAGGTCAGATGAGACTAAAGTAGAACTGTTTGGCAGAAACACAACTCTTTGTCGTGTTTGGAGGAGAACGAGTGCTGAGTTGCATCCAAAGAGGACCATCCCTACTGTGAAGCATGCGGGTGGGTGGCAACATCATGCTTTGGGGCTGTTTCTCTGCCAAGGGACCAGGGTGACTGATCCGTATACATGAAAGAATGAATGGGGCCATGTATCGTGAGATTTTGAGTGCAAACCTCTTTCCATCAGCAAGGGCACTAAAGATGAAACGCGGCTGGGTCTTTCAGCATGACAATGATCCCAAGCACACCGCCAGGGCAACGAAGGAAGGAGTGGCTTCTTCATCAGAAGCATTTCAAGGTCCTGGAGTGGCCGAGCCAGTCTCCAGATCTCAACCCTAGAGAAAACCTTGGGAGGGAGTTGGCCAGCGACAGCCCCAAAACATCACTGCTCTTGAGGAGATAGATCTGCATGGAGGAATGGGCCAACAGACCAGCAACAATGTGTGCCAACCTTGTGAGGACTTACAGAAAATGTTTGACCTCTGTCATTTCCAATAAAGGATATACAGGGTTAGTCAAAATGAATAGGCCAATAAGAAAATTAATTTTAGACAAATGTATGTTTACTGTAACCAAACCACAGCTACGTAGCGACAGATAAACTATCAAAGTTTTTTTTGAGCAACACACATGTACGTTAATGCCGCTAGGCGTCGCTAGGGGTCGCTGTTTTCAAAATGGCGGAATCAAGCAAAGAGAAGGCGTTTTGTGTGATGACATTTGCTAAAACAATGTCAGTAATTACGGTCCAGCGAGAATTTCAAGGGTTAGGGATAGGGTTAGGGATAGGGTTCGGGTTCGGGTTCGGGATAGGGTTAGGGATAGGGTTAGGGATAGGGTTAGGGATAGGGTTAGGGGTTAGGGATAGGGTTAGGGTTAGGACCTCAACGAACACCTTCCCAGACGTTGCTGCATTCGATGCCATTACGTCGGATGTGCTGCAACGGATGTGGAATGAACTGGACTATCGCTTGGACATCTGCCGTGTCACACGGGGCGCCCATATCGAACATCTCTGAAGGTGAGACAAAACTTTGATAGTTTATCTGTCGCTACGTAGCTGTAGTTTGGTTACAGTAAACATACATTCGTCTAAAATTAATTTTCTTATTGGCCTATTCATTTTGACTAACCCTGTATAACAAAGTATTGAGATCAACTTTTGTTATGGACCAAATACTTATTTTCCACCATAATTTGCAAATAAATTCGTTAAAAATCAGACAATGTGATTTTCTGGATGTGTTTTCTGGAATAATACCGCCCTGAGTCCCCACTTGGGGGTGAGAAGGGAGGGGTAAAAATATAATAAATAATGTCTGTTGGAGGCAAGTGTGAGTGTTTGGCTTGGTTAGCATTGAGTAGCCTTGCAGCTGCAAAACCAATCAGTGAGGGTATCTGCATAGAGGTAGCCTGACGTTTGTTACCTGGAGGCACTCCCTGTGGGATAATGTCCAGGGTGGGAGGAAGAACTCTTTCTCTATATTGTCGAAGGCTTTCATGGCCAGAATCACTGGGTTGTAGGTTTTTTCGGGCTATATGGCCATGTTCTAGAGGCATTCTCTCTTGATGTTTTGCAAGCATCCTCAGAGGTAGTGAGGTCTTTCTCTGTTGGAGGCAAGTGTGAATGTTGCAATTAATCACCTTGATTAGCATTGCAAAGCCTTGCAGCTTCAAGGGCTGGCTGTTTCCTGCCTGGGGAAATCCTTTGATGGGTGGTGTTAGCTGGCCCTGATTGTTTCCTGTTTGGAATTCCCCTGTTCTTAGAGTGTTGTTTTTTATTTACTGTCCACATTTTAGAGTTTTTAAAATAGCAAGATTTTGTCCCTTTTTATGATTTCTTCCTTTGTGTGGCCATTATTATTGTCTTTTGTATCCTGAATCCATGTGGGGTGGGTGTGGGATAGCATTCCCTCTCTTTGTGCTGGAAACTGACAAATACGAGGGTTGAATGAAAAGTAATGCCTCCACCTTCGTTACTTGGGTTTGGATGGAAATATTTTAATAAATAAACAGCTTGCATTCTATGATGAATCTCTTTGGGGCGACACCTTCTGCTGTCAAGAATTCAGTGATTGCACGTTACTTAATTCGCATTGACTGACTGTCTGTACAGGGTTCCATACTTTGCAGTTTAACAACACAACTGTTCAACGCTAAGGCTTCCTGCCAAAATGGAACTCTAGAGGAGAGTCTACTGAACAAGCCAGTACCTGCCACATACCAGTACTGCCATCTGTTGAGGAGTTATGAAAGTGGAAGCATTACTTTTCATTCAACCCTCATATGTGTCCATTGGGTACAGCTGGGCTTTTCTTTCCTGTCTGGCTAGCTCAGGGCACAGCGTTGGTCTTGGGGGTCCTCACTATAAGCATTTTCCCACTCGATTCCGTTACAGGAAAACCCATTGGTCCTTATTCAGCAACTTTCGTTGGTGAAATCTCGTTACAAAACCGTGTGTGATCGGCTCCAAAAAATTTCCATCGAGAAGCAAGAGTCCATGCGCTCGATGCGCGCCACCCTTGCCAAGACAATGAAGCTGGTTCAGGAAATACAGCATCACGCCAGCATGGAGGTAATGCTGTGAGCTTGACTTGCTCATGTAAGTCTCGGTGAATGTGCATCCGTTTCTTAGGCCTATACTTAATCAATATTCCATCTAAAAGTAGGTAACTGTCCTGAAAGCAACATTCCCATCTATATCTATAAAAACTGTAATGTCCGTTTGTGAATTAACATAACTCAAAAACCACTGGACAAATTGCCACCAAATTTGGCCACCAGACACCTACTAACCCAAGGAGTAACCATCACTAAAAAAAATTAATTTTATCATTTGCGAGTTGTAGTTGCTGGGATTTATAGTTCACCTACAATCAAAGAGCATTCTGAACCCCACCAAGGATGGAATTGAACCAAACATGGCACACAGGACTCCCATGACCAACAGAAAACACTAGAAGGTTTGGTGGGCATTGGCCTTTAGTTTGGGAGTTCTAGTTCACCTACATCCAGAGATTACTGTGGGCTCAAACAATGATGGATCTGGACCAAACTTGGCATGAATATTCCATATGCCGAAATATGAACACAAATGGAGTTTGAGGGAACTAGACCTTGACATTTGGGAGGTGTAGTTACTGGTATTTATAGTTCACCTACAATGAAAGAGCATTCTGAACCTCATGAACGAGAGAATTGGGGCAAACTTCCCACACAGAACCTCTATGACAGTGTTTCTCAACCTGGGGGTCGGGACCCCTGTGGGGATCGCGAGGAGGTGTCAGAGGGGTCGCCGAAGACAATCAGAAAATACAGTATTTTCTGTTGATCATGGGGGTTCTGTGTAGGAAGTTTGGCTCAATTCTATCATTAGTGGGGTTCAGAATGTTCTCTGATTGTACATGAACTATAAATCCCAGCAACTACAACTCCCAAATGTCAAGGTCTATTTTCCCCCAAATTCCACCAGTGTTCACATTTGGGCATATTGAGTATTGGTGCCAAGTTTGGTCCTGATCCGTCACTGTTTGAGTCCACAGTGCTCTCTGGATGTAGGTGAACTACAACTCCCAAACTTAAAGTCAATGCCCACCAAATCCTTTCAGTATTTTTTCTGTTGGTCATGGGAATTCTGTGTGCCAAGTATGGTTCAATTCCATCATTGGTGGAGTTCAGAATGTTCTTTGATTGTAGGTGAACTATAAATCCCAGCAACTACAACTCCCAAATGACAAAATCACACACACACACACCCCCAAACCCCACCAGTATTCCAATTTGGGCGTATCGGGTATTTGTGCAAAATTTGGTCCAGTGAATGAAAATACATCCTGGATATTTGATATTTACATTATGATTAATAATAGTAGCAAAATGAGAGTTATGAAGTAACAACGAAAATAATTTTATGCCCAGGGGTCACCACAACATGAGGAACTGTATTAAGGGGTCGCAGCATTAGGAAGGTTGAGAACCGCTGCTCTATGACCATCAGAAAACACTTAAGGCCATCCAGTCCAACTCTCTTCAGGGCAAGAAAACTTAAATCAAAGAGCATCCAGCCATAAATATAGATAGATATATATTATTTACTTATTATTATTTACAGCTTTTATATTCCGCCCTTCTCACCCTGCAGGGACTCAGGGCGGATTACAGTGTACACATATATGGCAAACATTCAATGCCAATTTTTGACATACAAACATATACAGACATACACAGAGGCTATTTAACTTTTTCTGGCCGCCAGGGGAGCTGTCGCTTTCATCGTCCATCTGCGATGCTGATGAAGCACTTCCACATTCCCCGCATGCTTCCCCACTGGAATGCTTTGCTGGAGTCTTCTTTATGGCCTCATAAATCAGTTAATTTAGCCTCCCCACATTTTAAGGTGGTACCTAATTTTCCTACTTGACAGATGCAACTGTCTTTCGGGTTGCAAAGGTCGACAACGGGCTACACACAATTGGTTGGAAACCCACTCCAACCCGGGCTGGCTTCGAACTCATGACCTTTTGGTCAGAGTGATCTTAATGCAGCTGACACTCAGCCAGCTGTGCCACAATCCTGGTGATTCACACACAGAGAGATATAGTATCATAGATTTGAAAGGGACCCCTAAAGAAGGACAATGATATGTTCCAGAGTAGGCAAACCAGACAATCTCCACATGAACACTGACAAAGAAACAACAAGAAATACTTTTAACCCACAAGCATCAAGACATTACATTACATATATTCTATATGCTATTCTAATAATATGTTATAATATAATATATAATATATTGTATATACATATAATATTTATAATATTGTAATGTAATGCAATATAATACTAGTAATAATAATATGATATTATAATTATATATTTATATTACATGTAATATTACTAATAATATTACAGTATAATTGATATAGTGCAGTATAGCAATATTTAAAACTGATATTGTACTATGTTAATAATTTATTCTATGTATATATGCCTTGTAAGCCGCTCTGAGTCCCCTTCGGGGTGAGAAGGGTGGCATATAAATGTCGTAAATAAATAAATATTAGAAACCAACACTTTCTCATTATTTTGTTTTCCAGCTCATGAGACTGGGCCACAGCAACGCGTGGCAGGGGACAGCTAATATTTAATAAGGGATGGCTTTCCTAGCCTAAAGTTTTGTGAGAGAGGAGCCCCGGGTGGCGCAATGGGTTAAACTCTTGTGCTGGCAGGATTGCTGACCGATAGGTCAGCGGTTCGAATCTGGGAAGCGTGGTGAGCCCCTGTGTGTCAGCTTCAACTTCTCATGCGGGGGCATCAGAGAAGTTTCTCACAGGATGGTAACACATCCAAGCGTCCCATAGGTAACATACTTGCAGACGGCAATTCTCTCATACCAGAAGCGACTTGCAGTTTCTCAAGTCGCTCCTGACACGAAAAGAAAAATTGTAGCGGTTCTTTAGGACATGGGGTTGCAGGGAGGAAAATAATAATAATAATAATAATAATCCTTTATTTGTACCCAGCTACCATCTCCTGAAGAGCCCCCGGTGGCGCAGTGCGTTAAAGCACTGAGCTGCTGAGCTTGTTGATCGAAAGGTCGCAGGTTCGATTCCGGGGAGCGGCGTGAGCTTCCGCTGTCAGCCCTAGCTTCTGCCAACCTAGCAGTTAGAAAACATGAGTGAGTAGATCAATAGGTACCACTCCGGCAGGAAGGTAACGGCGTTCCATGCAGTCATGCCGGCCACATGACCTTGGAGGTGTCTACGGACAACACCGGCTCTTCGGCTTAGAAATGGAGATGAGCACCACACCCCAGAGTCAGACATGACTGGACTTAATGTCAGGGGACTACCTTTACCTTTTTACCATCTCTTGAAGGACTCAGTGCGGCTTACAAGAGGCCGAGCTCAAATACAACAACAAAACAACAACAATACAGCAAAATAAAATGGCCCTGTCCCTTTCTTTCCTCCAGACCTCACCTCTTTCTGAAGAAGAGCAGCTTGCGGTGCAACACTTAAAGCTCCACACGCCTGAAGTTACCGAAGTTCCGGCAAAACAGGTAATTCTGATCCAGTGAAATGTCCTTTGCTGTGTGTTTTCCTCTCTGGAATGGCTCAAAGAGGAACACTGAATTTGAGGTATCAACTATATTTCCTATTGTTTTGCCAATGCCAAGATACTTCCATATTTTCTAATCTTTAATCAGTCAGGGAAGGAATAGAGGAAATAATATGGTAAAAATTGTATTGGAATAAAGCCCGATTTCTGTCCCTCACCATAGAGGTAAAGGAGGGGAATATCGAATGGACAGAAATATTAAAATTTATGATAAATGCATGATATCAGCCATAAACGCCACAATTGCTCAAGGTTGGAAAGAGAAAACAAGGGGGGATCTGGAAACATGGTGGACTTAACTCTCTGAATATTTATTTAATAACTTTATTAATCAAAGGGTTTATTAATCAAAAGGCTCTTCCCAGTGAAGAGAGAGTGGGGCAGAAGACAGTTCCACCTTGTCTCCTGTGCTATGTTAATAATATAATATGTAATCTAATATATTGTATATACATACAATATTTATAATATTATAATATAATGCAATATAATACTACTACTAATAATATGATATTTTAAATATATATGTACCGTATATACCCGAGTATAAGCCGACCCGAATATAAACCGAGGCACTGAATTTTACCACCAAAAAACTGGGAAAACTTATTGACTCGAGTATAAGTCAAGGGTGGGAAATGCAGCAGGTACTGGTAAAACAAAACAAATATAGATACCAATAAAATTACATTAATTGAGGAAACAGTAGGTTAAATGTTTTTCAATGTTTACATAAAACTGTAATTTAAAATAAGACTGACCAACTTCGATTAAACCATTATTCTAACCTTTTTCAGTGTAAATGTGCTTACGTATCCTTCCAATAATAACAAAGAAAGTAAAATAATAAATGCAATAACAATAATAGTAAAGTAAAATAAAAATGTAATAATAATAATAAATAGAGTAAAATAAATGTAATAAAATAATAATAAAGAATGCAAATGTAATAATGCCAATAGTGTAAAATAATAAATGCAATAACACTAATAATAAAGTAAAATAATAAATGTAATAACAATAATAATAAAGTAAAATAATAAATGTAATAATAATAATAATAACAATAATAATAAATAGAATAAAATAAATGTAAAAAAATAATAATAGAGTAAAATAATGTAAATGTAATAATACCAATAACAGAGTAAAATAATAAATAACTTTGACTTGAGTATAAGCCGAGGGCAGCTTTTTCAGCCTAAAAAAGGGGCTGAAAAACTAGGTTTGTACTTGATTATATACAGTATATTGCATGTAATATTACTAATATTTCAATATAATGGCATAATACAATATAGTAATGTTTAATACTGATATTGTACTATGCTAATAATATAGTATATTGTATGTATATATATCTTGTAAGCTGCTCTGAGTCCCCTTTGGGGTGAGAAGGGTAGCATATAAATGTCGTAAATAAATAAACATTTGAATAGCAATTTCAAACAAGACTGGAATAGGAAATGGTATTGTTTAATCAACAAAATGGAAAGAAATGATTGGTATAGAATATTGAACCAGGCCATCCAAACAATTAAATCGATGTATTAAAATAAGTTTTAATCATCATTTTTAAAACCCCATACAGTTGTGGGAGAGGGAAGTATTTAGTCAGATACCAATTGTATAAGTTCTCCCAGTTAAAAAGATGAGAGATGTCTGTAATTGACATCCTAGGTAGACCTCAACTATAAGAGACAACTTGAAAAAACACATCCAGAAAATCACACTGTCTGATTTTTAACGAATTTATTTGCAAATTATGGTGGAAAAAAAGTATTTGGTCCATAATAAAAGTTCATCTTCAAAACTAAGACTCCAAAAGCGCACTTCCTCCTCTTCCCTTGAGAAAGAAGCCCCAAAGTGACCGGACTGCTCCCGTGCAAATCTGCCACTCTCCACAGGTACACTATCTCTCTCCTTCCCATGGAGCAGAGCATACCGGGTGGAACAGACTCCTCAGGTCTGCCACACTTTGAGCACTATTAGACTGAGTCTTTTATAGGAATATTCTGCTGATGTAGTCCCAAAGTTGTAAATTAATGATAGACGTCTTCCATCCTGGATCCATCTCCGTTTCCTGGCCAGATGTTGAGTCTTCTTGATTGGTGTTGACAAACACAGGGCTTGTGTTGACTTCCTTCTTAACATAAGGAATATTGCAAACATTTATGTTATCACTGTCCCAATTCTTATCAGAGTTTACTTTTCATTTCTCATTAGCAACTTTTAATTATAGTCCAGCAAGCAGGCAGTTAGTCATTGCAGGCCTGGGTCTTTTACTGGTGTTTCCAAAATTATTCGCTCCATACATTCTTCCATTCTTTCCCACACATCATATTAAATTCACATGTTTCAAATCTGCACATTAAATTTTTGTGACATTCTTGCAGACGGCCAATTTTATCACACCAGAAGCGACTTGCAGTTTCTCAAGTTGCTCTTGACAAAAAAAAAATTGTGTGAAATTTGCTTGTCTATATCTGTGACCTGTTGCATATTTTAAACAGTGTCTTAATTTGTGCTCCATCCTTCTTCCACAGGACTGTCCAAATGAACACGAAGCCCACTGATGCCGATTGATGTTAAAAATGAGGACATAACTTGTGGTTTATTTGTTTTTGACTATATATAGTTTTTGTTGACCATTCTATTTTTGTACAGAGCCTAAAGTGTTTGTAAATAAGTTATGTGTTGATGCAGGGTATCATAATGTGCTATGGTGTCCATATTGTGAATAAATATTTTGCAACTTACACTTCTTGAAGATTTATTTTATTTATGTATTTATTTACTTTATTTGTATTCCGCTGTTCTCAGCCCTTAGGCGACTCACAGCAGTTAACAACAAGAACAGCAAAAATTCAATGCTACCAACACACGGTATAAAAGACAGTTAACATCATACATATTAAAGAAAAATATACAATTAACAATATACAATTAACAACAATAGACATTCACTAGCGTGTCATCACTAAAAACATGATCCAGATCCGTTATCCATTGTTCCATTCCTATGTTCATTACATTCATTGCACTGACTATTCGAACGCCTGCTCAAACAACCAGGTTTTCACTTTTTTGCGGAATACCATTAATGATGGAGCTAGTCTGATGTCCGTGGGAAGGGCGTTCCACAGCCGCGGGGCCACCACCGAGAAGGCCCTATCTCTCGTCCCCGCCAGCTGTGCCTCTCACAGGCGGGATCGAGAGCAGGGGCTCCCCAGAGGATCTCAAAGTCCTGGTGGGTTCATAGGCAGAGATGCGTTCGGATAGGTAGCTTGGGCCACAACCGTTTAGGGCTTTAAAGGCCAATGCCAGCACTTTGAATTGAGCCCGGTAGCAGATAGGTAGCCAGTGGAGTTGGCGCAACAGGGGGATTGTATGCTCCCTGCGCTCCGCTCCTGTTAGAATCATGGCTGCCGAGCGTTGGACTAGTTGGAGCTTCCGAGCCGTCTTCAAAGGCAACCCCACGTAGAGAGCGTTGCAGTAGTCTAAACTGGATGTAACCAGAGCGTGGACCACCGTGGCCAAGTCAGACTTCCCAAGGTACGGGCGCAGCTGGCGCACGAGCCTAAGCTGTGCAAATGCTCCCCTGGTCACCGCCGAAACCTGGGGTTCCAGGCTCAGCGATGAGTCCAGGGTCACACCCAAGCTGCGAACCTGCGTCTTCAGGGGGAGTGCGACCCCATCCAACACAGGCCGTAACCCTATGCCCTGTTCGGCCTTGCGACTGACCAGGAGTACCTCTGTCTTGTCTGGATTCAATTTCAATTTGTTCGCCCTCACCCAGACCGTCACCGCAGCCAAGCACCGGTTCAGGACCTGCACAGCCTCCTTAGTAGCAGGTGGAAAGGAGTGACAGAGTTGGACATCATCCGCGTACAGATGACACCGTACCCCGAAACTCCGGTCATTCCACAGACAGGCTCCCCCTTCCACAAACAGCTGTAGCCCACAGTGCCACTAAAAGCCCTCCCTCCAATGACATTTCAGGTTATAGCAAGCACCGTGAACATGTAGCCCAACCCCTGCCAATGTCCTCCCTAAACATCATACTGCCCACCATCATTCGGAGACAGTTTCATCCTAGATTCTATGTGTTTCCTCCACCACAGACATCCCAATGTTTCTTACTCTCTCCATTAGCATGGAATTTGCATGACCCAGTCCACTTCCTCTCCCTTAGCCCTTTCCTATTCATTTCTACTTTGCACAACAAATGGAGCAGAACTAATCAGCAGCTAAACATATTGGAGGAGTCTGGGGAATTGACTCCACATGATGGAAGTTGTAGTTCACCCTGCATCAAGTCAGAGCACTGTGACCCTTCACTGACAATGGACCTGGACCACGTTTGGCACACAGAACCCTCATGCGAAAGAAAAATACTGGAGAGATTTTGGGAGACCTTCACCTTGATTTATAGCCGTTGTAGGTACTGGGATTTATAGTTCACCTGTAGTCAAAACACACTGCAGACCGCACCAACAATGGCCCTGGATCTAACTTGGCACACAGCACCCCTATGACCAACAAAAAAATACTGGAGGGGTTTGGGGGGAACTGACCTTCATTTCTGGAAGTTGTAGTTCACTTACCTCCAGAGACACTGTGACCACCACCGATGATGGATCTGGATCGAACTCGGCACACGGAACCCCCATGATCAACTGAACCTACTGGAGGGATTTGAGGGAACTTATCCATTATAGTGGGAGATCTAGTTCATCTTGCAACCAGAGATCACACCGAACCCCACCAATGATGCATCTAGAACACCTTACCCAACATGACTAACTACAGATTGAGTTTTTTGGGGTTCACCTGACATGATGTGAGTTGTAGTTCTCCTACAACCTTATGCATTTTGTAAAAACAACCCAGATAGCCAAGTTAGTAAATAAAGTAAACACGAAATACGGCTTTAACTGGTTTAGTTGGTCTTGAAGGGTGAAGTATTTGCTCCTCGCCTTCAGACTAAGGCTGGTTGATCTCAGTGAGCCAAAAGCACTCCATGAACTTGAAACCTGAAGTGACAGGAGTGAAGAAGCTCGGCTTTCTTCACTCTTTCTCTTGTCATCCAAAGACATCTCGATGACCCCAGATGTGCATTATCATTTCCTTTGAATTGAAGAAGAGGTTTAGGGGAGGCTCACTTGCTCTGTAGACTGAGCTGAAGTTTAGTTGCTTGGGAGCCTCTTGTCACTCGGGACAACCAAGCTGCAAACATACTGCGACAAAAGCAAAGCTCACACAACTCAAGGATGCAGCAAGTTGAGATGCTCTGTTGGTGTCCATAAACCAAAAAGCTTCCACTAGACTTGAGGTACTATTTCTATTATGTTAAAAATGTACATTATTTATCTATTTACGGCATTTTTGCACATGCGCTATAGCATCTTTTTCCTTTTTTGGCTTTTTAAGTTCCTTCCGCTGTGTTTTTCAGTATTTTTATGACTGATGGTCACTTGTCGGCCTGATCAATGTATTGTATCCAAATTTCATGTCAATTCGTCTAGTAGTTTTTGAGTTATTTCAATCCCACAAACATTGCATTAATAATAGTTATTGTTAAATACATACAGATATTAAATTTGTATAATAATAGGTAGTTATAATAATAGTTATTGTTATTACACAGATATTAATAATAACTATCATGTGATATTATTAGTATGAATAATAATAACACTGTTCAACGGAGAAAAAGTTGCGGGCCTGAAAATAGTTGTTCTTTTATGATTTTGGGGTGCTGAAAACGAAAATGACATTTAAAAATGTATATTGGCTCTAGTTTTTACGATATAAGTAATCACGTGATCACGTATGGTTGAAAAAATGCTGCGACTTACACTATGGAAGATTCTAGAATACTCTAGAAAGTTTGATGACGCAGTATTAGTGCCGTGTGCAAAAGCCAGAAAACCCTATATAAGGCCAGACTTTTGAACGGTGAGGGTAAGTCAGTTGAAGATTGAGACAGTATCGTTAAACATCGTTTTACATTGTTCTTTTTACTGTAGTTATGCCTCGCACGTGTGTAAATAAAGCACTATGGAAAAAAAGATATCAAGGCAAATGGACTCCGTCAATGCTGTCAGACTACTGCTGGAGCATTGGAAGAGACAATCCTTTCCTTGAATACAAAAGAAAAGTCAAGAGAAGCAAACAGGATATAAACTAAAGTCACGATTAAAGCGACATTTAAACTTTCAGACTTTTCAACTGCATTAGGCCTACTAATATAGTTTCTTGCTGCACAAACATAAACAATAGACTAATTAAATAAATATTTCTCATGTATAAACTATTGGCAATATAATTTGACTAAAATTTAGTAAATATTCACGCAGTAAGGTTAGGCGCATTATCATAATATTAACAAATTACCTATTGTGGAGAAAACTGAAATAGCTGTTGCATAAAAACCAGAGCCAATTAACACATTTAATTATTATATTTGAATTCAGCATGTTAAATTTATTAAGAAACGGCACATTTTGTTTCCGTAACTGAGAAAAACTGAAAATTTGTAGAACAGTGTAATCAGGTGCTTTGCGTAAGAAATTAAGATATAAACTAGGCAAGGGCAAACTCCAGCCCTCCAGGTGTTTTGGACTTCAACTCCCACAATTCCTAACAGCCGGTAGGCTGTTAGGAATTGTGGGAGTTGAAGTCCAAAACACCTGGAGGGCTGGAGTTTGCCCAGGCCTCATATATTTATTTATTTACGACATTTATATGCTGCCCTTCTCACCCCGAAGGGGACTCAGAGCAGCTTACAAGATATATATACATATGTTCCTGGCTGTAGCTGGACAATCTTTCTGTGCCTCCTCGAATCAAAAGCACAAAGGGGCAATAAAACTACCTCACCCCAAGACTACATCATGGAAGTGATTTCATATTAATGGTAGAACAAGAGTTTTGATTACAATTGGGATAAAATGATCTATAACACAGCCCCTGTATCCGGTGGGATGTGTTCCAAGAAACTGTGCATCCCGGAAACTGTGGATCATAAAAACCCTATATTTTGACTATGCTTGCACTGGAAACATACTATAGAATTGTCCCAAAACCCTTTTATTTTTAAGAGGGGAGATTTTTGCAGTGTGAGTAAGTGAAAATGTGGATATCGAATCTTCAGATAAAGGGATTTTACTGTATTTTTCTAGAGTTGCAGATGATGTGATCCTCAGGGGTGATTACTACAAAGAGTCATACAATTCCACCTTAGAATCGAAACTGTTATTGAAAATTTCCTCCATTATGCTACAAATCCCATCTGCCTTCCTTTAACCTTCCTTTAAAAAAAGAGAAGGTCGAGAGGAGACATGATGATGGGCATGTATCCAGATGTGACAGGAAGTCATGGAAGGAGGAAGCAGGCTTGTTTCCTGATGCCCTGGAGACTAGGATGTGGAACAATGATTTCAAACTACAAGAAAGGAGATTCCACCTGAAAATTAGAAAATAACTTCCTAATTGTAAAAACTGTTCAGCCCTGGACTGTGGTGGAAGCTCCTTCTTTAGAACCTTTTAAACAGAGACTGTTTGGCCATCTGTCGGGGGTGCTTTGAATGTGATTTTCCTGTTTCTTGGCAGAAGAGGGTTGGACTGGATGGCCCATGAGGTCTCTTTGTGGTTCTATGATTCTATGAACCTCACCAGAGGCTGTCTATTGGGAGTGCTTTGATTGTGCCTTCTTACATGGCAGGGGGTTGGACTGGATGGCCCTTGGAGGTCT